GTGGGTGGGTGGGTGAACTTACTAGCAGGAACACCAGCTGCTCGTGCTTTCTCATAGTTTGCAGCACCCAAAATGGCACCAATTTGATTACCGGTAAGAAGTGTCCATTCGCCACTAATATTCATGGGTTAGGAATGTGAAAGTCGATGCATCCAATACCAAAGTTGAAGACTCACTTGACTTTTTCAGCAATTGCTAAGCGATCGGCATCGGGATCATTGGCCAAAATCAAATCTGCGTTGGCTTTGTCAGCTGTCTCAATAGCCAATTTCTGAAAAAGACATGGTTAGGATCGATGCCATCTCATCATCATCACTTTTACTTACCAAGGAACCTTTGCCTTCTTCAGGATTAGGGAATTCAACGGTAGAAAATTCAGGATCGGGGTGGATTTGCTCTGCAACAGGAACGAATTTTGGAAGGTGGAAGCAATCAAAGGCACGCTCTGCAAAGGGAGCACCAATACCATGCATGGCAGTGTATACGAACTTGAGAGATGTAGCTTCATTATCCGCTCTGTATGCATTGTAAGCTGTTTGAAAATAAGATCCTCATATCACGTTTACTTGCCTGTATTGTGACAAGGCTTCCACTTCCTCAAAGTAGCTGTCAATCACGCCAACAGGCTCTTGGCATAGATCACTGGTATCCACAAGCTTGTAATCCCAAACCCAAGGTTCCAAGTTTTCTTGAATGCTGTCAGCGATACCCTTGTCATGAGGAGGGATGATCTGGCATGCATTTTCCCAATACCTATGCATTGTATCAAATCAGCTTTGTCGTTCGAGAAGATGATGATCCACCACAATCTTACACTTTGTAGCCATTATCCTGCTTGGGGTTCTATAACCATTGTTAATGCATACTCCGATCCCAATTATCTTTGCACACTTACATGCGATGCTGTAATCATGACACCAGCTGCTGCATTCTTTTTCTTGACAGTGTAGGGCTACATCAAATGGCATGCATGATCAATTGAAATGTCAAGGAGAGTTTTGTAACCTATACATACCACCATGGGAGTATGAACGTAATCATGATAATACCAAACACGGATACCAAGAGAAATGAAAGCTGCAGCAGTCAATCGAGCAAAGTCCTCCGAGTGATGACGATGATCATGACCAACGACAACACCACGTGATTTGGCATCTTGAACGTTATTGAGCACGTACTTGGCGAGGCCCTGAAAAGACGATACTACTCAATGATCCCACTCATTGTATGATCCATGCTTCTTCATCTTTTTACCTGAGATGCTTGCAATACTGTCAAATCATTCATTCTTGAGAAGCCAGCTTCCATTTTGGCACGAAGACCTATATACAAACATACATCACGTCAAACGCTGCTGGTGTGTGTGTGTGTAGGTGTGGATTCTGATAGAGTTGCTTACCAGCAGTGCCAAACTCGATACGAGAGCCAAGTCGTTTCTGTAATTCGTCATAGTTGCCAGATTCATGAAGCGACGAGATTTCTTGACGGGTCTCTTCGTTCTACAGGGTAGTAAAGCGGATCAATGGCGGTGTCCCATGTTGGGTAATTGACCACACAAGGTACCTTGTCAAGACGAAGCCATTCTTGGACGAGGGTGTTAAGGTTGTTGTTGTCGGTCATATTTGCAGGACGAAAAGGAAGAAAATGGGAAAGAACAAAGACCAAGACATCCGACGTTTTTGTACCCTGCGATGCGTTGGGTCTGTGGGTGTTGTGTAACACAGCTTGAGTATGTGGATGTACTGTCTATTACCGCATGTCGCTGTTTCCACTGTACTCAGCCATGGAACCATTGTTTAGGAGCTTGTACTACTCTATACGCAGGATATAGATATGATATATACCATCACCCTTTATCTTTGATATGGATTAACGATCATATCGTGGGAATCAATCGATCTTGCATAGAAAGAAAGTACTTGGTGATGAGGCAATTGATAGTAACATTTCCTTGTTCAATACGTACTAAGAAAGGACGTCCTACTTCATCGTCTCAAAACACATGATTCTTCATCAAAGGCCTACACTATGTAGCATAATGATCCACGTGCATAAAGACATGGCCAAATTAGGGTAGTGTGTATCAACCAACTATCATCATTCCAATGGCCTCCATGTAGTAATTTGTGCAAATAAATAAGCAATCTTTGTTTACAAGTGTATGTGCTGAAGAGAATGTACATTTACAATAGCAAAAGAAACAAAGAAAAGACAACATCAAAATTAATCGGTAGTAGCAACCTTGGCCATCATAGAAGGAGAACAGAAAGAGGCGGCAGAGGAAGTGAGGGAAGGAGAAGAGGGAGCAGTAGAAGAAGCCGTCGATGAGGGACTTGTCGACAATGAAGGCTTTTCAACAGCAAATGGAGCAAGAGCATCCAATGCATGATAAAGACGCTTGGTGAGACGAGCTACACACTTGTCGGCAAGAATGATTTCCCAAGCAAATTCAACACCAAACATGAGCTTGATTGTGTAGGCAACGTGCTTGGCTTCCTTTTCACCCATGCCAATGTATTCATCCACAGGCGTCACTGGCATTCGCTCGTGATCATTACCAAGTACGTGTTGTATCAATTTGAGCAAGCATCGCTGTACAGCTTCCTTATCTTGTAACGCTGGTCGCTCGGGAGCAGTGATCTCAAAAGGCACTGATCGTGACATGACGCTGTGTTTGCCATCATGGTGATATCGGAACTCATAGGTGCCTGTTTGCCATGGCAACTTGCAACCCTTGAACACCACGGTGCCTTCAGTAACCACCTTGGGCTCTTCACCAGCAGGAGTAGCAGCCACCCAATCCCAAAGACCACGAGAACTAATATTGGTAATATGACGATCCTTGTTGGCTGTAATCTTGTATACACCAATCCAGTCACGTGCACTATGGTTCTCAGGGGCGGTCCATCGTACGGGAATAGCATCACCAAGCTTGAATGTCTTATCGGTATCAATAGTAACGCTGTAACGGCTGAGATCGAGTGTGTCAATGTCATTGGCAACGAGTGGATGAATCAAACGGGAACGGGAAGTCTCAAGCATGGACTTGGTTTCTGAAAGTACTTCTTGGAGTCTGGGGCGTGCTGTTTTAAAAAAAGACCACCGTTAATATACATACATGCCATTTACGCTTTTCAAGAATGGTACATACCAGCATCCATCATATCACCAACAGCATCAGCAGTCTCCTCAGCAGTCTTTTCAACCTTTTCAACCAATTCCTTAATAATGCGCTCGACATTCTTGGTGGTGTTGACAGCTGTTTGAAGTTCGGATGTTTCACGGATAAGCTTGGTAACTTCTTTTTGCAATTTGTCGGGGATAGCATGGGGCAAGGCGACTGCTGCTGATTTGAGGGTCTTGGTGAGACCTGCTTCCTTGCGAATTTGGTTGCCATAGAGTTTTCGCATATGAGGTGCTTCAACATGGTGCAAGAACATGAAGCTTGAAATATGAGAAAACAAGGCAAGACCAAAGATCGTCCAGCTGTTGGCCATCATTGTCATGCCCCAGAAAGCAGCATGGCCGACAATCTTTTCGGGGTTGTTGAGGAAGCGGTAGATGCCAGTGTACAAGAGTTGACCAGGATGCTCATCCAAGAAAAAGTCACCATAAAACCTTTTTCATCAATGTTAGCTTTACCTATAGCGCATAGGAAAAACACACACACTTACCATCCATAATCACCCAACACCTCGTAAATTGATACAGCAGTCCAAATGTGCAAAAAGATGAATCCAAAGCCAAGAGTGTGTCTCAATAGCGTGGTGCCATAGGTCCAATTGGTAGGCAAGGAATACATTTCCCAGCAGGCCACCGAAAAGGTAATGTAGGTCATAGAAAGTGACAAGTTGTAGATGCTCTTCCAATTCTGGAACGCTTGATCAACTCCGCCGCCCCATTTCACAAAGTGTCTTGTGAACCACTTGCTTTCGGATTGAGCATGAAGCAAAGCACCAAGACCATACGTGTGGAAGAGACGCCAAAAGATAGCCTGTGCAACAGCAAAGGCAGTTCCCATTTTGCCACCAATGATCAAAGGAGTGATAACCGAATAAATCATAAGGACTGCAGATGCCAAATCAGTCGAACGGCAAAGGTCAAAGTTCTTGAATACAATCAAATCACGGCGGAAGTAGGACGAATAAAAGTCGCGGGTAGCTTGTTGATCCAATGCGTTGCTGACAACGGGCACATCCATATCAGAGCTGACAGGCACGTTGGTTGAAGGTTGGCGCTTGGGGAGTGTGGGTGGATTGTACGTCTTTTCAATGTCTACAAACCATTGAGTGATGAGTAATCGTGATCCATGTATGTATATACAAATTACTTACGAGGCGTTTCAACATAGGCCAAGAACACAAATTGAAGAGCATGAGCTGCAATGCTGACAAAGAGCACGGCATAGCTTGCACTGATAAGCGACAAGCCATAGTAACCAATATAGCCAACCGAGTACATGGGATGGGGTGCCATCTCGAATACACCATCAAAAGTAAGGGATTGCTCGATCAAGAAGAAAAAGTCGCCCCAATCTAAGCACACAGCATGTGAGCTTATCATTGTAACCATGCGTTCCATTTCCATTACTTACACCATGCAAAGTCCTTGACCACACGTTGAGCATCGAGTTTGACCCAAATGTTGAATAAGATCATAAAGATACCTCCACACCAACGAAGCATATCACCCAAAAAGAAGCTTGATTCATGGGATGTGTTGAACCAAGCAATGACGACGCAAATGTAGGATGTAAAGTCGTTCATGAGGATGAGGTCCACCAATTGACGATACAAGAGCCAGGTGTTGTACTCAATGGGAGCGGTCTGTCAAGGTGTAACATGCATTAGGGAGTTACTCAAAAGATTCTTCCCATGTCTTGGATGATGATGATCGGCCTTTACCCAATCCGGAAACACTTACAGCAAAGTCATAATCGTCACCCATCTTCATGCTCAACTGGTTGTTTAGCCATCGATACACCTTGGGATTCGCTTCTTGGTCAAAGATCTTGTACTTTTTGGCGAGACGAACGAGACCACGGCTATCACTTTGGTACTTGAGCAAGGCACCCAATCCAGCATTGTATCCCAAGCGCCAAAAGAAAAAGACCATGATGAAGAACACTTGACTCGCCCATCGAGGCAACAAGAACAAGAGACTGATTTCAAATATCATTGTACCCAATGTCAAGAGGTCGAAAAAGGACTTTTTCTCTCGAGGATTGACGAGCCCTGTCACCATGTCACGCGTTGCAGGTACACGAAACACTATATGCACAACAACAACACGGTAAGCAACTTCCTTCTACCACTATTCCACACCTCCATGCGCTCATTTACCTTTGCCATCAGGTGTTTTGCCATAAGAAAAGTGGGACGTCTTGTTCATATCGACATTGCAGCCGTCAACGGTGGAAGTGTCAGACATGTCGGACAAGCGACGAGCCGCCTTATCACCGCCACCCGTGTTGTTGCGATGACGAAGCTCTGATGCTGCAGCTGAGTCTGTCATTGCAGTTGGTTTGTTGTTGAAGAGGAAGGGGAAGGGTGTGGGTGTGGGTGCGGGGGTATGAAGACAATACTGTGCCTGGTTGAACAGCAAAGAAAAAGAGATAAAAGGTGACCCGGGGCCCAACCCCTTTTCTTTTACCGCGATATCCTTTGTGGAATGCTGGGATTCACGTGAACGTACGTGAGCAGGGGAGATGGGGTTGGGTACACATTGGCCATCTAGCAAGTTCCACAGTCTCCCCTCCCCTTTCCCCCATCATCTCATCAGATTATTTTATCAAGCTTTGATCAAAGTTACCATCAATCAATCATCTACTCTATTGCTACTATACTAAACACATCTTTCTTTCTTGTTCTTGTTACCAAAATACACTTCTTGTTGTCGCATAATAATGATGACCTTTGTTACTTGGTTGGGGAACAATACTTCTTGAATAACATTCCACCGCCCCGGAACAAACAGCTTGTACAACATGTTTACTTACTGCATTTCTCCGATTCATCATGATCACTGTACTTTTGACAACATGACGTACCTTATACACTGATGATGGGGAACTCATTACTGCTATGCATACTCGTCTTCTATGCATACGCCCTTCTTGCAATTTGATGATGTGCATTCCTCGTTGACAAAAAAGGTACCGTGTACTACCATGATGCAGCATACTTGAGAAGAATAAGATAAATGTTCAACCACGATTGATTCTACCTGGCTCTTGGACTAGCCTTAGTATATCCAATTCGATAAGGTTACGATTTTGTTCAACACTATTTACAATAGCATTGCTTTTGGTTGCTGTAGGCAAGTAATAAAGAGTCAACCCCATGTACGACATGCAGGCTTGCAGCTTGGCAAATCATAAAGAATCATCGTTGTGTGTGTAGTATCCATTTCTTGGTTCTATGAAGCTCATCTATGCAATCACAGGCTTGCAAAACTTCGACCTATGCTAAGCAACTTTTACCGATTCCATGAACGTATTCAATCGCTACTTGCATGCACACTTGTTCTTATGAACACTGCTTACGCCAATATCCACTCTACTGAGCACATTTGGCAAACGTCCTTTAATTGCCCAGGCGCTTCCAATCCACCCTTATGGTAAAAAAACGTGACCTTAGACTTTACACTAGCAACCCTATTACTCACTAAGGTAATTCTACTTTCTGGGTACACGAGTTTACATTTGTCGGAAGAAGACTCAGATGAGGAAGCTCATGGTTACAAGAAGTGTTTAGCTTCTTGACTGCTATAGGACAACTCGCTAAAATCGCTCGGCAGAGCTGTTAATCCGAATGTTGCACCTCTTCTTTTTTACCACAGAAGGTTACTGTAGGCTGGTTCCTAAGACATCCATGTAATACAAATGATTTTAAAAAATGACCAATTTTCTGCCAAGTCGGCAAACGTTGGTTTGAGGATTGCTCAATGTGAGAGCGGCTCACTCTTTGATCGCCTTTGTTATGTATCTTGAGCTACAGCAATTCCCTGCAGGTAACAAAGTCGACTCGTGTAAATGAATGCTCGTGTTCAAAGTAACATCTGGATCCTTACCAGATGCAAAGCTGGCTGTATCACCTTGTTGTTGTTCCCAGATGTAGATGCATTGTGTTGATTACATCATGTAAGAATGTCAAAGAAGAAGACATGCCTACATACCATCATCGCATCAATAACCTGTATTACGGACCACAAGATGAACCACTAGGATAGCCTAGATGCAAGCTGCTTTACGAGAAAATGGGCATGTTGACATCATCAAAGGCCCAGAAGCTGTTTTATTAGCCGTTCTGGAACATGCGAGCTCAATTGCTTTTACAAAGTGGTTCTATATAATGTGAGTGTTCGATCATTAAGAAGCATGATACATGGGCATAGCATCTCATGTCCTAGGAGAATCGAGTCCCATAGTGTAAAACTACCCATTTCAACTCCCATATCTCGGTGCATTGATTTTAATCCACGTTTGGGAGGCTAAAAGTGAAGAGATGACCACTTGACAGGAGAATAGGATAAACGCTGACAACAAGTTTGGTCTATGTTAGCTATTAAAAGCTTCGTCTAGGCGATGCTCATCACACCGGAATGACCAGAAAGAAGAAATTTAATTCACTCGATCCTTGTTGCCCCTCAAAGTTGGCCCAAATCTTCCTCCCCATTATTACAACACTCGCCTGATCCAAGATTAGTACAGCTCATTGTTACCACAAAGTAAACAAACACTTCCAAAGAATGCTATCTTTTATCGACGCGTTCATCCATCCCTATGCTTTTATGCAAAATGAGTATACGACAGCTGTAATTGATGGTTCAATCTCCATGGCAACCAACTTGCTAATATCTCAGCTAAAGCGGAACACCAAAAGGGGTTTTATGGGTGATGGTATTAATGCATCGCGTTTCTTTGTCTTTGACTGTTACTATAATGCAATGATGGTATCCTCTATTGTTGTTCATATTCTCGAGAAAAGTAACTTGCTGCTGCTTGCTCAGCCCCCCGAACAATATCCACGAGCTGTTGCTGGGACACAGCACTGCTCCGATAATGGGATATAAGAAGCTTGGCCTAATGATGATATCGTTTTCCATTTAGCCGTGGTATAGCATAAAACCCTCTCTTCCTTTATCCCTCACCTCTTGAATCACCATGCCCTTTAACATGTCTCTTGCACCATCGGAATTGATAGGTTCACCTTTTTTCCTTTGCTCTACCACCAACAGCTTAAGGCCCTACATACATCATACTTCACCTTTTAATCATCCATGATACAGCAAATCAGGGCTCTTCACATTTACCTTAAATGCCGCAGCACCAGCCAAGGCTTGATCCGTCACCTCTTTTTGCTTTTCTAGGTATACCAAACGATAGTAATCACATAGCTGCTCGGGTGAAGGGAACTCGAAATGCTTCTTGGCTAAGAAAAAGAGGTGATGTGCATGATCAGCTTACTGCGTATGTATGTAGGGTTGTCATACACAACTCACATGGCGGTGGCCTAAGCAACTCCAAATCTTGGTTGGAACGATGATCTTCAAATGGCTCAATCACCCACTGCTGTGATGCACTGTTTGGGTTCTTGGTGTTTAAAAAAAGATGGCTTGATTCCTTGTAATCATCCCCGTTCTAAGTAATAAATGTAAGCATTGCATACAAAAAGTAACCATCATCACTATAGCCGGTTACCCGAATATCCAGTACTAAGTGCGGGGCAGCGGTCGGAAAAATGTAACCGTCTAAATACGACCAGCGTTGGTTGGTTGCAAGGCCTGCCTTGCGAGCATATTGGATGATGGCCTTGTCTTTTTTCATCTCGCCTAGAGAGGATTTAGTTTTGCGTCTTTCATGTGCTTCAAGTGATTGGCAATGCATTACATACCTCCCTTGATATCCAGCACTGGATAGCGACATATGATTAGCTATGTATGTACTTATCATGCATCCACGAGACATCTTTGCTATTCCCACGTACGTACCTAGGCCTGATTTTTTGTTAATTAGGAATCCATCCTCATGCATCCAAAGCTAAATAGATAGCCAAAAGAAAGATTCAATATACGACATCATGATGTTGGGATAAAGAAGAGCATTACTTGGTTGATGCTGTCAACCATTTTCTATATGTAAATCAAGCTTAGTGATACGTATGGACACTGGTAACTCTATTCCCTTTACCTGTTGCCAAATAATGATAGTTGCGTCGTTCTAAGGAAAATGATACGGATGTTTATGTCAGATCAAAATGCAACGTTGTCCACTGTAATAAGCTTTTTTTACCGTCATGCCACCACCATGGACATCCACTGCCATGGGTGCTTCTTTGCATCGTATAAAGAAAAAGCCTTCGGGGAAATTCTCGACAAAGGTCATGTTGTTAAGGAAAAGAGAAAGAAGAAAAAAGAGGAAAGGGAATCACGGTCATCCCACAGCCAAATTAAATAAGGGTGCCCCTTTTTAAACAGGCGTGGCACATTCAAATCCAGAATAACAGCAGATCTCTTCTCTTTCCCCCCCCCTCCTTGCATCACTTTTGAATGCCATTGACGACTCGTTACTTGACAGCAACCCCGCATGATGTCGTGCGGCAGATTCTCATTTGCCAAATCGCTGTTGCATTCATTACTTGCTTTCTCACTATTATCACCATCCATTCCAGCTTGTATCGCGTGGCATCATCATCATCATCATCAGCTTTGACAGCATCATCATCCCTTGTTGAACCTCCTCCTTGTGTCATTATCACAGCCACTGACAACCCTCTCATTTTGAAATCCTTCTTTTCTACAATGTCCATGGATATGCAGCAACGCCCTACTATCATCGCGTATACAACAGGCAATATCAGGAATGAGGATAAAGATGATTTGGGACATGTAATGAGAAAAGACGACGTGCTTGTGACACAAGACGACAAGCAGTACGTGGATCATTTCTCCCGCTTGATATACCAATGGATCACCACTAGCAACAACAACAACATAGTCGTGTGGATGGATCCTTCATCGAGCATTGTAAGCGGGTACCTGATACATCATCTTTCTAGTATCGTTCTTGAGCATCAAGGATTTTGGTCTATTTGTCCATCTGAAACAGTTTGCACTATTCTCGGTGTTGACACGCGTAACCAAACAATTCGCGGCATGATCCATGACATGACATTGTTATTGCCCTGAACGTCCATCATTCATCTTTATTGTCATATAGTTTATCATGATGATCGATATAAAAAAAGGTACATGTGAGATCTTTTTTTTTTCCTAGGCTAGTGATAGTGATTATCATGCAATCCATTTTGGGTGTGTTACCAGCATTGGCCGTGGCTTGTATCTCCTAACGGAGTGAGTGAGTGGGTTGGGGAGAGGAGGTTATCTGGGATCCGTGCCACAAGAGTAGGTTGCTGTGTTCTCTTCCGCGTGTTAACCATGTCAGCCAAGATTTATACTTACGAGGAAATTGCAAAGCACAACAAGCGTGAAGACTTGTGGATGGTCATCGATGCCAAGGTGTATGACATTACTCCCTTCGTTGATGAGGTAGGATGACGCGTGTTTGTGTGTTGTGTGTTGTGTGTGTGTTGGCATGGCAGCGTTGCTCATCCCCAAGTTATCCAGCACCCTGGTGGTGAAGAAGTCCTTATCGATGAAGGTGCAAAGGATGCCACTGGTCCTTTTGAAGATGTCGGTCACTCTCCTGATGCTCGTGACCTCTTGGAAAAGTACTATATTGGTGATGTCGATCCTGCCGTAAGTTGCAAAGCAAAAGCGGGGAGCAATCGGATGTAGCTAACGGATGATTTATTTCCTAGTCGGTTCCTGTGCAAACTACTTCTACTACTACAACTACCAGTGGTCAGGCTCCTCAGGGCAAGTAAGTATATGGGATCATCATTGAAACTATCACGTGGGATATCTGACATTGTGTATCCATAGTGCTTTACGTATCCTCCTCCCTCTTGTGGTGTTGCTCGCATGGGCCTATTACCGTTTCCTCGCCTAAAACACCTCCTATCATGCACAATAACACCCAGATAGACAATTTCATATACACTGCTTATATTAATGAAGGAAAACAAATGATACATATTGGAGAAAATGGTATATAAGAATCATGCTTCGTCAGCCGATAACTCGCTTAGCTCTGGCCCATCATCAAAGATATCGAAATCGAGAGCATCATCGTCGTCACTGAATAGTTTTGGGCTTGCTCGTTGCTTCAATTTCTAATATAAACATGCGGTGTTAACCATGGATCCCACTTTGTTGTTCCTTTTCTTACCTGATGAGAGGGCGTTGTCAAGTGTTCCGAGCCATTGTCAGAGGGAGCTGTATTTTCATCATTGGCCGCATTATCCGAAAAGAGACTACTATCGAATGTGTAATCACTGCTGCTTCCACTGGTTCGATCTTGTGCTGAGCGGCCTGCTTTGGCTATTGCTGCACGTCGTTTTCGAATGTTATGAGCGCGCACACGATGAAGGATGCTTGGTTCATCCGTAGATGACTTTTGTCGTTGTGGTGGATTGGGGCGGTTGATTTGAGCAAGACGTGCATTAAAGTCATATGTACGACGAGGTTGTGGTGTGCGGAAAATGCGACGTGCGCTTGGTGATTTGTAGCGAGGACTGGTGGCTGCTTTGCTGTAGCATATTTCCTCATCAATGTCATTTTGGATATGATGACGACGTGGTGTTCGGCTATTGCCCGTATCCGTTGGCCCATTGATGTTGCTATCCATGATCTCCTTAAGGTACGGCTTGCCATAGACACAGAATGGTTTGTCATGCGTCACTTCAAACTCAAGTAATGCTCCTTCAAGTTCATGCTTGACCTATGTCATCACTATTAGATCTTCTTCCTTAGCATCCCTTGCATCAAACTTGCCTTGGGTAACTCCCTAGCAATTCTCTTGCGGAAACGTTCTTCTCGTAACAATCGACCAGGATCACGTTGACCCCTACTAAACAACCGAGATGGATCATTGGTGATTTCCTATACATGTATCGTCAGCCATCTTCATCTCTCAAGCACAAGATTGATTTAGCTTACCTCAAACTCCTTGACTTCTTCTGTGAGCTTCGTATAACGCTCGATACGATCCAAGATGTACTTTCGGTCTTCAACAAGCAGCTGTAGTCGACTAATTTCCTTCTCATGGAGATCCAGCAAATGGTCGTTGTATTGGTCTATATCGCAATAATGAGTTTTTCTTTGTCCTTGAGCAACACCAAAAAGAGTACCTTCAAATGCTGGTTTGAATTGTTGTCGTTCTTCACGAGAAAGGTAAAGCTGATCCCATAAACGCACCAAATCCTCCCGTGCACCTTGTATAAAGTCATCCAATCGCTCTGACTTGAGTTTGCTGAGATCATTAACAAGCTTCTCGTACTATTATTGAATGTCCATAATGAGAATGATATCGACAGTGTATGATTGTTGTATGCTTGCCTCTTTGATATCCTGCTCTTTCAATCCATTATGCTTTTGTCGGAATGCATCACGTTCATTCTTTGGCACTTTGAGTCGATCCCATAGATGATTGAGCCGATGCACGATTTCTTGCTTTCGAAATTCACGTTCTTGCTGCAGTGTCTCCAGCTATTGATATGATACCTTGAGCACTTCATACGATCACCACGCATTTTAGTCATACCTCTTTGATCCTTTGTTCGATATCATGTATATTGTCATCGCTCACGAGTTTGTTGTATAATGCCAGTTTTTCAGGTGCTGTCACATCGGCGTCGTATAACTGATACAAGTCGCTATCACGATCATCCTGTGGTAGTAACCCAAGCACCATCCATAGGTCGACAATTTGTTTGACGCACTTGTCCAGGTACTGTGTCCGTGCGCGCTGAAACAAATAGATCCCTTAGTTACATGACATAAACAAAAAAGCTCCTCCATACTTACAAATTCATTTTGACAACGTTTGATTTCCTCCTCCATAGCAGCCACTGCAGGCGTAGAAACATCCGTATCTTGCTCGGTAATCAAATCACTGTTCACAAAGCTCTGGAGACATTCGCGGAATCGTATCAACTCTTGTTGCAAGACTAAAAGAGAAAGACGCGAGTGAACAACCAGCGTATCATGGATGATGTTGCTATGACGATACCTAGGACCCCTTCAAGTCGCTTTTCATATTGCTAATCAACGGCATACAATGATTAATACAAAGCAACCTTTATACAGTACTTGTCTAACCTTTTGTACGACTTGCTTCTCCATTTCCAAGTCCTGCAAAGTTGCCAAGAGAGTGTCTTTGCGTACAAAGCCATTGTCCGTAACAAATTCCCCCATGAGTCGCTTCAAGGTCAAAATGCGTGCGTGTGTGGCGTGGATGTTGTCTTCAAGGGCATTGCGCTCGTTAACGACCTGGTCGACATGCTGATCGGCTGCACGAATCATGGCTTCAAATAAAAGTTGTTTTTGCTGTTGTTGTTTGTTGGTTGACGTTCCAATTTCATTGTGAATGATATGCAATTGGGCAAGACGTTCGTTGAGTTGTGATACGAGATTGTCGGTGGTGGACATGGAGACGTTGTAAGGAAAAGGAGAGAGACCGATAAGCGCGCGCTTCCCACTCTGCCTATGTGAGAAATTTAGTCTGCGGTATATGACAATGAAATTGATCCATCACCTCACGTATTACCTATCCATCGTTTGCACCTTTGGTCATTTTTCGTACTTACCACTGCCAATACAGACTTTGAAACTGCATCTTTGTTCAATACCATAAAAAGAAAGAAACGCCAATTTGTGCATCTATAAACAACTTTCCCCTACATGATCATTTCATGATTGATTGGCATCTTACTTATGTGGAGAGGAGTAACAAAGACATCCATCTCATTTCTGGAAAGGGTTGCCGCTCACAAAACTATGCCATGGCCCATTATGTAGTCACCGCATCCGTTCTTTATTTCGTCTGCATGAAAGCAGCAGCGGCATTGGTAATGCTTGTCACGTCGTTTGCTATATTCTTAATGCAATTTGTTGCAGAAGACATCCTACCCTGCCATGATGCGTGTAATTTGGAGTGGGGACTCGATATCATTTCCGCATATACCACGCACCAACGTGTAGCGTTATGTACGCCTCACTCCCATGGCAAAATCGTTGCATAGCTGATAAACACCAATTGTCTCTTTTATCAAGAATCGCAATTAGTTAGCACTTACAATGTCATCTTGCCCATACTCTGAAATCGAATCATTCCCAATTATAAATCCAGCAACGAAGTCACTGGCTGAAAAGTAACTGAGATACGAGTCAATGCTGCATGTATGCGGGTTTTGCAAGAAGGGTGGTGGTTGATGCAATGTGTAAGGGGTAGCGTACATTAGTAGGCTAAACGTTGGCAATCGATTGCATTATGAAGGCTGGCTGCTGTATGAATACTTTATAAAGGAAGCAAATAGCTACGCACAGTATAAAAGAAGGCGTTTCCAGCAGCTGTCGACATCATAAGTTTTCTTGAATCATGAAATTGTCGTTGACTCTTCTTTCTGGTGTGTTTTTGTCCCTTGGTTGTTCATTCGTTCAAGCTCAGGAGGACATCGGTCCCGACCTCTATAAAGCTTTTAAACAATATGATGGCAAGGCTCCTCTCCCAGACAAAAAGCCAAAGCTCATCGACAGTGGTAGTATTGGTGTGGCCAATGCAGCTAGAAAATGCAAAGAGGAAAACCCGGACTATGCTATATACGTAATGACACCGTATCAGTTCCAGAGTACCACCAATGCGTATGCTTGCGTTGGACGATTGATAAAAAAGAATTTCAAGCTGCGTAATGGAATGTGCAACAAAGGGGCGAAAGACGCCAAGCAGAATGAAAAAGAGAAGCATTTATGGATCTACTGCTCTGATAATGGAAGATTCGGACTTCAAGTATGCGATGGCAGTGACAAACAGGTCAATTGTGAGGACGTCCCTTGGTATAGCACATCTTTTAAACCTGGAAATGCACCTAATGAGCATCAACCACATACAAGAGGGAGCTAAATGACCGATTCACCATCGTCTTTCCAATGCATATACACTAGTGAAGAAGAGGTGTTCTCAAAGTACTTGAATTCTCAATAAAAGGCACAAGCTGTGAGTATACAGATCAAAGAATGTGATGATCCATGTCCCATATGATCAAGCGATGGAACACACGTGACTACAATGTAGGGCTGTCATGTGCACGTAGCAAATGTGATTTCTAAATTAGGAGAAGATCAGGACACAGACAGCATGAAAGGGATCTTTGAGCACAAGAACAGCAGCGGACTTGTTGCTCCTTGAATGCCAAGGCCATATTAATTCACAGAAGGCTTCTCGAGTTTCTCTTTCTTTTTCTCTCTCTCTCTCTCTCTCTCTCTCAATCTTTATTCACGAATGAAGTGCAATGGAATTTGAAGAGGTCAACAATCTCATCAAGGTCGGCCATGTCCATCCTGGGTCGTTGCCAAGTTCATCGTTACCATGGCATCCTGCATTTGGCGCGGTACCCCACACAGCAACACCAGGTACTGCTGGAAACTATCATTATACCACAACAACAACGACCCGCTCCAACTCAGACGTCACCAACAATGGCAGCAGTAAAAGACCGCATCATCATTATCATTATCATCGACGACATGGGTCACGACGACAAAAACCCATCTTGGGAGTGACGCGACTGGTCAATAGCGTACGTCGATTCAAAAAACCAAAGGAGGAGGAGGAACCTTGGCATATTACCGTGTCACCAATGGGTAGGTTTTGCATCCCATCTCCAGCGAAACGAAGTATCTCACATAGCAACCGGGATAGGTACTCCATCGACAAGATCGATTAATAGCAGCACCAACAACAACAATGCAATCAGCACATCCTCATCTTTTCATCCTTTAACCAGCCTACAAGAGATCAAGTGCCAAATGCAAAACTTTGTTGTTCCCGCTGATTGGCATCATACATCTATCAACCATACAACTAATGATACAACGGGTTGTCAACCACTACTGTAAGTAATTTAAAAAGGAGAAGGAGGGAAAAGCAAATGGTAGGATGGCTAATAGAGAGGTATTTTTGAAAGGACTGGATCAGGGTTAATCAACCATCTCAAGAACAGCATTGCACGATTCGAATACCTTATACATATAGAACGACAGCGTATTACGACTTGCCAGGGTGATATCATCAACTACATTGATAAGCTCAAACAATTGGACAATGATACGCATGTAAGCAGCTGCCTTGACTATGGTCATCATCATCACCATCCCACTCACTTTTTATATGTAAAGCAAATTGATACCCGCATTACACTTGAACGATTAGAACGCACGAGTGCCATGTATGAAACCTTACGATCAGCCAACAATCGGATACCAAGGTTGGAACATTTACGAGATCGTCAAAAGAGGACCGCTTCCAAGGTAGAAGGTTACATCAGGAGTGGGAATCTGGATAAACGGCTACGTATGCTTGAGATGCAGACACGGACCACTCGCCTCGAAGCTATTTGGGCAAGATTACGACAATGGGGCCCTACCATGACCCTTATTTCCTTAGCCATGTTCATTATCCTCCTCATCCTCGTGTCTAGTTAGATCCTTTTCCTCCTTCTCCTCCTCATTCATATCATCATCATCATCATTTTCACATGCATTCCCCCTTCCAGTATATACCAAACATAAAAGGGCTTTGTTGATGCTTTTTTTTATATGTCACTTTTTCAAACAAACAAAAGGCATAGGTTTTTAAACACGTAACGCTTGTACAGTCCTTCCAAAACCGATTCCAATCCAATCAGGGACACCTTTACTCCATGCGAGAGAATTGATTTCCGATGCAGCAGAGTATGCTAGAATGGGATCTTGAATAGAACGAGTAGCATGGTGGTGATGATTGCTGTTGCTGTTGTTGTATCGATTTTGTTGTTGATAATATTGATGGCGGTGGCGTGGACTGGTCTGGTGATCGGTAGTGCTATTTGCGCCATTGTGAATGTCCCACACAAGCACTTGGCCATCATCGCCACCAGTGCACAGCTGACCTTCTTGGGTAGGTGACCAGCTGATACCATTGATACTTCCTTGATGACTCTTGACAAGCTCCACTGTGGGTGTGCTTGGGTAACGAATATCCAATACCAATACTGATGAAGAGTCCATGTGGAATGTGGCAAGCATGTTGGGATTCATCCTGTTGAATTGTAATCGTAACAATGGGTTTGTTCCTGCATTCACCATAGCCGCTGCCGAACTACTGCTTCCATTGTGTGCTCCTGCTGCTGATCGACCATTGTCCACAGTTGTACTTGGTGGTGCTTCATATAAGATGGTTGAATGTTCAAGTGATCTATGAAAGATGTAAAATAAGCAACGTGGTCCATGCGCCATGCTTTCTATATGTACATACCTGAGATCAAAGAGTCGCACCGATCCATCAGCACCAACACTGGCAAAGATATCCGCTGATCCATGCATAAAGGCGACATCATAAACATCACTATCATGTGCAATCAACTGTGTTTTGGCTTGATTGGTCTCCACGTTCCATACGGTGCATGTCGTATCAATGCTGGATGTCACAATCAGTGAAGGATCCGCTTCATTCCAATCAAATGATGTCAATGGTGCACAAAAGTCGGTTTGCTTTGTCTAATTCACGCTGATCAGTATCCATGGCAACCTTCCCTCTCTCTATTTGTAATAACTTACATTGGCCAACTCTGCTTTCTTGACGAGTTGTTGCATGTAATAAGGAGGGCTGTTGCGCCTACTAGAGCTGTTGATGGAATTGCTTGTGGAGCCATATCGTGGGTGATCAATCAATTCCCATATCCTGAGAATGTCGCCAGTGGTAGCCAACAAATCGGATCGCCATGATGAATCACTCTATTGTTGCTAACAACGTCAATCATCTCGCGCCTTTGTCCTCTCCCCCCCCCAACCTTCCAATCAACGCTACATTACCCTCCATGGTTCCCAAAGCACTTTGGTCGTTGGATAGTATACGTCTGCTTCTGCTACCACTGTAAAATCTGGCACTGCATGATTCATTCCACCATACATAGCACCTCCATCCAACGTATCGGTACGAGCAATCACTTGGAGCTAACGACAACATGTCCCTTGATGAGTAAATACATCATCATCTACTCTTGTAATAAACATACCTTATTATTGCTTTCTTCAATGATACTGCCAAGAGCCATTCGAAAACCCTTTCGTTCATGAGGTGTCTTGCACCAATCGAGAGCATAGATTGGCCAGGGTGCATCGTATTGGTATATTTCCTTGGAAGCTGCTGCTGCTGCTGCTGATGGAGGAGGTGGAGGTGCTGCAGCATTGGTTGTAGCAGTTGGACCCGTAGCTGAGGATGGAGGAGGTGGTTGATGACTAGTCTCTGGTTGACCGTATGGATAAGGATAACGTCGTGATTGGCTGTCCATTGAGATATGTATGTATGTGTGTCTGTGGGTGCGTATGAATGGGTGTGTGCGTGTGAGTGAATGCTATAATGTATTATCAAGAGAACGAGATTGACTCAAAAGGGAGTTGAGAAAGAAAGAAGAGAAAAGAGTTGTTGTTGTTGTCGACAAGGTGTATTTCGTTGTTCAAATAATAAGCTGCAATGCTGCAAGGTGTTCGAGAACAGGCCAAGCTGTTGTTGTTGTTGGTGTTATTGTGGGTGTGCGTGTGTAAAGTGCAAGAGTGTGAATAAAGGAAAAGCCAACGTCATGCCGCGGGCCGCGTCTTTGCTCTTCCTATTGCTTCTTTTGTGGAACATCCACCACCAACAAGCTCATCCCCCCGATGGGTCACGAGGGCCACACAACGCACATACCCCCTCTCCCTTCTCTTTTACACATCATATCCATATACAATGATCCTATCATACTCTATCACTCCTATTCAATTGCTGTAGTAGTGGTTCATTTATCGTTTGCATGTAGACAATCAAGCACTGTAATAAAGCATCCCAAATTAAACACAATGGGTGAATAAATTGATTATTGTCATCGGTTGCTCGGAAGTCCAAGAATGTGCCGAAAGAGAGAAAGAGAAAAAGAGAGAGGAGAGGAAAGTTAATTATCATTCATCAAGTTTGCTGTCAAAAACTGGCAATGGCTTCGCGTGATTACAAGTAGCTAAATCTAAAAGGCGCTTCAATCACATTGTGTCCCGTAAATTGCTTTGATATTGGTGCATGATCAACATCTACTATAATTACCTACCACTTTTATGCTAGAAATGGATCATCATTCGATCCTAATCAAAAGACAATGAGCCAATGTGATAAGTAAAAACTGTTCTATCAGGGTCAGTGTCACATTACAAGCTCATAAAACACCAATTGTAACAAACAATGGATGATTAGAGTTTCCTTTGCCGAGATGAGTATACGTACACACGTACCCTCGATCGTTTCAAATGAGAGTACTTGATGATGATGATGATGGTGATGGCAAGGTACCACACATGATGGACCCTGATAAATGTCCATGCGATCCGATTCGGGTGCAGAGGCGGCGGTGAAAAAGAGAAGCAGGGGTTTAGAATATAATAGTACGCGTATGTAGTATATGTGGGAGAATGCTTACTGTAAGCTAAAAGAGACCAAAGTCGCAGTCGGAAAGGAGTAACAGCAGCAGCAGATCGTTTTTGCAGGGATAGGATGTGGACTTGTACGGAGATGGATGCTGTATGTATGCGGCATTGACATTGACTCCTTATTCCAACCCCACCTTTTTTACATTGGTCTGCGTGGTGGATCCAAAACACAAACCCCTTTCTTTCGTTTTCCTTTTTCAAATGCATACCTGGGGGATGTTATGTATGCTACGTGTGATGTGGGGGTTGGGGGTAATGGTAACGTTGTTGTTGTTGTTGTTGACCATGGTAACATGAGTAACCGATCCGCCCCCTGTCAACAGCAGCTTACATAGCTGCTGCTACCAATATTGGCGGGCAGGTCTATATATATCATCATTACTATCATCATACCACTGCTGGTATGATGGATGATGGGTGTGGATATAAATGAGATGACCAATTACCAATTTGGGACAAAGCTAGCTAACATGCACACAGTTTCAAGGAGAGGGGGCGGCACTTTTTTTTCTGTGCGCATGGCTAGCTACTGAAGGGGGCATAAGCCGCTATCAAAAGCAACGTGTAAAGAAAAAAATCTCACATAGAGAATGTGCACCTTGAAGCAGTAAAAAGCCAAAGGGAACCAGCACTAATGCAGTTGGGATTGCTCTGTTATTGTCACTCTTTGGTTTTCTATATGCAGCCGAGAAGTAAATGAAAGGCGTGCAAAAAAGGTGCCCCACTTTTGAGGCATGATGCAATGTGCAAATACACAACAGACGTTTAAAAGTACAACGGCAACTGGGTTTTCCGCCCTTTTTCACTCTTTCCATCACTTTTTCCCCACATAACCTTCTTTTCGCTCTTTTCTCTTTTTTACCACAACTACCACCGTTTTTTACCCACCCCCTTTTATTCCCAACATGCCAACGGAAACTCTCGTAACCAAAACCACTAACAACATGGACCAGCGGCATACTCGCCTTTCTGGGTTTGCCAATAATCATCGTCGAAAATCCATGACGGTAGCTGAAGGTGCCAAGAGCCGATTTTCCAGCATGATGTTACGTCGTCCTTCACAATCCAGCAACCACAGTAGTAGTAGCAGCAGCAATGGTGGCGGTGGTGGTGAACCACCAGAGCCCAAACAATCCGTTAGTCGCCGGCAGTCATTAACTCGAATGACTGCATCAAGCCTTGCCAAAGTGGTCCCATCACTTAACAAAGGCAGCAATAATCAAGAAGGATCACCCTCTTTTATGGTACGCCGACGTAACAGTGTCATGTCCTTTTCATCACAAAACAACACAACCCCGCATCAACAGCCACCACCAGTTACCCCTCAACCGTCAGGATCCTTGGTTGTGAAGTCATCAACATCATCATCCAATATGGGTAAAATATATGCGCATTGTGGCATGCTCCTTATCGTACGCGTATAAAAAATGTCATTAACTGACATGCCACGCACACGTTTGTTTAGGAGGACACAAGTGGCCCAACTTTACCCGTTTGAGACGCCCATCATCCCCAACACCAACGCCATTGAAGCAGCAGCATGCTCGTCGTGCATCTATGCAAAAGGATCCTTCAAAACTTGCCACGCTTGCTTCTGCTCAACAACCATCACCACCCCAACCACAACAATTGATCCACCCCTATCATCAGCAACAACAACAACGACCATCATCACCACCATCACCTACGCCACCCTCAACACAACAACAACAACGAGCCACACTTTTGCCGCGATCTGTTTCAAATACCCAACGACCTTTAAAGGATGAATCAGGGGCTAGCAACAACAACAATGCACCTGTACGACGTCGCTCATCGGTACAAATTGACAATGACAGCACTATTAGCAACAACAGCAGCATTCGACGGCGATCATCTATGATGTTGGATAGTGACATTTCAGCTGAATCACGTCGTAGCAACGCATCTTCATGTCATCGTCATCATCGTTCTCAGCAACAAAATGAGCCGTATCAGCCGGTGTGGCTCCGTCGCCAAACCCAATGTGCTGCATGCAATCCCAATCCAGTGCGTAAGTCATTGTCTCGTTCTAGCAGCATGTACGACGTGGCTGGCGTTGCACAACAGCAACATCCACGTGCCATCCACACTGGTGCACAGCAACATCCAAATACCCATGCAACCACAGCTACATCATCATCATCCTCATCCTCACAAAACAACACAACACCACCTACAGCTGCAGCTACTGCTGCCGCTGCTATGGCTGCTGCCGCTGCTGTAGTAAGTGCAGCGGCTGCTACTGCAGCATGTGGTATATCAACTACCACACCTGCATTGGTGGATGAACAATGGGGATTGACACAATCTAATAACGATGACAAGTGGATGCGTCTCATTTCAAGCTGTATGGCACAATCAGGTCGACTCGAACGCTTGGCTCGTGATATGGTGGCCACCGAAAAGCAAGCCGCTTCCATGATCGAGTCCCAACAATCCATGGAGCAGCTCATGAAGCGTCGTGATGATCAACATCATAACAATATCCGCCACTGTGAATCTCTTGTTCGTGCTCAACGTGAAATGCTTAATGAGATGGAAAGCCTTTTGACCGAATACGGCATCAAAAAGAATAACCAACAACAAAAGCAGCCATCATCATCACCCACAACGGATCAACATGAGCAACAGCGTCAAGCTATGACCACACCACCCCCTTCTTCACCATCCGATTATTCAGCTTCATTACCATCAATGCCTCCTTCTCCCTCTTCTTCGAATCACAATAACGAGAATGAGGAGAATGAACAAGAAAATGCAACACCATCGGAAGATGTTAACACGAAGGAGCAAGAACAAGCACCATCATCATCATCACCACAAGATGATAAGGAGCAAGAGGCCGCTGATGATAGTGTTCAAGAACAGCATGATGATCAAAGCAGCAGCAGCAGCAGCAGCGATAAGGAGCAACCAAAGACTTTGGGTGATTTTGTGGAAGATAGCGTATCTCGTATACGGTGGACTGTGAGCCAATGGGTCGGTGGTAGCGTTGGTACAGGACAACTAGTCAAGTGTGAAATGGGCCCAGATGGCCAAACAAGCACCATCATTGTTGCAGGCACTGGTGTTACCACGGAACCTAAGCTCTTGCCCAAGGTAATCTTATATCCGAATGATCATCATCAACAATCAAAAGACTCATCTTTTGTATAGCACTTGATATGCCAAGACATGGAAACCAAGCCTGTATATTATCATCAATACATTCTCTACATTGAACGTGAAGATCGAGCCAACCGTTTTTGCTTGTTGCCTCCTAGTCATTGGGTTGCAGATGCACAAGCTCAACACTGCCAATTTGCCTACGCTGACGAATCGGGCCAAATCAAATGCCAATCCGAATTTGACTGGGCCGTGAGACGCCATCATTGCCGAAGGTATGTATTTTTGTGAGATGCTGTGTATGTATTGAATGCTCATCATGATGTAGATGTGGACACATTTTCTGTAACTCGCATAGTAGCAATCGTCTTCCTCTGTTTGATACAGTCAATGGAAAGGCTGAATGGTCGCGTGTTTGCGATACTTGCTTTTACGATTTGGCAGGTGCATCACTATTCCATCCCACCGAACAACAGCAACAATTGCAACAATCATAATCCCCCTATTGCACAATGCTCTATTCTTCATTCCACCACCATCATCACGATACATACACACACACACACACACACACACATTTTTCATCCAACGCACACACATGCGACCCCCTTTTTTTCTTTGTCGATATTATACTCACGCCCACCAACAACATTAATCTCGCTTTTTGTTCCTTTTGCTATGGATGCTGTACACAACTTTTCTTCTTTCTAAAATCACAACACGTATAAAAATACAATAATGAACGTTCTACTTTTGTAATGGGGTGGATGATACCATATCTAGCATGCGTAGGTCATTCTCAAGTGTTTCGAGCTGGAGCTGCAGCGACCTTGATCGTTGTCTACATAGTGTGTGTGCGTGGTTGGTTTAGTATTCTTTTGCCAATATGATGCACATCCCGCCACCTTTCGCATATCTGTGTACATCTTTCACATGCTCCAAAAAGTAAAAAAGAACCAATAGTCACCTGTTCTTCTCCTGGATTGCTTCCGGCACTGTTTCCGTATATCCTTCCTTGTTCATACGTGCATGTAGCTGTTCCATGTCGCGTTTCAACTTGCTCATTTTCTTTTCAGCTTTGGTTTGACGTTGCTTGACAAGGCTGGCAATGTCGACACCCGTAGTGGCCGCTTTTTCCAACTGCGCACGCATCACATCAGCTGTGGGAACAAGGATTTTAAGGTCGTCATCAATAGCGCGCACGGTCCATGTATTGGTGGCACTCTATATATGAAACAATAAGTACACACATGATGATGCGCCCGGCCCCCGCCCCACTCTTCCCACGCCCACTTTACTTACCTCATTGTCTACAAGTGTCAGATCCGATGCTCGCACAAACGTTTTAATTTCATTCATGTAGTTGCTGAGTGGTTCTCGCAATGCTGGGTTGCTGCAATAGATGCTGAATGGTAATTCTTGGCTCACACTAATTTGATGGCTTTGTCGCAGAGAACGTGATGCATGGATAATAGACAAGACAACCTACTCAATAAAACGTTATCACCGATTCAGGAAAAGGTGATGCCCCTACTTGCCTTGAAATGCTTTTCCACATCTTCGTCTTGTAATGGTGCAAGTTGTTGTGTGGTGGGATAGGATTCAATCATGAGAGATGGATTGGGACTACTGGAAGGCACCTTGCCTCGCAAATGCTGCCACAATTCCTATTGCAAGAGGATATGAGTTTCATAAAACCTTGTAGGTGCCACACCTATGCTCTTACTTCAGTGACATATGGCATAAATGGGTGAGCCAATCGCAGTGACACGTCCATGCATGCATGCAAGATATCCAACGTAGCATTCTATTATTAGTGTAAATGCGTGTCAACAGTGATTTCACATGGGATGATGCGCGTAATCACCTTTTCAGCGGCATGCACAGAAGGATTGTTCAAAGTTGCTTTGGAAAACTCGACATAAACATCGCACACATCCTCGACAATGAAACGACGTACGGCATCGGCGGCATCATGCAAACGATAATTCTCAAATCCGGTGTGTACTTTGTCCACAGTATCGGCCATACGTGATAGGATAAATCGGTTCACAAGAGACAGCTGCGAGGCATCCGATGATGAGATGGGCGCAATGTCACCTTTGGTATAGCCATCTTTTTCAAATCGACCAAAGCCAAACTTGAACAGGTTCCAGAGCTTGTTGCAAAAATGAGATGTTTGGACAACGTTGTTGATATCGAGATTGATCTGACGATTCTATTATCATGGGTTTAGTGAATATGCTCGCCTTCCATTAATAACATCATTGTACCTGTTGGGTATAAGCGATCAATGCATATCGTAAAGCATCAGTGCCACATGCTGGGATACCGGATGGGTACTCCTTTTCCAAGTTTTGGATGCTCCTAACAAAAGCACCCACATGTCAATCAATATCCCGCTGTTACATCCAATTCCTTCATACTTTTCAATTTCCTTGGGCGGCAAGTTGCTATTCTTCAGATTGGCCTTTAGAGTATCAAGGTCGACACCTTCAATGACGTGGAGTGGATCAATCACGTTGCCAAGTGACTTTGACATTTTGCGACCTTGAGCATCTCGGACCTAGAGACCCCGCCCCCATTCTCCTTGTCAGTTGGATATACACAATCAGCCCAGCCACAGTTGACTTTACCATTGCATGCAGGAATATGTTTTCAAAAGGAGGGCTCTTGGCAAAATGGTTGCAAAGCATAGCCATGCGTGCCACCCAAAAGAATAAAATGTCATAACCTGTTTCCATAACTTGAAGAGGATAACGATCCTGCAATATGCATGTTAAATAAAGCATTCTTGAGAATCTTGAAAAAGCTTACCGGTACAGGCTCATTAGGTTTACCAGTCCAACCCAAAGCTGACAAGGGAAGCAAACCCGATGAAAACCAAGTGTCCAAAACATCTTCATCCTGTTTTACACGGTACATCAGTTGCCATGTTATTGCATGCTCCCTCTCCTTTTTGTACCTTGACAAGCTTATAGTCGCTATCCTTTGGAATACCATTCTTCTCCAACAATGCCTTGGCTTCATTGTGTGCGGATGCTTCGTCGTCTGCCACAACCCAGAGATCATCTAAAATAAACATGTTAGTTGGTTTCACTAGTCGCTTGTTCACAACCCTTGTGCATACCTTTGTTTTCCTTGCCAGCTAGCTTTACTTGGTATGCAGGAATCTCGTGACCCCACCATAATTGACGAGAAATACACCAATCTTGAATGTTGTCTAATCCATGACATGTAAGTTTGCTTCCAAAGTTTGATTCTCCTCGATTGTCCTTTTCCCTTACCGAGCCAGCGATACCAATCCTGCGTATGTCCACTAGGATGGATTTGCATGGTGCCATCTTCAACTTGCTTACGGGATACTTGAGCAAGGTCACCACAACGTACATACCTATCATATCATATAAGCATCCCATCCCCAATCTCGCTTGTATTACCTACCATTGTGGTTGCAAGAGCGGCTCAATGACATCACCTGATCGAGAGCAAAGGGCAACACGCATGGCATGATTCTCATTCTTGCCTTCATAACATCCAAGTTCTTGAAGTTTGTCAATCACCATACCACGCAGATCAAAGCGATCCTTGCCCTAGAATAAAACAATGATCAGTTTTCCTAAAGGCTTTCTGCCCTTCTTCCCTCCTTAACTTACAATCCATTCTTCCACACCAGCGTTTGCATTGAGCTTTCCTAACTTGTCGAAAATGCTGACAATCGGCAGTCCATGTCGTCTAGCACAAGCATAGTCATTGGGATCATGAGCTGGAGTAATCTATAACATGTATCCATCGTCAGCTATGGAATACCATCCTAATCTCCTCTCCTTTCCCTTTTTACCTTGACAGCACCAGTACCCAACTCCATATCTACAAGCTGATCATCAAGCACAATGGGGAGCTTCGTCTTGTGGATTGGATGTATCACATATTTTCCATGCAAACTCTAAATAGGGATTAGCATCGCATCGTGTAAATTGGATCCATATATAAAACACCTACTTTGTAACGAGGATCATTTGGATGGATGGCCACAGCACAATCGCCCAACATGGTTTCAATACGCGTGGTGGATACGGTCAGCATTTGTACGCCGTTAGGATCAGGGTCTGCAACCGGATAGGAGAAATCGTGAAGCACACCAAATTCCACACTACGGGATCAAGCGTTAGCACATTGAGATACCCCTTCTTTATCTTTTTTCCTCCTTACCCTTCAGGTCGTCCAGGAACTGGGAGCAATGTCTTGCCTGGGATTTCCTTGTATTCCACCTATGCATACACATTAGGGTGCTGCTCTCCATATGGATCCATTTTGAAAACATACCTCGATATCAGAGATGACGGTTTCCAAAGCACAGCACCAATTGACAAGTCTCGTATCACGATAAATGAGGCCATCCTTGTACAAACGAATGAATGCTTCTTGTACAGCTGATGATCGTTGCTTATCCATGGTAAAGAACACGTGATCCCAATCCACCGATGCACCCATGCGACGCATTTGATGTAAAATCCTATCGCCATAGGTGTCTCTCCACTTCCAGATCTCATCCACAAACGCGCTTCGTCCAAGATCATGTCGTGTAATGCCATTCCTCTCTCGTGCGAGCATCTTTTCAACCACACTTTGGGTGCCAATACCAGCATGATCGGTACCTGGAATCCATTGCACTGCATAGCCTGCCATACGTCGATATCGTGCCATACAGTCCTCAACGCTCATTGTCAATGCGTGTCCAATGTGGAGTGAGCCGGTGACGTTGGGAGGAGGTGTGATCATGGTGAATGCAGGTTTGTTGTTGATTGGTTTGAAGAAGCCTTGTTGCTCCCACCATGAGTACCACCCTTGTTCAACAGCTTTGGCATCGTACGTCGAAAGGAACGGTTTATCAGGTCGTTGTCGTTGTTGTCCATGGGAGGTCGATTCGCGTCTCAACAATGCTCGTGCATGGGGCCATGAATGTCCCGTTGTGGTAGTTGTTGTTGTTGGACGTATACAAGTGCGTGCCAGCAGACGACTGGCCATGGTGGAGAATCAACAAGAAGAAAGCAAGAGTCGTCGCTCTTCAGTCACCCAAAGGATTCCCGATACATACAATAAATAGCGGCCTGTCAAAACAATTGAGTTTATGCAAGGAATATAAAAGCGCATCACACATTTACATAGCGATCTTTATTAACAAGAAGGGAATTGGATTGTGAGAGAGTGAAAAAAGAGAGAGAGAGAGAGAGAGGGATGTAGTAGTAGTAAAAGGAAAGAAAGAGAAGAGTTTTCTTTTTTTTATATGTGAAATGATTGTTGTTGTTCTCGACAAGTGTGATGAAGAAGGTGTTGTGGAGGGGGAGGTGGGGGAAAGAAGAATCAAGCAAAAACAAAGAGAGATAATTGGAATGAATTGTATGAGGTATTGTTGACGGTGATGGTGAACAAAAGGGAATGAATGGGTTGTTGTATAATATCGTGTGTGAATCTCTTACAGGAAAAAGTGGGTGTACTGACGGCTGTCAACATGGACATCCATATCAGTAAGCTTGTACTCGTTCAATTCCTGCTTGATTTTCATGGCCATCATGGGGGTCATCTTTTGGCAAGTAGCATTAGAGTCGCAACGACGGTCATATTCGGATGCAGCAAAGGTCTCGTGAACTTGAATGGTGGGACAAAACTGTAATCGGCGTCTTGGTTGTTCCGTGGATGAGGATGCATTGGTCATGGTGTTGAGGGAACTTGTAGATGACGATGCAGCAGGGCGTAAACGAGGTGATCCATGCAATGGCAAGCCATAATGCATTCCTACGGTGGGAGGGGGTGCCATATCATGGGGCTGTTGTTGTTGGGCATTGGATGAAGTAGATGATGTTGCAGATGGTGTGGGAGATGGCAATGCTTCCATCATACGGCTCTTGGGTCGATTGCTTGCAGCTGAATTTGGTGAATCACCTACGTATCATCTTTGGGTAAGCTACCTTCATTCATTATTATAGGCAAACGCATACACACACATACCTTTAAGCATACTCCTTCGGATGGCAGCATCCGTTGTATCCACTCGCAACACAGGTCGTTCATTGTTGTTGTTGTTGCTGTGCTCTTGGTTCTTTTGAAAGAGAGATGCAAAAGAACGTCGACGTGCGGGTCGAGGTGTTGATGTGTTTCCTGTTTCATGCACAGTGGCAAGTGACGTGTTGGATCCATTACGAGAGGGTATCATGCCAAGATTTGATGAGGAATTATTATCCTTGGATCGCAAATGACTCATGCTAAACACCTTGCGTAATCGCTTGGATAAGGATAACTTGGTATTGACCGACATTTCAGACCGAATCGAGAAGGTTCCCGAAGATACCGATGTGATGGATGAACGCCGGCCTGAATCGAGTGAGGGTGCTGGTGAAGGTACAGAGGATGCTGTCGATGATAAGGAAGGAGGTCGATCAGCAGGCACACCAGGATGATGTTGCTTTTGTCGTTCACGACGTCCAGCAGCATAATGTTGCTGTTGTTGTTGTTTAAGAAGCTGAGATGATCGATTGGCTCGATTGTTGTTGAATTGCCGGTTAGGTGTAGAGGTCGATTTTTGGATATGAATAGGGGCTGAATGAATACTACTCGTATCACTCGGAGTACGTGGTCGTGATGGACGAGACCGAGATGATGATGGTGGATGTGATGGTTGCTTATTATCATTATAGGCGTAAGGGGTAGCATTGCCGTAGTAGTAGTAAGCGTTGCTGGGAGTCGTTGTAGCAGCGGGAACGTAATGTGGCTGTTGATGAGGTGGTTGCTGTGCATGGGGATGCACCATGGCAACCATAGGTTGAGGATACACCCACGCGTCTTGCTGAGGCTGTAAAAGTTCAACCATACACAATTAGATCCAGATGATGATAAAGAAAAAAGGGGAATATGAGCAAGGCAGGTTGTTTGTCTTTGACAAGTTTTCTTTCTTTTGCAAAAAAGAAAAGAAAACAAATCAAAGAAAGGAGGTGGGTGGTATAGAAGATTGAAAGAAAGCGTGCGAGAAGAAAGGGCCGGGTTTAAAAATAACCCTGACTACCATATGGGGTAATTACACCTGCCCTGCTCAATTAGACATTGGGTACTTGCCTGCTGGTCAAGCCGCAGCTTGCTAGTAAGATACGTTGCCAACGCAGCGTCATCCGTCTTCTTAGCATGATGCTGTTCTTGATGTTGCTGTGTAGGTGCACGAAGGGCGACAGGTGTTTGTTGCTGTACCATCGCTGACATTTTTTTTATATTGCGTTTCTAATGAGATGTGTGCGACGAAAGGTGATGAAGCGAGTATAAGGGGGGAAGAGAAAGAGAAAGATAGCCGTTGGATGACAAGGAATTGATATAAAATTGGTCAGGTTGTTGTTTGTAAAAAGTGTGGGTGGTGCGAAAAGAGTGGAGTTGGTGTGTGGGTGGGTGGTATGATTGTACAAAGAGAGAGATAAGTGAAGAAAGACTGTATTATGTACAGGTAAGAGTATGGGTGGTAAAAAAAAGTCGATGAGTTGTTTGAAGCAAGCCGTTACTGTGTTTCAAGAACAAGAAAGAATCGGATGCATTCAATGTATCAAAGAGAAAGAACTCTTCAAAAGGTGTGTATTGACGAGGGGGAGAGGTGTGAAATAAAAAAAAAAGAGCTGATATCGACAAAAAGGCGTAGAGTCAAAAAAAAAGCAAGGATGTCGTGAGGTTGCACACACCAATAAAGCCTCACAACTTGTGCATAAGTGCTTGGCTCCGCTCCAAAGTCGTGTTCCCTTGCCAGATTTGCTCTTTACCAAAACAGGGCTACGCCAAACACAAAGCTAATATCGCTCTCATTTGCTGATGTTGCCCGGCAACCATACACGCTCGTTGTTGCATACAATGCAATTCACACACTCATATACACAAACATGTAAACATGTTCAATGCCTACCAAACCATATTTACGGCTTGCCGGTATACACACACCCCAAGCCATTGATTTGCTCTTCCTCTTTTCATGATGTTTTTATTTTCATTTTTCAACCAAACCGGAGTAACAGGAGAAGTATGATGGGAGACTGACATCGTAGAAATGCTTGCATGAAAACGTCGTGAGCTTGTTACTTTAATGAAAACTTTGTTGGTGTTAATTGGCATAGGCGGCCTAATCGACCATAAAGGTATAGCTGCGGACAACAACAACAACGATCTCTCATTAAAGCCATCAAGAGAGGAAATATCCGACAAACGCGTCATTATCTTGATCCATCAGACAATCAAAATCCTGTGGGAGACAAAGAGAAAAGAAAAGGATCGGCATGTGTATAGGTTATACAATATGCGCCCACCACAACAACAATCTTGATCACAGTACCCGATAGCAACAGCAATAATGAAAAGGAGCAACGAGGAGCCCAGCAATCTGTATACGCTTGTTTCACCAAATTGCACTTTTGGATATGTGGCAAGGGACAGTGATCTTGCCGTATTGCAATAGAGTGGATGGATTCGATGGGCAAGGAGCAAGAATATAAATACGTGGCTCATCAAGGAGGAGGATCATCCACTCATCCATCATACAAAACTGACGAAGTGATAGTGCCCTTGATGTTTGCCAAGCTTTTTATCCAGTTTACTTTGAACCATCTACTTTTTTTTTGGGTTGTGTTCATTGTCTGCTATTCCCGAAGGTAAAACCGAGCTAATTCAAGTGATCTCCCCCAAGCCAAAAACGTCATGGCGGGTTGCTGCAGCCAAGGAGACAGCCTTGTAGGACACGTGCCCATGCTAATGATGCACCACACATGTATATATACATAGACCAAAAAACCCTTGTGCATATCCCTGAATCGTTTACTGATCTGCAAATGCTGCAACACAGCATCTTGATTGATACACCAAAATTTCTTTATCATATACGAAGATGGTCGATAAGGATATCCGCAACCTTATTGCTATATACCTATAACATTCTTTTTCGGTCATGTCAGAGGATAAGGTATTTTCATGATCTAAAATGTGTCATCTTGTTGAGCAAAACAGGAAAACAAAGGTTGCAGAGAAGCTAAAGCCTGATGAGTTTCAAAGCTTTAGAGCCGTTGTGTGTGCAACCTTTTGTGACACAGCTGTTTGCATTGCATATTTTTGTCGCACACATTACATATTCGTAATAATGGGGAAAACGAAGACTTGGTTCATTGATCAATACTATACAAAAGACCATCCTCACCAGGAAGTGTGGTTACCATATCAACAAGGAGCGAATGCACTATAAAAAGGGATGGTCATATTGCTTTTAGGTAGGGTCGTCGTAAGGGTTCAAAAAGCTATCCTCCGTGACCTTGGAAAGCACCTGCCCTTGGCTCTCGTGAAAGGATTGTTATTATATTTAGGAGGTTGGATGCGCATGTGTACGTGTAGAGAGACCATGTGAGTAACGTTTGTGGATGACAACGACACCATTTGCTATTGTTAGCAAGCATTTTTGAACACGAGGATTGCGTTGCTGTCGATGTTGATCATCAGATGCGTGCACCATCAAGATGCTTACATGAGAATCTGCATGCTGTATGTATCACTGAGATCATCCATCTTCCCATGGTGCATGATTGTTTGTATAAATATCAAATAATGACATGTGAGAAGAGGGACAAGGATGACCCCATTTTGGATGAACTACTATAAAAAATGTATCTTTTTTTGATGAGCAGGTGAAAGATGTGGTGATGTTGCTATTGATGGATGGCGTTACGTACTCGTTTCGGAAACCGCTCGCGTCAAACGTGAGCGTATGTTGCAGCAAATTTACTTGTAAGAGGTTGGCTAAATTGCATGGCGTCATCGATAGATGCTTCATCGTGTTTGTGTTACATGTATCGTCCCCCGCGCGCTCATAAACAAAAAGATCATATGAGAAGCTACAGATGCAATAATGCAACTCCGCATCAGATACGACAATAAGCTTCTTCCATGTGTTCGGCGATGAGCCTTTCAGGTACCCTTGCTTGTGTAGCAGCCCATTGCTGCACGCTGTTAATGACTTACATGGGTATCCATTGCCATGGTAACCATGCTGATCCTTTCAAATATGCCATGCTCATCATGTAACACAGACATTAATGGCTGCATGCTGTTGCATTCAGCTGGATGGGACAACAAGGCGAATCATTGCTTTTTCCAGTTTGATGGCTCGTGCGCTCGTGACACGGCAAAACATTCTTCAGCATGTTATCAATAGACGTTGTTAAGATACATGAAGGTTTACTGTTATTATGGGGGAAAAAGAAACTATCGGTGGATGTAGGTAGAGATAATCTCGTAGTCTGAAACGCGTAAGGATGGTGCATCATCTTCTTCCACAACAAAGTAAACGAGATCCCGAGGCAAGTTCTAAGCAATAACACTGAAAGCAATGGGTAAAGATCTTGACGGATAAGGAAGGTTAGGAATCGACCAGGGCATGGCAACATTGCAATCCTGACAATGGACACCCGATTAGCAGCAGCATCTCCAACGCCTTTCACCACATCAGATAGCACATTGTGTATCTCAACAAGACCAACCTGGACTACATAATGTACCCGCCATTCAACGATGACTCGTACGGACAACTTGAGGAACCGGTTGTAGGTGGATATCAGTCAACAAAAGGAACCTCGTCGACTCGCATGGTGATGATGGCTGCCAAAGTGAATCTGCACTATGCAATGGTGGGATGAAGTATCAAACTTGCAAGCCACCTTCAGCCCGTATATCGGTAAGAGGAACTATGGTTCGTTATTTGGAAACCACGATGGCTGATATGCTTTATGTAGCATTGGCTTTTTTTGACTCGATGATGCAAAGCTACGTTGACGAATACTACATTGGATCGATCATGCGCTCGAACGTTATGCATTTGACGACGTTTTACCCGCGAGTTATTGAGATGCGGCATGGATGCAGCATTGCATGATATTGTTGGGAATACGGTTGGACGACTACTACAAGTTGCTATCCTCTTCATTCAATCGACGTACCGAGAACGCACACAAGCAAATCCAAAACCAAGATTACATTCACATTGGCAATGTACGCTATGCAACGAGCTATACGACAAGCAATATAGATCATCCCATGGTACATTGCAATCTCTCGAAGGGAAGTGGGAAACAAAACAAAGGCTCTTTTGGTGGTACATAATGCAACCTGTCATCAGCCATACTACTCGGTCTTTATCGCCATCATCAGCTACCGCACTTTATACCATGATTTGGATGATGACATCAACAAAGCCTAGTTATCATGAATCTCCGTCAGCTGTTATTTGTGTAAAGGACAGCGAATGCCATGTCATACTGGAATTAGGCGACTATCATCATTGACACCATCATCGCACCAAGCGGCGTTCTAGACTAAGGATAAGGAGGACGAGGAAGAGGAAGAGTAGAGCTATCAATCCACAGTACTCAATGCAATGGTGTTTGAAAATAAAGCTTGGCAGATCTAGTGTTGTGACATAGATGGTATATCCAAATGCTCTTATTCCTTATGTGCTATCAATAGAAAACTGTGCCTTGTATTCTCTCTTATGGGTCGAATAGCAGGGTCTCCTTTCCATTGATTCTTTTTACGTATATTCCTTTGGATGTTTACAAATAAACCTGTCATCAAAGTCCATTACCAACATGTCATTCGATCCCTTTCAAAGAAGCCCCATCTTTCAAGCTTTACATCAGCAGCCTTGACCCGTACATTCCATCACGATGCTGCTATGCATGTCTCCATACCTGAAATCATACAGCCATCCAATTCTACTATTACGTTCATTTTCCAGATGTATATCATCAACAGCGCTATCGTTGGCAGAGGTGCTGTGAGAGAGTATACACCACACGAAAGGGTGTCGTCATTGTGTTACATGACTCGTTTTCACACAGACATTTTGTGCCTCACCAATGAACTCCGAAGCGCCCCAAAATCAGTGTTTATGTAATTAACTCTTTTTCATTCGGCGATAGCGAGAATCTCAAGCAACATAGTCGATAAAACGTCTAATTCATCCATCAAAACTTCTTCAGACTCTTATCGTATGTAGTTTTATATCATCGTATCGACTTTTGATGATGCAGTGTCACTGTGAATCATGTGGTACAGGCATTGCATGCATTTCGCAGGACATGATAGGCGGGGTTGTACTTTGGGCTGGTGGCTCGTGCGCTCGTGACACGGCAAAACATCCTTGTACATCCAGGAACCCGGTCATCTATTAGTCAACCTATCCCCATTGCATTCCTTTGATTGTTTGTACTCATAGCTACAGGCACTTGATAATACCAAAGTACATGTTAATGAAAACTGGCTCCCGTTGAAAACCTTTTTCAAGAGTGCTCGTCACCGTCACCCATATCATTTGCCGTCGTTCCGATGCTTTTACCGATTATGCGTTGTTGGAGAGTGGTTCCTTTTTTAAATATGCTGACGTGGCTCACTTTATCGGCCGGGTGAATTATGGGTGCGGCAGCTGTCACAATGATTTGCGTGATCAAAAGGAGGAGCAAGCCGTATCGCTCGCTTTTGCCGAGACAACGGCTTATTGTATTGCCCATTACAAACCTATATCCCAGCATCACTGAAACATGTTTCTATTATGATCATCATCGCCATGTGACCCCATCCAAGATGCCATGCAGTGCTGTACGGCCATTATTAACCATTGTCAACACCTCAACGACCATCACCACAAAATAAATTAATGGTCGCCATGGCAACTAGTAGTAGGTGACACGTTTCCTAGGGAATGTTGCAATATAAACATGTTGCAACGTTTAGCTGTAAATGAATGTGGAACCAACATGTGTGAAACAGGATCAACAATGCTGCTGTGCTATAATGTGGTTTTACTGCTCTCAGCGGATGATGCCCATCACGACGACGACGACTCTAGGGACATTAGGAACAATGCTCTTTTGATTCACGAGATGCGATGATTACGATGCATTCTGCAAGGTAGCACATGGAATGTCAATAATGATAACATCCATAATAATGACCCATATCCACCACACACCACATGGTGCTGTTGACCCCGCGGTGCCACACAGTTTGCTTCTTTACCTGATCGAGCACCCTGTATTGTGTTGTGTCACATAACCTGGTACAAACAAGTCGTTTTATGGGTGTAGCAGCGTCGATTTTAAGAAAAATCTTTTCATCTATGATTCAATTTGAGCTGTAAGAGAAATTTTATGGGTTGTTACCCTATACATATATGCATGGGTAGGATTAGCAAACAACAACAACATCACCACCAACCCGCAGGGTGTTGTTGTTGTGCCGCCATCCATGTATGCAGCTGACCAGTGTTGCCAATCTTGTGAGATCATTCACGCACATAGGAGTGGGGGCGTGTGTATATATATATGCGGCTGAGTTATGAACCTTGTCTCCCGGGAATCGGATGACGACCACAGCGAAATGCAATATTGCCATCTGTAGCGGTTGAAGATCATATTCTTTTATATGATCTCATGTTGTCGTATTGCTTATCAACAACGGCCTTTTAGAGTTTACGAGTGAGAAAGGGGGTCGATACAAGTACACGCCATGTTGGCTGTGTGTGCACCACCACTACCACCCACATGCATGTGTGCCGAAAGCATAATCAAAACTCGCTTTGTCCCCGCCGCCACACATCAACGTAGTATTCTTTGATCGTTGGTTCTCCTTTTTGGTGCGCTCCTATGTATAGCGTATAGTAGTCATTATCCCTTATCTGATATGGTAGGTCTATTGGGGCTCATTATTAAAGCTATTATGGCAGCAGCAGAGTCAACAATATCATCGATTCAGCATTATCTCGTGCGTCGTTGTATTACAAAACCTTGCAATATTGGTGATGATGGGGTCATTTGGACGTGGTATGCTATAATGAATAATGGACCGGGTTTGATTATGCTCGTCATCTTCCACAAAGAATAGCCATTCCACCTTTTTTATTCTCCCACACAGAGCATCGTTTTCATTGTTGGATGCATGCATCTGCCATGTATCATTCTCCTTGTGCTATTGATGATGTTGCTACTTTTTCCATCTTGACCATCTTGGCTTTTGACTCCCATCATCTCCGTCGTTTTTCTCCTTGCTGCATATCACAAGGGTGTAAAGCCGATCTCGGAGGGGAAGATGAGTGTAATACAAATGATGATGTCGATATGAACAAATGATCATCCATAGATGATAGACATTGAGTGCATAGCATGTATGTTGGGCGTCATGCGTGCAATTTGAAACGCATTGCGATATGCATATGCTGCTGTGCTGCTGATCAACGGGATGAGTGTGAATGAAAGAGGGAACCAAAAGGAACGTTGTTACAATTCATCATCATCTTCTTGCATACATACATACATACAAACCCCCACTCACGGTGCAAAGAGAAAAAAAAAGATTGTCTCAGATCTTGATGCTGCTCTCTCTCACTCCTTTAGCAAAACTTGTCTGGACCCAACGTAAACCAGCCAATTTTGGCCATGAATGGCATTTTTTGGCTGAGAGTAATAGAATGGACCGATCCAATGTACGACCCTGAAAGCCTACATTGTGTGGGTATGATGATCAAAACGATGGAGGAGTTACAACACGCGTGGTCTTTGAATGGTGTATGTGTCAGAGTTCTTTTTTGTTCGAGATCTGATTTACTCTTGCTGTTTCTAAGCATGCATACCAATCCCCATATAAACGTTGGATTACGATGATGATGAGAGGAGAACACATCACAAAAGATAACATGCCTCGATGCAAAAAGATGTAGTTGTGGTGGTTGTAGTAGTCCCCCAAGGTGAAGGTTGGCTCCCATTTCCTGACACCGCATGTTGTACAGGAGAGCAACGTTTAGAAGTATAATGGCGGGCTTGTGTATCCTAAACTTGCTGCATCTCATTCGCAGCAAAAAACCATATCTTGGGGCAAAACAACAACCACACGCTAATGTGTTGTCCATCACACTCGCATACGCCAATTATAAAACGCCCATGAGTTTCATCCTTTTGCATGTACCTATTCATGGAGACATTACATAGCCCTAGAATGCGGCGAATGAGCCAGCTCTAAAAGACTTGTCAAGAAAGAATACCCTATCCAAATTTTCCGATTCTCATTGTATCACCTTACATGTCCCAGTTTAGACTAAAGTGGGGGGACGAGAAGGAGTTGGGGGGTTGATATGTGTGTGTATGTATGTGTTCCGTGCATGACGAGACATATACACATACACACACACATACACAGCCGACCACCCCAGAGGCTAAAATACGATGCAACACCAGCACCTTGTTCTCAGCTCGAATTACTCTTTTTCTTCTTTTCTTTCTTTTCTTCTCTAAACAACCCTTCACACTACAACATAGCCACACGCGTGTTCTCTTCCACCGGCTTTTTTCATCAAGCAACAATAACAATAACAACATGGTGCTAGTATCATCACTACGACCGCCTCAGGATTTACCTAGCTTGTGCACCATTGTTGTTTCCACCTTGTGGGTTCAATATTATCCTTCATCATCATCAACCAAAGCGGTACAGCAGCAGCTATGGGATGATGCACGCCGTTTGGAATTTCACACCTATTGCCAATCGATTCTTTCGTATCTCAACATCTCCCCTTCTGTCATTTACACGAGGTACATCATCGACAACATGTTGAAAAAGGAGCACAGAAGGAGGGGTCGATAACTAAATGATCACAGTTTAAAATACGTTCAGAACTACCTTTCGTCATTACCGACAAGCATTCGAACCACGCTGGCGTACGGCTCCGAAAGGGCCATCTTTGTCATTGCACTCCTCCTTGCATATAAATTTGTTGAGGACTGTGGATCGGTTGATACAGTAAGTTTGTGTTTGTGTGTGTGTGTAATACTCCTCCCCCTCCTTTACCGTATTCGTATGATGGGGCGAAAAAAGGCAAAAACTCATTGGGTTGTTTGATGTAGAACTATTGGTCGCAGGCGTCCATGATCCCTATTTCAGCATTAAGAAAGATGGAAATTGATTTTCTGTGTCAAGTGGATCACAAGCTCCACGTGGACAAACCCGCGTTCGTCGGATGGGTCACTCAGTGCAACGCAACTTTTGAGCAATCCTTGTACCTTTGTACCATGTCATCCAACAACAGCATTTACTCCTTCCAATTACCGGACAAACTTTATCATCCACCTTGCTATGATACAACAACAACATCACCACATACGACGACAATGATGATGATGATGCCTACCATGAGTGATTCGACAACGACGCTTTTACATCCAGCATCTACCACCTTTGTGTATCCTCCTCCTCCTTCTTGCTACTATTATAGCTGGCACGATCATCATCATCATCATCATCATGACGGCTCATGGCACAATCCACCACAACACTTGTTGTACCCTGATGATCACATTTCTTTTGCATCGTCACCACCCGATAGCTGCAACTTTATGGGTTACGGAACCTATCCCGAGATGGGGCCTTACTTTGCATTACCGCCCATGCCAATGCAGTAACAACAACATTTGCATACACATTGTTACACCACCACTACCACCAAGCACACTATATATTCCATATCTCGTTCCCTTCCTTTGCTTATCGCACCTCTTGTATATATCCCTTGCTCCTTAATTCTGTAACATAATCTTTTCTCCCTCTCCCTTCATACTTTAATAGAGACCCATATTGAATGAAAGCTCTTTTTTTTTGGCGCTGAATGATAAATGTGGGACGTGTATTTGAGTCTGTACAATTACAAATGGAATGGGATTGATCGAGCGTAGAATAGATGCGATAATATAAATGTGTGTGTGTGTGTGTGAGAAAATGGGGTAATGATGTTGGTGTGTGTGTGTGCATGTGTGTCTGTGTGTGTCTGTGTGCGTTGAATCGAACTTATTTCTTTGACTTTTTCTTCTTCTTGGATGGTTGTACTTCGGCATCGAACTTGCCCATGGAAGCAGTAGCCGACTTTGAAGCAGCAATGGCAGCCTTGAGTTCTTCCTTTTTGAAATCCTTGATTTGAGACTTGCCAGCCATCTTTGCAGCGAGGTTCTCGTCTTCGTTGCGACGTTGACGCTTCTTGTTCTTTTCCACACGTTCCTTCTTCTCCTCTCGCTTCTTTGCATACATGTCCTCCATAGGATCGGCATGTTGAGGTACTTCGATAAGCCAATCGTCCATCTTGTCCTTTTGGCCACCACCATAGCCCCAGCGAGGAACGTATTGTTCTTTCTCCTCGTCCCAAACGAATCTTTCTCTCTTGCGGTTCTGGATACCCTTGGCCTTGGCAAACTTTTCCCAGCGAGTAAGAGGCTTGTCCTTGGGCAATGGCTTCTCACGTGGTAACTGATAGGTGCGTGTTGGCAACTTTGCAAGGACACCAGCATCAGCTCCTTCCACTGGCAACTTGAAAATTTCATTCACAAGCAGTTGTGTGTTGTCTCGTGTCAGCTCCTTCACATACTCTTCTGGATCAGCTCTACACATTGTAAAGTAAGTCCATTGAATCAGATCCCCCTTGCCTACTATTACTACTATTACTACTACTTACTTGAGCTTCTTCTCGTCAAAGGCATTGGTATCAAAGGCAGTCAGCAAATTGACATCGAATTCAAGTGGAATGGCCTTCTCGACAGTGATCGGCTTACTATTATCAAAGCAGTGTAAGTTCTCTTGCACTCAATGCTGTCCTGTCAGATCCACTTACAATTGAGCCTTGTGGGCTTCCAAGATCTCGGTGACGTCCATGATCAAACAACTGAAGCAAGAAAAAAAGTTCCAAGCCTACATACAAAGCAGCTGTTAAATTTGCCATCCCGCACGGTCACGAATCCGACGATGGAGAATGGGCCTTAGCTGGGCTGGCCTGGCCTGCCTTGATGACAAGTTTCACCTATCAGCAACCCAAGGACATACATACAGTCATTCATTCGATATAAAAGGTATGCCCTCCTTGTCCTTGAAACGATCTAACATTACAGCTCTAACAAACACATGCCTTGTTTGTTTGTACTTCTCCCAGATATGGCTGTCATCATCATCATCATCATCAAGGGATCCTCCTTAATTACCTACTTGTTTTTGATACCGGTCCCAATCCAAGAGTGTGTGTAAGTATTCAAGCAAAAACAACATGTGGAAGGCAACAACGCTAACCTTCTTCTTTTTCATTCATAGTAGATCTTTGTCATTTCAATGCTTGTTGTACTTTGAATGTCTTGGTGGTTGCTATAAGAAGATGAAGAAGACAATGAGGATGGACGAGAGCATTGATACGTATCACGTTGGGGTGCATGATAAGTGATTGAAAAGGAAAGGCATTGTATGCAAGCATGTTGTCTTTTTGTTGGTGGCACACCCATTTTGGCTTGTTGTTGGTACCATCCTAATATGGCAGCTCATGAACCTCTTGTTGACACCACCACCACCACCTCCAGCAATGACTACAAAATCCCTTTATTTTCCCATCCATTTGTTTCCCTCTACCTTTCATTATCTTCTTCTTTTACATCCAACATGTACACTCCTCGTTCTGATTGGCGTCGCAATGATCCCAACATTCGCCCAAGTAGTGTTGCAACTTCCTACAACAGTAGCCCACCTTTGACAAAGAAGCCATCCAAGACTGCCCTTGAAATGGATCATTCGGATGATAAGATGCACAAGTTGGCAAGGCGACCTATCCCTGGAAAATCAGTAGCAGCACTACAACAGCAACATCAATACTTTATGCAACGATCCATGAGTCCATCGGGATCGGTGCGTAGCAATGCATCCTCCGAACGTGGAGTTCCTCAACAACAACAACGCCTCTCACCACTTTCCAACAACCATCATCATCAGCACCAACAACAACAACAACAAGAGGATTATCTTCAGCATCCACAAGAAGGTGTGGAAGATCGACCTGTGTCCCCATCAGCTACCATAAGATCGGAACAAAGCTCCCTTGCTGCAAGCACTGGTAGCTCTCAACAAACCATCATTCGTCGACTAAGCACAAGCAGCTCACAAGAATCAAAGGTAATACAAGCAATGAATGGGTTTATTACGTATGCTTACAAGTAACATACTTATATAGGTTGCTAGGGAAGGATGGATTTATCGTAAGAATAGCCTTATGGTATGTAGATCGCTCTCTTATCATCATCATCATTCTCAAATTGACATCTTTTTATTATTATCCAGCAATGGAAATCAGTTTATGCGGTGGCCAAACATGGCAATGCTGTCAAACCCGGTGGATTATATATCTATAAGGATGACAAGGTAAGCATGAAGGTGCATTGCTCTCCATCCATATACATAATTAACATACGTTCTTTATATCTAGTTCTCAAGTCATATCCATACCTATGATATGAGCCAAGTGGTGGAAGTGGAGCCACGATCACAAGAATACAAGCCTGGTGTCAAGTGGGAGTTTCGCATGTTGATCAAACGTGACGACGTCTTTTTCGCAGCGGATGACTTGCCTACACGTAAAGCATGGATTGACGCATTGACAGCCATTATGGGCAAGGTATCCATGGCCAGCCATAGCGAACTCCAATCACGTGTCGCTGATGCTGATCAAGTGAATCGTGAGCTGCAATCTCGTATGGCGGAGAGTGATCAAGCCAACCGTGAGCTTCAAATGACCGTCGACCACTTGCAAGCTGAAAACCAAGAACTCGAAGACCAAATCACTATTTTGCAAAAAGAGGCAGCAAAGATGCGACAAGAACACATGGCACGCCATAAGGATATGACAGCTGATATGGATGATTTACAACAAAGCATGGATACCCGATGCGAGTTGCTTGAACGTGAAGTATCCATTTGGCGTAACAAGTCAGCCGTGCTGGAAAAGGAGCTTCAGGAACAACAAAATCAGCACCAGCAAGAAACAGAACAACTCAAAAGCGAGATCCAGGAATGGCGTGAAAAGGCACAGCAACAGCAACAGCAATCATCGATGGCATTGGAGAATATCGAATCAAGCAGCAGCAACAGCAGCACCAATAACAGCCTAAGAGAAACCATTACCAGTGTCAAGTACAATTTACAAGCATTACGTGATCACATGCGATCCGACAATGGTCCTTTGGTGCAAAGCCATATCATCGATATCAAATCCGGTGTCAATCGACTTACTGATATCCTCGAAGATTCACGTCGTGGATGGGATGAATTACAAACCGAGGTGCGTGAATGCTTGATCAATAATAACAAGGAAGGCAGCAGCAACAACAACAATGGTGAGCAACCTACTGCTGTGGCTGATTTACGACGTGAAATACTCGGCGATGATGATGATGATGATGGCATCGACAACAATGGCAACAGCAAGAATATGTCCGTTTCAGCCAAACTCAATGTCATGATCCAGATGGTGGAGCTTTTACAGCTCTCTCAGACCAAGTTGATGGAGTCGTATATGGAACATGCAGATGAAGAAACCAAGGGCGTCCATATTGACAAGGCAAGAATGGAATCAGTACAAGCCATGTTTGAGGATATTCAAGCGAAGCTCAATGGATCTACTACAACCACTACCGCAACCAAAGGAGGCCATGATGACGATGATGAAGAAGAAGCGCTTGGTAGCAAACTTGCACAATGGATGGAAGAGATCAAGGCTGTGAATCGTGAAGCACATGACAAACATGGTGCACAATTACAAGAACTTGTGGAACACAACATTCAAGCGGATCAAGATCGAGAACAAACCATTGCACAGCTATTGGAGCAAATGCATGCCGAGCAAGAAAAGGCCACCGACAAGATCTTTGCCATGATTCAACAGCTGCAACGAGAGCAGCAACAACAATCAGACGTACCCAAAAAGAAGGAGACGTATCAAGATGGAAGCAAAGATTCTATTTCCAGTACTACAGCCGAGGAAGTACACCAGCTTGTGGAAGGCACTCAAGACTTTATTGAGCGTACATTGCTTGTATTGGATCGTTACAATCATTCTGGTGTTGAGGAAACAGTGCGTCGAGCTGTCAAGAGTGCATTCAACAGCCATCTTGGAGCCAATTGGCAAGAGAATACTGCTAAGGAGAATGAAGAAAAGCTCAAGCGCTATGAGGAGACTGCACGTACATACATTGATCGATCCATGACGGGCATGCAAGAACACATGGTGGAATATCTTGGTGAAATGTATGGCATGATTGAGGAACTCGTCAAAATGGCTGTCGCACGTCTTGAACAACAAATCGGTAGCCAACATGATGGTGGTGCACCCCTCGAGCATATGAAGAATGGTGGTAAACGTTTGGATGATGCTGCTGCAACAAGCGAATTGGTCGAGGTGTATCGTAAATTGTGTGGCACACGTGATGTTCTCGAAGCTGAGATTGAGCGATTCCATCAAGAACGATCCGAGCTTGTCAAAGAAATTGATGAGCTAAAGTCCACTTGTGCTGAAGTCCGTCGTGAATTGGAAGATAGCAAAATGGCCTTGCAATCCATCAAGATCGAATATGAAAAAGTGCAAGATGACATGCAACGAAAGCAACAAGAGCGGCTCGCTTGTGAACTAGAACCATTGATACAGCAAATCTCCAAGCTCAAGCAGTTGGCTTCTTATGGCAGCAGTGTCAGCGGTAGCAGTGATGAGGATGATAGCGTTTCTTCACCTTCAGGAGGCTATGTTGATCTTGGCCATCTTAGTCACCCACCACCTCAGGTATGTATTGTGTAGATTATGTATTACATGATGAAGTTGCAAACATTTATTACGTCCATTATAATAGTCGGCTGCCAATAATCGATCACGACCTTCTTCCCCTTTGCCAGGGGGAAACGCAGCTTTCACAACAAGCAATCGTCCAAATCTTCAAGCACCATCTGGTCCACGCGCCTTTGCTGAACGAAGAGGATCATTTGATGCATCATCAACACCCATTTACAGTGATACCAATTGGAAGACTTCGCATGATTCTAGGCCAACCATTGCAGGAGGACGAGAACGACCACCATCTCAATTTATTGGTTACAGAACACGTAAATAAATTTGCTTAGCAACATCATTACCCAGTTGGAAGTATGAATGTTAATAAAGACATCCATTCCGTGTATATAAGAAATCAAACGTCATCTTTGACATAAACCATATTTGCATCACTCGATTCAACGACCAAAGACAAGTGAATGTATATTAGCTGTAGATATAGGGAGGTAACAAGGGTTGTTCTAGAGCATCATCAAGGGGGAGGAAACTCATGAACCAAGGCGCTGACCACGACCCCAAGCATGACCACCAAAGAGATTGGTATTTTGGCGTGTTTGTTGTTGCTGTTGTTGTTGACGGCCTGGCCACATGCCACCACCTGTAGTGAATCCACCTTGCTGGACCGAAGGGGGAAACATGCGTTGCAAGAATGTTGGGGTTTGTAAATAACGGCGACCACCTTGACTTGGATAGGTCGTTGTCAAGTAATAGTAAATGTGTGATGCTCCAATACCAACCAAAGATGGGGTAGGCATAGCACCATTCACCAAGAAATCGTAGGCCACCAACACCCATGGCAAGTACTTTGCCTATGTACATACATACCCTCATCAGTCCTCTTTCCTTTCCTTGCCAATATAGATCCACCATCTTACCTTGAATTGGATGCCAAACATGAATGTCACAGGTACTTCACGATAATGCTGCGACCACAAGTAGGCCACTGACAAGAGAAATCCATCACTCAATACGAACAAGTTCAAAAAGCGCGCTGCAGCCTATATACACAATCAATCAATACACCATTCCTCAAGCTACCCACCCCTCCTTTTTGATATCATACCAGCTGTAACACGCCTGTAACCAAATGATAGTAAATGTAATCAGCCGTTCGACCACCAAAAACCTCTGTCTCCAATTGTGTAGAGTATCGATACATGAAAAACAAGTTCATAGCAAACGCCAGACCCAGCCTGTTGACAAAGAAACATGTCACCAGACGCCATAGCTACCCATGCAATCACATGAATGAGAAAGAGGAAGGGAGACAGAGAGAGAAGGGTCCATGGCAATGAGGTTCTTACCTGTAGTTTGGAGAGTGCATTCCAACTGAGAACGAGATAATACGGTTCAATCAAGCCAAGAGCAGGTGCGACAGTGGCTGCTACCGAGATAGTGAAGATGGCCTTGGTAATGGGAGGAATGGACTGGTACCATTCAACGATTTCGTTGCGTTGTGGTGGTGTTTGTGGTGGCATAATGGTGAGACACGTGGATGAAGTGCGTAGACTTTGCTGGAATTCTCTCCGCAAAAAGAAATGCAGCAGCACACAGCTGGATCAATCAACCAACCAACCAACCAACCTCCTCACTCCTCCCAAGTAACAAAATGATGAGAGGTCATCCATCCATTTTTGTTTTCTTTGTTGAATTGTATACAATGTCATCTCGGAACACTTCCTCCGTAACATGTGCTGATACCTATGTCATGATGATGATGATAGTTAGCTTATTATTATTCGACAACGCACAGACGCTAAAACATAAAATCATCACCTGCTATAATAAAAATCCATGTCGGCATTGAGATTAGGTAAAGACATGTGGTTTTCAATCCATGGGGGGAGGGAGGGAAGGAAGGAGATAATGTGTGTGTCTATCATCATGACTCAAAAGAAAGAATGCCGGGTACAGAGTACACATTGCAGTATCATTATGCATCACAACAACACCACATGGGTCGTTTTTCTTTATCTCTCTCTCTTTTACCTATATTGACCGGGCCACTTGTTTTTCTTCCCTTCAAACAAAATGATAACGATTTCGAGAAAGATTGGCGGCGATCTGCACTTATCCGCAGCTTTGATTTGTTTGTTTACTACCAAACTAGGCCACTGTCCTATCTCTTTTTTGCCATTGCCATGCATATGAAAATGCAAAAATGGCGGCGGAGAACAAGAGACACACAAAATATTATCACCTTATCTTTTCTTGACCCTTTTTCCTTTCGTCATTGCTGGTAGCACGCTAAGGGTGGTGGTTGGTGGTGATGCATGATAAGTGGTTCGATCCATCATAGGATAAATGACGAAATGAGCAGAAAAAAACAGGGACAGCGGGAAATGATGGGTCATTAAACTACCTGGTGCAACGGCGCCCCTCGTGCTTACTCATTGTCAACATGCAACCCACTTGACATCTGATTGCATATATTGATCATCGCCATCGTCCTTTAACAAAGAAATCTTGGACAATGGTCCATCGAATCCCACATGTATACTATGATTGGACGAGAGTAGATAAGCCGGATAAGCCCTTTCGCTGCGTGTTTATGATATCTTTCCAATGACAACCATAAAGGGTGTTTGTGTGTGGAGAGATCCGCCTTGGTTGTGTTGCACCTTCTCTGTGCATGTGTTACACTAAAATGGATTCACTCAGACGAGAGCTATTTTGGATGTGGTCCGAGTAATAATCGTGAAATGCACGTTGAAAAACCATCACAGAAAAAAAAATGAAAAAAGAGCTGCATGGCGGCCTATCTACATAGCCCTACTTTTGAACGCTTAGGGGTCAATATGGATGAACGTACCATAGAAACAACGACTCAACCCAACCCATTTTGTTGTTATCTATCATCTTTCAGCCATGGCCGTGTTGTTGATATGTATTCGGAATATGGAGCCCGAGTCTTGAAACGCTTTGCCAGATCCGGCTTGTTGATTGCAAGTAGCAAAAGAATCCCTCATCGGTATCACCATTTTCGTGACTTAAGAAAACCACGAGGTACGTGCGTGCCGCCTTTTGCCTATCTCCATCTCACTCTCACTCACTCACTCGCTCTCTAATCTTTGTGTGATGTTTGTTATTTGATGGAGGCGTGGGAGACAAGCCATTGCATTTTTGAGTTTACTCCCTCTTGGTTGTGTTGAAAAAGGAAGTTGTAATTGGGGTACTTATCAATGCAAGCAATAATGTTACAAACGACTCTTCTGGAACCTCTCTCATTTCTATTTTGTATTCATTCATTCATTCATCCCGTTAGCCCACTTTTCATGGTACCTCCGTGTGGAGCGGAACAGGATAAAGTAGGTGAGGATATCGTCGTGTAACACGGTCTGTGCTTGGGGGTCGCGACTTTTTCATAAAGTTAAACAGCAACACAAGATACACATTAAAAAAAAAGAGAGCGCACAGTGAGTGTGGGAAGCCATATCAATTCCATAACGAGTCTAGTGCTTGGGGGAACGGAAGGAAACTGAATTGGGCGATCATCAAAAGGTCAGGATGGCAGCAAGAAAAAAAAAGATCTTATAAATATCATGCAACGACGACATTCACACACAGCCCACATCTTTCTCTCTTCCTTTCTCCCCCTTTCACTCTGCACACAACAACACACACACGCACACACATACATACATACAAACGATCACGCAATGAAAGCCAGCATCCACGTCGATTATCTATCACACGATTGGTCACCCACCGATGTGATTCGAGCCCATATTCAGACTCGAAAACAAATACGATCCACCTTAGACAAGCTGCGTTCAGATCCATCTAATCGAGCGGTACGCCTTGAACATCAACGTTTGGTACGCTTCCAAAATGCTCTTTGGCGACAAATGTCAAGGACATGTACATGTCGTCTTGGAAGAGATAATGCATTAATTGACCCATCCACAGTAAACTGGTAAGCAACATCATCATTATCTCTTGGCTTTTGCTTTATTTGCATTATGCATGCTGACACATTTTCATGATTATGTATAGGCAAAAGGAATCGGATATCACATGTGAGTTGCTATAGGGGGGAGGAGGGAGGAACGATGCCCCCGCCATTTTTCTTTTGCAGGCGTGTTTTGTTGACTCAAGATGATTTTCTTGTTTTAGGGTTATACGGACCATTGTACACACCTGAAAATGAGCCACAACAACAAACTTTTCCTTGCCCAACATCATCATCATCAACATCAACATCCACACCCAACTACCACCCACCTCATGGTTTGAAGCCTGCCCTGAAAAAACAAAACACTGCAATTTATCTACGACGAGGGGCTGATGACCGGATACCTTCATTTTCATCCATATCATCTACAAGCAGCAGCCTCTTCCAATCCTCCTTACCGCCCACCCCACCTTCAGCATCTCAAAGCACAAGTGTACGCTTCAGCCCTGAATCTACCAAAGTACAATACTTTGAACCAGAATCACCTGTACAAGAATCCTTGGAATATGAGCATGGTGATGGTATGGTACCAAGTGGCTGGAATCCATATTGGCCCATCTATGATGAACAAGAAGACTGCCGGTCAAGGTACTACTACTATTACGCCGATAGCAACTACTACTACGATGAACAAGAGGATGATGATGCCTTATGGGAATCCATGGTTAGCGTTGTTGGGCATGTAAAGTCGTTTTTCTCAAGCTGGCTTCCTCCACGATTATGGAAATCATCATCATCCCCTTCACGAACAACACGTCAAAATGCATCGTTGGATCTCATGGTGACGCTCATGTCTGTAACAAAATCAGTTGCATCATTGGTGGCAACATGGCTCATGTACCAAGGCATGCTAAGGCTCGTTCGTAGGCCAAGCAGTATTCGACAAGCACCTACCAAACGAGAAAATACCATCACTTGGCAAACATTTGCATCATCATCATAATAATAAAAAGACAGCATCTATTTTGGATATCACCATACTGCATGAAAAAAGAAACTAGTGTTTCAAATCTTGATCACGTGCATGATGTTGACATGCTTTTACCGAGGCAAAGGCTAAATCCTAGTGTGACGAATTTACTTTTAAGAGCCGTGACCATATACTGTTTAATGATCCAAAGTAAATGGGTATCATGCTATCCTATGTGGCAAGGGGCAAAGCAACTACAATTACGTACAGCAATTGGAAATCAAGCATTGCCATTTATATGAAAAGTAGGATTTTATTCGACCAAATGATCATGAAGCTGTTTTCCTATGCGTGGACTTGAGCAATTCAACGAGTGCTGGAAGCAAGTGATCTTGTTGGTGACCCACTGAACACCGTAATACAAACGAGTGCGGGTTGTTGTTGGCGTACAATAGTGCCCAAAGCATCACCCTCCATCCTTGGCGGAATTGTTGCTGACAGCACAATATATACACGAGTTTGTGCATGTCGGACCGGAAATCGCTCCATGTGATAGCGAGATGAGCTTCATCCACCACCACAATCCTTGCAAGGCGCGATTCAATGAGCTTGAGCGCATTGAGGAAGGTCGTAGTAGCAGCTGTCTCCATCGAGACAAAGAGAATCGAGACATCTTGAGGGATCCCTATCTTGTACCACTGGCCATCCCATTGGAAAGACTTGAAGCCAGGAATGCCACGCTTGTTCAGGCGATGGATGTGATCATCCATAAGGGCTACCAAGGGTACAATCACAACAGTGAGCAGGCCCTTGGACCTCTCCAAAAAGGCGGGCACATGGAAAATTGCTGTCTTGCCTCCACCAGTAGGTAGCACACAGATCATGGGCTCGGTTGCCTTTATGGCTGTTTTCACAGCCAATGCTTGCTCTGGCGACTTAAACATGATGCCATCCTTCTGTTCGACAAGTCGGAGACCCTTGAGAGCTTGTATGCTTGCTTTCATGTCGTTTTCAAGGGGAACAATGGCATCTAATGATTAGGTATTAATGTTCAGTATCCCATTAAAAGTATCAAGTTGAGTGAGCTAATGATTACCTGTGTCGACACGATCCTTCTGGTTCTGCAGAGCTTGCATGATCATATCGCGCTCCCGGGCTTGTGCTCGAGCCTCCAGCGATGCCACTTCTTCTAGTAGTGCACGATTTACACCGATTGCCGTCTCTTTAGCTACGATAGGAGCTTCAGGGCCACCGTGTTCTGAAGATTTGAACCTTTACCATATATACAGCACGTGTAAGCATTGGTAACGGTATATGAGTAGATGATGCACTTACGGTTCAAATTTTGATACTTGAAGGCCCTTGATGAAATGTATCATTTGCCATTGCAACGCATTTGAAAACGCTGCCTAAGCCTTCCAATCCACACCGAATGGTCGATGTTGCTTCTTCCATACTCTTGTGCGCTGCAGCGATTCAATGTCCCGCTTGGTGGTCGAAAAAGCTGTCCTCCAAGTCTCAAGTACAATGTGCCACCGACCAAATGTCACCGTGCAATGTCGGTGGTCGATGAAGAATGGTACACTCGTAACACGCATGGCTGCTGTATCCAAAGATCCGCGTCGACATAACCATAAGGGATAAAACCGCCAAAGGGAATCGTAGGCATGCGATGTGTCGCCAATTTCCTTGTTTCCTCTCGATGACCACTTCTCTTGCAAATACCAATTCTTGAAGAACCAAGGCTGCATTTCCATAAGCTTTGAAACAGCTATGCTGGTGTAGAATGACAAAGATCCTTGATACAAGCTGGCAGTCGAACCCGAAGGGAGATGATGCCCAAAGCAGCACACCTTAGACCGAAAGAAACCGATGAATGGTACTAGATCACTATTCAATAGCAACATTATTAATACAACAAGCAGCAACTTTTCACTCCATCCCCGTTATCATACTTGCCTTCCCAAAAACACCATGTTCCTGAAACACGTGATCTGCATAAAGACCGGTCGTTGTAAGCTGAACCAACTTGCACGCACGCGTATTCTGAAGTAAGCTAAATGAGAAGTACCCAGAGTCAATGGAACAAGTTTTCTTGCAGCATTATGAATGTACCTGTCATCCGAAATGGGGATCGCCATTATAGGAAGAGTAGTAATAGAGCTTGGGGATACTGACACGGCTACCCTTTGCTCATGAGTATAAAGAACTATATTAATACCTCACAACCAACAAGAGCAATACCTTAATGAGATGCCGTGATTGGATTAGAAGAAGACGGGAGAAGAGAAGCGCGTTCCTGAAGACGTTGGCGCCAAAATAAACCAACCCCCACCAAAGCAGTAATGAGCTCAACCACCAGCGTTCACTCCCCGCCACCCACACCATCACTAATAAATCGGGTCATCCTCACGCATAGCAAAAGGGTGTCATTTTACATGATGTGATCCAACAACAACAAACATAGCCTTATTAACAGATCCCAAGCACCCTTTTTTCTACATAGTATGCTTGACATCTTTAACCAATAAAAGCCTCACTTGCAGACATACATATACCAATCACATCCCCACCAATAATAAGGATATCACTCGTACACTCTCGAAGATTGCACACGCAAACATGGTATGGTTGATGCATCCGAAGACGTTTATGTAATGGCACGAAGTCTCAGGCCTGGCACATGAGATACATCGATGTCCATTCTTCCCTGCTGCTGTCGTCAGCCGAAATGGAATCATCCTGGGCGACACAAGAACAAGCAATTCTACGTCTCGCACTTCATGCACTTTTAAACAAGATACTTTCGGATGCACTGGTCATTCTTGGTTTATTGGTCATAGTATGATAGTCACCAATATCAATTTTCAGCATACGCTATCATAAGCGCTCCTATCATCTTATGTACAACCTTATTTGTATGGCAAGGAACCTTGAAAACAAGCAACATCATTGCCACACTTGTCCTCTCACACGAGATACTCTCGAACGAATTGATCATTCTTGGTCTTTTAGCCATATGTACCATGGTTGGCTATAAAGAATTCAATACGAACTATCATAGCCGACCCTTACTATTCGGGAGTGAAGGATTCATTATTATGCAGACAATGGTACCTTCCAGTCCTTTCATCGCGCTCCAGAAACTTCCACACAGGATTCCTTGAGCCACGCTGAGCAACTTTGTTCTATTAAATTTTTGAGATATGAGCGTCTTTATGTTGTTTTCCATATGCTGTAAGCGTGATGCTATATGAAAAGTGGTCTTTGTTCATAGGCAAGGAACTAGATGCTGTTAGAGCCAAAGATGCAGAGGCGCGTGTTTGTGTAACTCAGCCTATTTGCATGATTGGAAATGATACTTTATGCATATCCAGCAACATTCATGTATTGCCAGCTATCAGCCATTTCCTCACAATCAGTGTTGTTGCAAAATCCCTTGCATGTGAAAGACTCTCCTGCTCCAGCCCATCATTTCCATCATTCAACTTTCTTGATCCGAGCCGATTTGACTGAGCTACGCCCAAGCTGCAAACATGAAAATAAATGAATCGCAGACCCTGCGAATGTCTCCGCCTTTCAAACTTTTGGACGCTCCCATTCCAAATTTTCAAATGAAGCGTGATGTTTTTATTAGAAAAAAGTTGTTCAGCATGCTCGGAGCACCCTTCTGACCCATTTTCAAGTTGGAAGTGGGCAACTTCGGGGCGGTGGGCCGTCCGCTCTTTTGTTCCCATCATCCACCATTGGGCCTCCCCGCATTTTAAATCTTTGTAATGAAGTCTGCTACTTTTAAATGAATGAAGTTGATCAGCATGTCCCAGCGAAGCTTCAGACCCAGTTTCACATTCGAAATGGGGAATCCCAATGTAATACATACTATTTCGATAAATCATGAATCGGCGCTGTCCTCCATTTCCGATTTACACAGTAAACCCACATTGTACCCTCCCATTCCAAATTTTCAAATGAAACATGAGGTCTTTTTTAGATCAACATGATCAGCATGACCAAGATCACCTTGTGTGAAAGTTTCAGGTTCGAAAGGGGAAATGACAATATCAAGGATTGATGTACAGTGTTCATGCATTTATACAGGAGGTGTCCGACCTATTCAATTTCCACTTCTTCCACTCCCACAACTTCTTCTCTCTTCCATTCAAGTATACAATTACCACCTGCGAACGATTGTCCTGCTTCAACCCATCATGTTGATCCTACGATTGTCTTGATCCGATTGTCTTTGACTCAATGGCAAGTCCATGGCGTGTACACCCTACTTCAACACACGAGTCTCTTGACACAGCACACTCTCTTGCATACTCCTCTGCTACAATCAAACGTAACAGCATTCAATCCAGCAGCTGCTATTGGCGATGTCTTTACTCCATTGTCCCAAACAGCCTCACAATCTTGTCACCCTACAACACGCTCTCTTGGACACTCCTCTGCCACAACCAAACGTAACAGCAGCATCCATTAGCAAGGTCTCTACTTCAATGTCTCCAACAGTGTTCTTTACTTGCAACAACTTGACCTTACAGTCCTTGTTACGTGGACAGCAGATAGCCATTGTATAGCAGCAGCTTTATTTACGTGTAGCAACATGTTTCAATACAATCGAATTTGGATATGGATATGGATCTGAATATTGCATTGGTTTGGTACATGAGAGGGAAGGAAGGGGTATATTGACTTGGGTTGGTTCCCTTGGTCCATTTTAGAACGTGATGGCTAGTTTGGATGACACCATATCGACCATCGATTACGCCACAATACAAGCAATCTTCAGCTGATTGATATGCGATAGAAAATGACCAACAAAGAGAGAGATCAAGGGCCGGATGGTAAAGGAAGCGTATCAGCAGCGATCACTGGGGCTTCTTTCTACCAACAAATTGGTTATGGTGGATGCATTCAATCAATGGAGTGGTAAGAATCGTGGCGACTACTTGTCACATCCTCAGCAAGATGGATGGATCATGTCATGTGGATACGGTTGGGGATGATGATGGATTGGGATGGCATTGACGAAAGGGGGCGTTTTACAGCGATGGATGGTATTGGAATACTGAAGTCAAATTGTGCAGCAACGGATTTGGAATCATGGATGAAGGATGTTTATGATGGCAGCAACCAAAGATACCTCTATCGTTTATGATACATTACGTTGATGGGGTGCTGTGAATGGGATAAAAGGAGAGGGAGAGCGCTGGTCCTCGTGTTTATATTTCCTGCTGAGCTCACTCACGTAGAAGTATTCTCCTTCCTTGCGTTTTGATTCTCTAGTATAAACCTGTGGTATGTAATGTTTCAGTGAATAAATATCGACGTATTATTACGTGCGCACACGGGCATTTAAGGGATCATGGAGTAGTAGTATCATGAGCAAGCTGATAGCAATGCCTATTTATTATTCTCTCTTCTTCTATGAAAACCTAATTTATGATTCAGTTTGCACAATGACAAGCAAGATGGTTAATGCAGCCAGTGTTACACCAAAGGTGGTCATAATGATACCTCTCGTTGCAGGAAAGTATCCTTTCGTCATGGCACTCTATGTTAAAGACTCGTATGAGTGGCTGTGACCCTGCCACATGGTGATTCATCGGACATCACAATTAATTACCTGTGCATGGAAAAAGCGAGTGCAGCCGAGTGCAAGGTATAGAGCGCCCATTAATATGAATCCTACGCCGAGGAGTTGACCGATTCGTTGAATGGCTGTTTCTTGCAATCGAAACAATTGCGTGATCCCTGTTGAGCAACAACAAACGACCAATAATAGCGGGCGGAGGCAATGGATTAGAGCTCATGCATGCTATATTATGTTGTGGTTCCACAAATACTTACCTACGCCCACTGAAATGGTAGAAAAGCTTGTCCGCATCCATGCAAGAAATGTACGTTCGTTGGCTATGAAAAGTTGTCTCCATGTTAAAAAACGTTCTTGTATGTGGCTGCTGCTTTGCTTATATAAGAACTTGCCCAAATGATCTCTTGCTACAGCTCCTGTGTTTTCCAGGTACAGGGACCCAAGTGTGATTGATTTTCGCTTTTGTACATCCTTATTCAATAAACTCGTTGACTCAGTGGCTGACATGGGATATGGGTAAAGTGGAAGGGGTATGGAAAAGAAAGAAATGAAAGAAAGAGACAGCTGCATCCTCTGGTGTTGCGTATTTTTGTGGTACCTACCCGATGTTTGGGTTTGCTTGTCACGGGGAGAACTAAAGTGGCGCTGCTATTGAGTAGTCAGCTATGCAGGTCTTTGTTGGAAGAGTGTACAATGTCCAACACAGTGACGCAAACAAGTACAGAAACAGCTTAAGCTTATTGTTTACAACTTTCATTATTATTTCCCACGTGTTCCTTAAAACAACGAATGTGATGCATGCATTAGGCTGCAGGACCAGAGTTCATAAATTAAGATGCAAGAATCAATACACCTTTCTGCATGTTTATTTCTAACAACAATGGAGATACATGCATGATAGATAGCTAAATAGGAGGTGGATATGGATAAAGATGGGCCCATATTATGTTTGAGATTGAGTTATCTGTACCTGGATCTTTTGGCTGATTCTGTAAAAATCTCCAAATTCAACCCAGATATGTGAAACGTCAGCAGCCCATGGATATCATCAGACGACCACCCATTTACAATGATAGACAGCTGAGAATGACGGATGACATCCGTAGCGTTCGGCTACTACGAAATACAGCTCTCGTAGTGGGACTTTTCCCAATAGCTGGCGCCGTGATCTTTTATAACCTTGGCGTATCATAGGTATCGCATTTGGCGCTGGGAAGATTTGTGGTTGTTTGGCCGAAAGTATAATGCATAGCATAATGTCAAATGAGTTGGGAGTAGTTCTGTAAACTCATAATCAGCAGACGGCATTACTTAAGTGGGAGCTGCAGCTCTGCAGAGGCATTTTGGTTGAGAAAGCTCAGCGTATCACGGTCACATTTATAATATAGTAGAGGGCATAGGCAGAATGCTACATAGATAAGGTGGCTATTATGGGGCCGTCATCTTCTATTTCTTTGGGTACTTCTTCTTTGAAAAGCGACAAGGAGAGGTTTCACGAGACAGGCAAGTTTTGAAGATGAGAATTCCTCGGTATATACTTGTCATGATACTGGTGGTTCAACTCTTCAATGACATCGGCCGTTTGCTGTAACCAAGGTAGCTAATGATAGTTGCTGATGCAAGGGGCACTCCCACATTCGCGTTGGTGTTTCCTATTAAGATCAATGTATCATGATGAATCTTTAGTGTATGCTCACAACCAACAAAATCGTGTATCAAATCATTCTGTTTATCCTGCATCATTGGAATCTCCGCTTTGTCAACTTCATGCATCAAGTAGATGCCTTATTGCACTTTCTAAGATGATATGATCAAGCGCTACTACAATCCGGATATGGAAACCCACGTGTATTGAACAAAAGCATACATGATTTATTACAACGTGATAATGGGACATGCATGCATGATGGTATAACATTGCTTAATAGGGGATACCATTGGTCAGCTTTTGGAAGTAATCGTAAAGCACTGTACGTTGGTTCTCGAAGGAGTCCTTGATACGCATCATGATAAAATCGGCTGCTGCACGTTCAGAGCGATCGAGTTGGAAACGTTGACGAAGACGCTTAATAGTCTCACCCTTGAAGCAAGGCAATCCTGAATCCAACATGAGAGACACCAGCTGACAAATCTGATCAGCATAAGGACGACTAGCAAGATAGGCCTTGACCACCAATTCAGAGAATTGTCGGAATGCTTGTTCATCAGAACCACCACCCATCACTTGGATCATTTCGGTTGTCAACTTGAAGGGCGAGCTTTCAAAAGTAATACCACCAGGAGCAATATCAAAGATGAAACCGAAATCTGTAATGATTGATGTATGACATTAGCATATCGCTTTCTTCTTTTCCCCGCTTTCCCTTTGATGCTTACCGATATGAATAATATGACCATTTTCATCAATCATAATGTTGCCATTGTGACGATCCTTGATAGCCAACAAGTACGAGATGACCGAATAAGCTGCCAAACTCTGCACAAAGTTGTTGCGGGCACGTTGGAAATGAATCGAATCGGGTCCACCATACTTGGCTGCAAAGTAATCGTACAAGCTGTTGACCTTTTCACGACCAAGTTGATCACGAGAAATGGAGCGTGGGATAACATCAATCACACCACGACCGGGTGCTGTGGCAACCACACGATAGGGATACACATACAAGTCCAATCCAACACCCGTAAAGATGTTTTTGAAGACCGAGATCAACTGCAATGCAAGCACATCCTGACGACAGTCGTCGCCCACCTTGAAAATGGCTCCTTGCCAGATTTGAACAGTGCGCTTCTTGGCAGCTTCAACTTCATCACCTTCACTTTCGATCAAGGCTTTGCCCATAAGATCAGCATCCTCAACTTCCTTTTCAATCTTGAAAGTAGCCATGAAAGGAGCCTATAGATGTACCTTATTAACATCCAGGATCATCATGATCATATTATTGTTGCTGATACATACCTTGGCGTGACTCTGCAAGGGACGACCCGATGTACGGTTGATGTCAATCACACGACCATCACTGTTGCTAGGCAAATAGACACCAACGTCAACCTTGATCTTGGCAAGTTCCTCGTCCAAGCGTTTCTACAACATGATACATCAACCGCCAATCCAGCACTATCATTTGTCGTAATTTACCTTTTGCAAAGGCTTCTTTTCGGTTTGACCATACTTGATGTATTCCTTTAGATAACCAGAAATGGCAGTGACATCGTTGAAGAACTTGAATTCTCGCTCATAAAACTCGCGATCTTCACCAGTGAACGATCCAACAAGGTTGTCAATGATACGCTCGAGAGTGGGCTTGAGAGCATCAGGCTTGATACACTCCTTGTCAGCATCGACATAAAAGTTGGCTTGCATGTTCCAGATGATTTGATGGGCAAACAATTGCGACACTTGACCAGCTTCCATGATATACTTTTCCACATAGCCAAGTTCATCATGACGTAGAGCCTGCACAATTTGAGGAATGTAAAAGAATACGGTATCCACAGGGTAGTACTCCAAGCTACGCATAGCATACTGCAAAATCAAGGGATGGTTGTTGTAGGCGGGCAAAAAGTAGTTTGCAGCAGTGATGGCAGGTACAGGAGCCCAGTATTGCAAGTGCTATCGTGAAGATCCATGTTAGCAAAGGTAAAATGCGAGAAGATAATGATGTCATGCATACCTTGAGATCAAGCTTAGCATTAGGAAGTAGACGGTCACCCAACAAAATGACAAGTGCTTCAGGCACATCGACGACATCCAAAGTATTGTTGGCGATCAAACGATGAAGCTCACGATGAACAATAGGCTGCACGAATCGCTCATTCATTTGCACTGCAAGACGTGGCGACAACTCCCATGCAAAGCGCACAATTTCCTTCCATGATTCATCCATCACCATCGACTTTTCGGTGCTGCCCGTGAAACAAGCAGGGTTGCCATGGCCCAAGGAGTTGAGAGGATTGCACCAAACCGAAAGACGAGTAAGCTCACTTTCCAAAAACAACATCAAAAGCTTCTTGGCAAGATGATGCTGACGGATCACATCATCCTTGGTCTTGTCTATATGCAGCAAAGCAAATAGGATGTGAATAAAAATGCATTGAATAACAAATACTCTGATGCTTACCATTGAGGAACATGTACAAGCCGGAAGCGATCTTAGAGTTGGAATTCTTGAGTGGAGAGCTGGTAACCAAGTAGCTGAGATTGGGAGTATCATTCACCACAGCATTATAAAAGTCGTTCAAGATCTTGTATTCCATCAATGCCAAGCTCTTACGAGAACCAAAGTGCCATCTACACAAGAGCTATTGGTTAATATCATAATCTCCATATGTCCATGGTCAAGTATTCACTTACCTAGGCTCAAGGGAGAACCAATTGAAAGCACAATCAAAAACAAGTGAACGGAATTTGTGCTCGGCAAGGGCTTCCATGCGAGTGGATTGAAGAACCTTGGTACCAAGGAGAAGCAATTGGAAACGCACAGAGCGAGCCAAAGCATGAGTACTCATCAAATGGGCATTTTGGAAAGATTCCTGCAACATGCGCACAAACATATTGACAAGGTGCTTGCTGCGATGGCGAATGGAATAGAAGCGGCTGCTCAAAAACTTGATCCATGCCATGTGGGGAGAGAACAAAAAGCTGGCAACACGATGGCTGCTGTCAACCATGGCTTTGTCGGATGGGTCATTGGTCATCTTGGCCACAAATGGATGTTTGGCACTATATGTATAGATAACCTTTGTTACTAGCTATCCTCTTTTTGACCCACGCTAAGATACTTACTTGAGCACAGGCGAGAACAAACCCTTGCGATGCTTCTGAGCCCAGTGCCACATGCTCAACATCTCCACCATAAGGCGTTTCTCGACATCAGCACGTTCCACAAGCATCCAATTCCACACTGTTGTACCGATATCAAGGGACTCGGGAGTAAACATGTATACGGGGATACGCACAAGATAGCGGATCAAATCAGGATGCACCTTAGGGAGGGCAATGGCATAAGCTGCAGCACGATGCAAAGTACGATGAACACGTTCCACAGAGACAGCAGCATGCTTTTGCTTGATATCCGTCAAAAGAGCTTCCAAATTCTCAAGGACAAAGGAGACTTGCTCTAGCAAACCGCTACCAGTTCGGCTATCAGGCAATTTTTCTAAATGACAAAAGGGGGGAGGCGGTTAGATCACTCATTGTGAAATAAGCAAGCACACACACACACGCACACAACTCATACCTGATTGATCATGGAGCCCATAGAGATACTCGATACCACTGATCTCACCAATGTAAAAGCGACGAGAAGTAAATCCATTGACAAAATCGGATGATTCATCAGGAAGCACACGTGGTACCTTGGGAACAAACTCTGCAATTTGCATGAATAACGCTGTTTCACAATGGATAAGACGAAGAAAAACATACCAACTGAAAGCTGATTTCTGGATGCTGCTTTTCCAATTTCAAGAGCAAGAGAACGACCCATATGAACAGCATCAATAGGCTGGCCAGGAACAAAGCGATCAAATTCGGATAGGTAATCCTGAAGCAAGCCATTGATTTCAAGAGGTGCACGATCCATGGAAATACGCAACCACTTTTTGGCGCTTTCGTACAAACGAGTACAGATTTCACGGCGATAAGCGTAAGAGTCACCAAGCTCCAAGGTCACATTGACACGTGTGGAAGTAAAATGGAATGTGGGGGAATACTTTAATAAAGCAAGCATTAGTATTCTTTGCAAGAAATATGGTGAATAATATCTTACCTCGTCACGATATTCAGATTCGCAACTGAGCCATAGCAATTGGACAAGTTCAAGCAGCAAAGTGATAAGGGACTTATCAGCAAACACTTGAGGGAAGGCCGCCACAATACGTTCAGCCGTTTTGATTGCCAAATCATGCACCTTTTGTAGTCGATGACCCGTCAACTTGAGGATGCTGGCCATTTGGTTGTTGAGTTCGACCGAGATGCCTTGAACAGCAGCCTTGCTAGCAGCATCCTTGATAAATGCACCCACAACACGATCAGCAATCATTTCAAGGCAATTGGCGAGCGAGCTATTGTTGAGACCCTCGTTCATGAAATAACGCAAAACGTAGCTGCAATCGCCCATACGACTACGCATCATTTCAATGTGATAAAAGCTGAGAGCGAACACCACTTGAGCAAAGGAAAAGTACTTGATCTCGGATGCAAGAGAAGGCAAAAAGCTTGTCAACTTTTGACGCATGGAAGATACATTCTGTTCGGACATGTTGCCACCACGTAATACAGAATTGTATTCCAAATCGCTTTCCACATACTTGGTTGCACTCTCGGTCACCAATACGGGTGTCTTTTTCGCAATGACGAGCATCGAATCGTGCCACTCGCGGATCCACATTGATTCAGTAACAAAGCCGAAAATGACACAATGGAACCACGCGTTGCGGAAAAGAGAAACACATTCCTCCGTAGGCTCCAAATGAGGATTGAAATCATCATGTCCCAACAATGTACGAAGCACTGGAAGAAGCATACCAAGCTTGGATGCCAATGGGTATTCGGTCTCCTTTTTGTTCTTGGTCATGGTGCGTTGGATTGTGTTGCCATTCTCCACAAAGAGACTCAAAAGGCTGATGAGATAAGTATCATAGAGCTCAGGACGTGCTGACAATCGCTTGGCGAGGCTCATTTGCGCATTGACAATCTACCGAATCATGCATGCATGAATTTCCTTATCTCCGCTCCTGTTTGAAAATGCCTTACCGCTGTTGTAAGTTGTTTGTTGTCAATAGTCAATGCCTCACGACTCAATGTAGAGAACAAGTTGAGGATATCCTTGAATACGCCAACGGGGCTGACAAGTGCAAGATCCACCAAACGTGATGTGAGCGAGGCAGTGGCCGAAATAGAAAGTGATTTGCGACGCATGGTAAGCATCGAAAGTGCCTGGGCCATAATCTTTTGGGGGGGAGAGAAATAAGGAACATGTCCATACAAAGTATAGCAAAGATACTTACTGCTTCATCCTTCAAGTAAACAGCAACACCAACAATAGCTGACAAGGCATTCGCACACACTTGCTGCTTTTGCTTCTCACTCAATTGGTTGGCATCGGGTGCACCAGAGATGGCATTCTTGGTAAGCATACTATATCGGTCGACTGTAGCGCCATCCTCGTCACTGTAGCGGGTAATCTCATTGAGCAATGCATACAAAGTTGAAATAGCAGCTTGAGAAATCTGCATGGATGGCTTGGTCTAAAGACAATTCTTGTTACAAACGATTCCTTCCTGATACTCAATACCCAACCTACCTGAACACATTGAGCAAGTCTAACAATGGCAAATTGTTGAACACTGAGTGGTTCTTGACCTGCTTCAGCGAGCAATTCAAATACTGGTGATGGTGTAGCAAGGAATCGGCAAATGGTGTTGGTCATGTCAGCATTCAAATGAGGGAAGCTATGGAGTAAAAAGTGATTTAGAATAACATGAACATCAATTCACTTAGACCAACTTACTTGATAGCCAAAAGAACGGCTGCATCCAGAGCTGCAACATGCACCCAAGCATCTCCACCATGAGGAGCCACGAAGAGGCATTCGGTGATATGATCAATGAGGACATCATCCACTTCGTGTAGATAAACAGAAGACAATGCAGCCACGTGCTATATATATATAATCCAGCATTAATCAAAAGAAGCAAGGAGCAAAGACAATGACTTACCAAGCTAGTACCCATAATCTCTTGCATATAAGCATCAGGTGCCCATTTCTCGCCTTCGTTGGCATATTTCTTGATATCCTCATAGTATCCCAAGCTTGTGACGTAGATGGTACGCATATTCTTGTTGAGCAATTCATCTTTTTCAGCATCGCTTGCGGCTGTGGGTCTCACACCAGAGGCAGTCTTCTTCATAAGCTCGGACCAGGCATGTTCAACGTCACGTGTCAAATGCAATTTCTTGCTACCACCCGTCGTAGATAGAGTTGTTGTGGTGGATTGATCAGGATGGCTGTCAGCAATGACACGAGTGGTTACGTTGCGTAAAATGACGAGCAAATCATATACAACACGGTTGCTGCTCAAAGGAGTACCATCTTCCCAGTACTTGTTAAGGACACGTCGGCTGTAACTTGTGGCATCGTGCTCCTTGAGGCATGTAGTGATGGCTGTACGAATGTTGTCCAATGTTTCATCCTGGATCAAGAACTGCGTATTATGGCACAGGGCAAGAAGCTGGTTGGCTCGGAACAAGAATGGCGATAGCTGCAATGCACGTGACAAGCCGGCCAAGGATGGCAAGATGAATGAAACGGTAAGCTCCACATCGCCTTGTTTCATGAGCTTGATAATCGATTCGCCATAGCTCCAAAGGACTTCAGTGATATGATGGTATACATCAGGCACCTTGAATCCAATCTCCAACAAGCCGGCCACAAGGCTGTATGTAATAGCATCGGCAGGTGGAAGTCCTATTATTGGTAATGAGTATACCTTTCTTATCCACATCTTGTATATATGTACCTCTTCCAAGCACAACTTCCTTCCATTCATAGGCAGGTAAATGGCGTACGTAAGAGAGCAAACGAGGCAACAACTCCAACTGACGGTCTTCCTTTGCATTGACGGCGTACTTGACAAGTGCAGCAACACTTTGTTGACTACGTTGGGTCTGCAACAATCCAAGGTTAGCATACAAGACCGGCAGTGTAGCGTTTAAGGTACCAACCATCACACCCAAGTCAGGCTTATCTTGTCGCGTGAAGATAGTCTTTTCCTTGTCATCAAGAATAGGAACGATGGGACATTTGGAAACGAGTTTGTCGACTTCAGATGCTGTTGCCTTCGATCGAGAGTCGGCGAGCACCTCAGCCAAACCCATGAGGATTTGGGAATGTAGGTCAAAGTCAGTGCTACAACACGCATTAGCAACATGTCAATGCAGCCCACTTGCATGTCGATTCGTATTTACCCAAGCATGACAGAGGTAGTGTGAATAAAGGAAAGGAATAAAGGTAGGAGGGGGAAGGGGAAGAAGTGAGAGTAGTGAACAGTAAAGCGAGTGCTGAAACCCAAATAGGCTCGGTTTTTGCTGACGGCCATTGACCCCTTTTGGCATAGATACCACCTGCAGGATTACCATGTCCAAGGCACTAGTTAGTTGTCATCTTCCCCACAAACATATGCTTCTCAAACATACCTTGATCATTTTCCTTTATTCCTTCGCCCTTCACCCACATGTCACTTTTTTGTATGCTATAGTAGCTTGTTCCCCATAGATTAACACTATACATATACATAAATGATAAGACCTTGTGTCATGGTACATAAGGATGGTTGATGTTGATGGAAGGGCAGCGGCATTGGGGAAGAAGAGAATATAAATTAACAGCATGTGAAAGGAAAATGGTAGCACAAGGTGAGTATTGGCACGAGCCATGTGTAAGGTAGCACAGGCACAAGAAACAAAGGCAGAAGGTGATCAACCAAAAGGTGTTGCCAATCCACCATTGCCATTGCTACCATTTCCTCTTTTACATCAAAGTTGTACATGAAACGCCATATGCATTGACAGCTTTCTTACACATTACCACCTAGGCGGTCGTTCGTATCATTTTGCTGTGGGAAAAGATAAACCTTGACTCCGAAAGAAGGAACCAAGGTGTATGAAAACATAGCATGCAATGCCCCAACTTGCATTCAAGAGAGTGGGTATGCATTAACAAGCTGAAGGCTACATCAACCATGCTTATAGAAAATTGTGTATAGATATTGACTTGGATGACAAAGGTAAGAGTTTAGGATGGGACTCATTGATGGTAGTAGACAATGATTGAATGTTGCTTGTGATGGCCCATATTGACAACATTCACAAGTAACCATGTACCTTTACTAGTGTGAAAATGATTCATATCGGATCATGGATAATCGATATCGCCGTTATAAAGAGATCCTTGATATTATAGTGGTGCCATTGTATAGCTATTATTCTGGAAATGGTCATTATTATAAGGTAGGAGAGATAGCATGCAGGTGCAGGATCACCTTAATTATTGTTTAAGCCGATGCTGCTTAGGCTGCAGTCATGATTCAGATTACCATGATGTACGCATGATCAAGTGTGCATGTACTTGTACACTTTGCAACCAAACGAGAATGGTATCATTGGCGTACCCTCGACAAGGTCTGGGTAACTGATGACGTTGACGTATGGGCGTATGGCGACATGTTACGCCAGCAAAAGAGTGATAGTCTATGGACGGCAATACAGGGCGGGAAAGCTTAACTATCCCATATTACGCGCACCACATATCATACACCAGCTTCTCGGAAGACGGGATCCGGATAAACGCGGTATGCTGCATAAAGTTTTGTTTATTTGTAACCTCACACACAGACAATACCATATGCACATCCTTTCAGGCATTATTATTCCCCCAACGTAAGTACATACGTCAGGTCGCTTATGTATGCCCTTGCATTTTTAAATGTCAGAGAAACGCGCGGCACAGCTTCATGCAGCAAGAATGCCCCAAAACCAAGATAAGGTTCCATGGGAACACAAACGAGTTGTTGTACACATACAAGAGTGGCACCCCATGCGAGCGCTGATGATGATGATATACATAATGATGGCTTTAATGAGATGGCAATACAACAACATATATAGGTGGGTATGAATCAAACGACCAAAAGAGAGAAAAAATGGGGTGAGAAGAAGAGGAAATGATTGAAGATAATGGTTTGTTACTTTTTATGTATAGGACACGCAACAACAATGGTTGCAGGACTACTGGTGAGTGGGTGGGGGGTATAAATGGTATACAAGTGTATGGGTGTGGGAGAACAAAGAGATGGTATGTATCCACCCACAACAACAAGTTTATGCAAAAGGATAAGCATCATCATCCTCAAGATCCAAATCAAGGTCATCGTCCAATTCATCTTCATCCTCTTGTAATCGTTTAGAGACGGCCTGAAAAGCAGAGGAGGAAGATGTTGGGGTAATGTCTTTTCGTTGTTGTTGATGATGATGACGCCCGATCCATTGTCGTAACATTTTCTTTGCCACCATCTTGCTCCGCAATTTATCGTTATCCGTTCTTAGACGCTCGTTTTCCATTTGCAGCTCCTGCACCTTACGGCTCAGCACAGCTGTTTGCTCTTTGAGATTACAAATCATTTGTCGCATCTCATTTTGTTGCTGGTTCTTCTTTTGGCGATACTTGGCTGAAGCAGCCTTGTTACGCAGGCGGCGTTCTTGCAACGTCAGTGGTACCAAATCGCTATGGTGCGGATAAGGCGATGAAGGTGGCGAGTTGAAATCATTGTCTTCAGGTGATGTGGGTGGCGATCCCAAAAGTGGAGGTTGGTATGCTGTTGTTGTTGTCACAGGTTGCTGCTGATATGAATGATGATGATGGTATTGGTGTTGCATTGTTGGGGTGGTAGTAGTAGTAGGTGTTGCAGTAGTACTAGTGGCAACTTGTTGTGATGGTCGATCGTAAGGTTTTTGATGATGATGATGATAGTAACGAGAACGACCAGCTGAAGGGGGTGGTGAAGGGGGAAAGATGGATGCAGTAGAATTACTTGTGATGGCTGAAATGGACATGGCAGTGGAAACGGTAGGTACTGCAGAAGAAGACATTTTTCGCGTGGTGTACACGATGCTATAGTGAATCAAGAAAGAGAGGGAGAGAGAAAGAGAAAGGCTGTATGTGCGCGTATGTGTGTGTGTGTGTATGTCGGGTCGCACGGTATTTATAAAGGATGTCAGGGAGGACGTGTATGTGTTGCTTTGTTTACATGCTGTTGGGGGGCCACTGGACGAATATGGCCAAATTAAAATAAAAGTGTTCCATGACAGCCCTGCTGCTGTTGCCTCATTCTTGCTGCATGCGCGCCAATAGAGATACATTGTAATACCTGACACACCTTTGTTCATATGACGACGATGATATGATGATTTCCCTTAAACACAGATCACACCTTGGCAAGGAAACCTTCTTTTAAAAATACTGCATACATACAAAGGGCACTGATTGACGGCACCACCATAACAACAGCAAAGATGCATGCATACTGGAGGGGTGCATTAATGAACAGCTGCGACAAAGAAACACACACACCCAGTCCTTTCCACGTCCCACCCCCCCCCAAAAAAGTACCCTTTTTATATAATGATGTTTAGCCACATACAAGCATATGGCGTGTTATCAAGTACTTAAGTGATGTGTGAAAGTAAATGATCCCATGAGCAACATTCCTATTCTCCGTCTTAACTTGGCATACTTATTGAAAAAGAGAGGGAGAGCGAGAGAGAAAACGAGGCTCGTCATCTAGGATCAGCCGTATCCCGTGAAACGTTGTGTTGTCATCACATGGAACACGATAGCCCGTCAGTTCGCGTGTTTTTGTTTCAGGTTTTCACTTCCCGTGATTCCAAAACACTCATTTAACCTCATTTTTTCATCCATTGATCTTGTTCCTTTCCACTTTTGCATATATTATTGTATGGTGGCCCCCCCTTTACACATGATCTAATCATGATTCCCGCCATCATTTCTTCTTTCTTTCGAAAATTATACTCGCACGGTCATTCATTTTGTTGTCATCATCCAAGACATAGCAACAACCTTTTATAATATGATGGGTGGGTGGTGAGTAACGATGATGACGATGATGATGTGGCATGAGTGGGAGAATAAAAAAAAGAGAGTTAATGAGCACATAATAGTGCCACTGAGATATGTGTGTGACCAAGCACAGCCAATGTGATATCGGTTTCAAGACGAGAGGGTTATTCGGGACAAGATGAAAAGAGCACAAGCAGACGACATTGGTTAATGGGATGGGAGTACAAGAAAGGGAGACCCTGAATTAGCTCAACAGGGTGCGATGTTAGCTAATCCGCGATATCCGCGATAAAAAGTGGGGTAAAGAAGGGCTCATCCCATTCCCGCGGTTTGTTTCCTTCCCTCTTTCTTTCCCTATTACAAACACAATGACAATCACAGACTCGCGTAAAGACATTGGGCAATTGTTCATGTGTGGCTTCCACGGCTTGGAACCCACAGCCGGCATCATTGACCTCATTGAGAACCACAATCTCGGCTCTGTCATCCTCTTCTCTCGCAACATTGAGTCTCCCGAACAAGTTCGTCGTTTGACACGCTCACTTCAAGACATTGCTCGTAAAGCAGGACACAAGCGACCTCTCTTTATTGCTGTGGATCAAGAAAATGGCGTTGTGCGACGCTTGGGGCAGAGCGGGACCTATTTGCCTGGGAATATGGGATTGGGTGCTCTTGGATCAGCGACGGCAGCTAAACAAGTGGCCAAAGCAACATCAAAAGAGCTACTTGCATTGGGTATCAATTGGAACCTTGCACCCGTGGTTGACGTCAACAACAATGCGCTGAACCCTGTCATTGGAGTACGATCTTATGGCGAAGATCCCAACGAGGTGGCAAGATTGGGTCGTGCTCAAGTGGAAGGATATCAGGAAGGCAACGTGGCAACAAGCATTAAGCATTTCCCTGGTCATGGTGATACAGCTACAGATTCACATTTGGGCGTCCCAGTGATTGATAAGACACGCGAAGAATTGGAACAAGTGGAATTGGTGCCTTTTCGTCAATTGATGTCGACAGCTACTTCAATCATGGTTGCTCATATGCAATTGCCACGTCTTGGTGCTTCTACACATGTATCAAGCTTGTCGCCTGCTATTGTGCGTGATATGTTGCGAAAGGATATGGGTTACCAAGGAGTGATCATTACCGATTGCCTGGAGATGGACGCTGTCAAGGAAACGGTGGGTGTTCCCAATGGCTCATTGTTAGCACTACAAGCAGGCAATGATATTGTGATGATATCACACACATACGAGTTTCAACGTGATGCATTTGCCAAGGTGGAACAAGAGATCGAGACCGTGGATGAAATTGAAGCTCGTTTGGAACGTGTTGCCAAGCTCAAGGATCGGTTCCTATCATGGGACAATGTGTTTGAGGATATGCAACCACAACGTGAACAAGGTGCCGCTCTCAGCAAGATGCTTTATGATCGTATCCCTACCATTGTACGCAATCGTTCCAACGTCTTGCCTATGAAGCCCAAGTCATCAGATCGCATTTTATTCTTGGCAGCACATGTACCCACCACGCTTGCTATTGATTCAGAAAAGGAGCCTTTCAACTCTTTTTATGGTGCTCTTCAGCAACATCACGCCAATGTCGAGTATATTATTTATGATGAAAGTTCCCCCGACATGTCCGACACAATTAGCCAAGCTGAGTGGATCATTGTCGGCACAGCCAACGCCAACTTGCATCCATTCCAAGCTCGCATGGTACAACTTGCTCACAACATTGCCAAGGATCGTCTCGCTGTGGTCTCAGTCATCAACCCATATGATCTCTCCGTTTTCGAGGACGTGGATACTTATGTCGTTACTTATGAATACACACCACCTGCACATGAAGCGGCTGTTCGAACCCTCTTTGGTGCCACAACTCCCGCAAGCAGACTCCCAATCTCAATTCCCAAATTGGCAGCAGCTGATACTACGCCCGTATTCAACATTGAGGCTTACAACCATGAGAATCATTTCAAAGGAGTGGTCAACTTGTGGAACGATGTTTATGGTGCCGATTGGCCTTTGACGGAGGAAAAGATTGATCTCGTATTGGCCAGCACGCAAAAGGGCCAACATTGGGTAGCAACCGATGTCGCTGGTTACGTGATTGGTTTTGTGGCTACGCAGATGGTTTGGGATCAAGAGGCCAACAAGGATACGGGCGAGATTTTATTACTTGTGGTGTCATCTTTGGAGAGGAACCGTGGCATTGGGTCTCAGTTGCACAAACAAGCATTGACGCATTTCGAACAACATGATCTTGCACGTATACGATTGGGCTCAGCAACACCACGCTTCTTCCCCGGTATCCCACAAGGCGATGCCAGCAATGAAGGATTCTTTGAACGACGTGGATGGAAATTGGACAACATTGTATGGGATCTCAAGAGCATGGGTGACGCTTTGATACTGCCAGAAGGAATCATGGATCGTATGCAACGAGAGGACATCCATTTTGCTGCCATTCGTCCCGAGGACATTGAGCAGCTTTATACTTTTCAAGAACGCTACTTTCCTTTTTGGCTCTCCACATACAAGCATCATGCTGCTCTAGGTGATTATCAGGATTTGATTGTTGCACGTGAAAACAATGACACCACTGGACGCATTGTCGGCAGCCTTTTGGTACATACGACCGGACAATCAAACGCCAAACGCACGGATTTGATTTGGACAAATGACAAGCTCTTTGGCCAAGCAAGTGGTGGTATGGCATGCGTGGGCGTAGCATCCGAAGAACGAGGTCGTGGTATTGGACTGGGTTTGGTGGCATATGCCAATCAGCTACTCAAGAAACGTGGTGTGACAAAGGCCTATGTGGATTGGGTGGAGCTCCTTGACTTTTATCGTCGAGCTGGTTATGAGCCATGGCGTAGCTATCGCATTGCTACACGTCAGCAGTAGTAGATGTAGACTTCTATCCCTTATTATAGTTATCATTTCATTGAATGAGGAGTATAATACATTATGCCTTGTCAAACAGCTACTTTGGTTCATTGTGTCCCTATCATGCAGCACCTACTATTGTCTCATTCAAACATTGTAATGCCATTAATTAACATTATGCCGGCAGTACCAGAGCGATAAAAGACCGGGAATGGATTTCCTATATGTAGATGCCGGCAAGTTACGGTTACCCATTAAGCGAGTCTTTTCGGCTTGTATTTCTCTTTTACATCTAGCAACGAGTATAATGCCGTAGATGTAGATGATCAAGATAAAAGCCATCCCATGACGATGTTGTTGATGGATTACATACAACATCCACACATATCTGGTCGTGATAAGATTGATCCCATTCATGTGATGGCATGGGTTTATCAGCATACAGAGCCTTTTTTCCCCGGATGGAGATGTTATGCTGGTGATGGAAAGTACAGAAAAAAGACAAAGAGGATATCTTATCATGGGCGTATGAGTGAGACGGAGCATCGAGGTGGTTATCGGAACCTGACAAGGAAACAGCCTTGCTGATCACACCAATCACGGGAGCCTATTCGCTGCTTATCGGAGGGCACACCTTGCTTATCAGCATGCATAACACTTGTCTTATCTCTTGGATGCCTTTCTTGTCTAGCAGCACTCTCCCTACCATCATCATTCCTGCATTTCCCTCGCTATCTTATCCATTGTCTCATTTTTATTACATAGGTGTATATATAAACAATAACACATTTTGCATGGGCAATAAAGATAAAGTACGCATCCATTTCTTTCGCACACACTACATTTCCCCAACATACCACTGCTCTTTTTGCGAACGCTATAAGCACATCAATCACATCCCATCCAAACATGGATCCGGCAACAACACCATCAACATCCGAAATCGATTCAGGCAATACTGCTTGGGTTTTGATTTGCTCTGCTCTTGTCTTTCTCATGGTGGGTATTAACATTGCATTGCTGCTCTACCGTATTTTAACTAAAGTGCAATAATAACAGACCCCTGCTCTTGGTTTATTCTATGCTGGCCTTGCACAAGGTATAATATCATCCATCAATACGATCATGATGCCTTTCAAAATACCTTCAATCTTCTAACGATCTTCGTATTTTCTAGCCAAAAATGCGCTGTCTCTCATGTATTTGACAATGCTGTGCGTTGCCGTCGTCTCATTTCAGGTATTTGATACCATGTTTTGGTAAGAGCAACCTTGTTAACGCTCATCCATAGTGGTATGTTTTTGGTTACTCTCTCGCCTTTTCTCCCAATGCTGGTCCCTTTATTGGTGATTCAAGTGAGTATAAACACCTATGCCATTTGCCTCTTACATCCTTGCTAATGCAACCCATAGCCAACTTTTTGCTTCGTGGTGTTGGTATTTCCCCTGCATTTGAAGGCCAAAGCATCCCAGCCATGGTTTACATGATCTTCCAAGCCATGTTTGCTTGCTTGACACCTGGTAAGCTGAAACGGCTATAGCATCATCCTTTGTACTTAATGTGTACTTTTTACAACGATTAGCTCTTGCTTTTGGTGCTGCTGCAGAGCGTATGTCGGTAAGCCATCACAACGTCTTTGTTAAAAGTTCCCCTTGTTTATCATCTTTTATTTCATGTAATAGCTTGGTCCATCTATCATCTTCATTTTTGTGTGGACCACCGTAGTATATGATATTATCACTTGCTGGGTATGGAATCCCAATGGTTGGCTATACAAGATGGGTGCCATGGACTTTGCTGGTGGTGCTACAGTACACGCATCAAGTGGTCTTGCTGCTGTTGCCTATGCCTTGGTACTTGGCAAACGTCGTGACTACCATGAAAACAACAACAACCCTCATAACGTCTCCTTTGTATACATCGGCCTTGCTTTTCTTTGGTTTGGCTGGTTTGCTTTCAACGCTGGTAGTGGTCTTGCAGCTGATGCACGTGCCGCCAACTCATTCGTTGCAACACATCTTGCTGCTTGTGTTGCAGCTGTTGTTTGGGTGCTTATCGATTGGCTCTATACTCGAAAATGGAGCGTCGTTGGCTTGTGTACGGGTGTTGTTGCTGGTCTTGCCACCATTACCCCAGGATCAGGATTTGTGTCCCCTAGCAGTGCGTTACTTTTTGGTCTCCTTGGCAGCATTGCATGCAACTATGCCATTCGATACAAGCACAAGTACGGCTTTGACGATGCCCTTGATGTATTTACCGTGCACTATGTTGGCGGCATTGTGGGATTACTTTTGACAGGCGTCTTTGCTGAGAGGTACATTATCAGCTTGGGAAGCCCTCCTGGCACACCTCTTGAAGACGTTCAAATTGGTGGTTGGCTCGATGGTCATTGGATGCAAGTACCCATACAACTTGCCATGATTGCTGCTGTCTCAGGATGGTCATTTGTTGTTACATACATTATCCTGCTTGTCATCAACAAGATCCCTTACATGCAAGTCCGATTGCATCATGAAGATGAGCGTATTGGTACTGATTATGCCCAAATGGGTGAACGTGCATACAATTACATCCAATGGGAAGAAGAAATGAGACGTGTCAACAGCCAAATGACAAGCGATCAACAATCCCAACATACTATCAAGAAGGGCGGTGTTTTACACAGCATTCGTCGTTTACTTATGGCGGACAATCACACTGTTGTCAAAGGCGTCCCTGCATTGATCGAAGAGCCTGTGCTTGATTATGGCCAACCTAAGGAAATGGGTTCTCTCAAGGCCAAGATACCTACCGGCAACGACGTGATTACAACATCATCCATTGCAAGTATCCACCAATTGGAAGAGCAACAACCACCTCATCCTCCACCACCAGCTGCTGTGGTTGAAAACGGTGAACATCACCATAGCAGCAGGGGTAGTACTATTGTGCACCAGAGTGGTAGCAGCAGCAGCAGTAGTGATAGCAACACGCCATCTGCCGATGACAACAAGGAAAAAAGCAATGCGTAATAGCTGAATTTATTAACGTTCACAACAAACAACCCTCATCCCTTTCTCCTATTATCCATGTGTTATATATCTTTTGCTCTTTTGCTTCTCATCATGTTTATACCTTAATAGTCTTCTTTGTAACATAATCCATAAATACACCCACTATTTTGACAATTACCATGCGTTGGTCTATGACCGTGTGCGTGCTCACGAATGTGTAAACAACTCAACGACACCTTTCATTCTCTCTCGTTTTCAATAAACCAGCCTGAATGGAAATTCCATGCCCTTTTTCTTTTCCCTCCCTTCTCATGTCGACCTTCAGGCACCATTCTTTGCCTCCTGTTACCATCACCCTAACAGATATTGTCTTTGCTACCATTGATCCTAAGACAACAACGACGAGTACATATCCACTTGACAACGCTAGTAATAATTCAGCATCTTCGCCATCACAACCCACACGTCATCAGCAGCATGATCGATGGCTACATCAGTTACTGCCGGTATTGGGCGTCTTTGCCATCATTGGACTATTATCTATCCTTGGCCTACTTGTATACCTAGCATACAGGTTTTATCGAGCTGATCGTGATCGTAATGCTGGTATTGGTGGTGGTCGTGGTCGTGGAAGGAGGCGAACAAGAAATCCCGATGATGATACAGCTTCTGGAATGCCATGGATGGCAGCAGCAGCAGCAGCAGAAGCAGCTAACGAAGAATACGATGAGAGTGATAGCGATAATAATAATAAGAGATCACCTGGTCTTACACGATTTGTACGTAAATGGCATCCACCACCATCCCCAGACCAAGGAATGTATGATGATCCATCATTCATCTCACGGACATTTGTTCCCATGGATACATCACCTATGACACTTGTGCCACGATCAGAGGTGTTACGTGACCCTGCAAGGCGACGAGGCATTGATGCATTAGACTTATGGGAACAAAAACATCAACCACGGTATCCATCATCAGCTTCATCTTCTGAAACGGTCCAAGTGTCACCACGGGTAAGTATTTCTAAATGATGGATTCATCCTGGCTGTATGCTAAATGTAAGCTTTTTGTAATAACAATAGCAGCAGCAACAGCAAATGCCACAACATCAAGATGAGCCAGGTGCAGGATCATCATCGTCATCACCTAGTCATGTGGCAATAGCTCGTCAAGCACTTGAAAAGAGTCGATTGGAAAATAGTAGTAGCCAATGGCTGGTATAACAAACATGTCTTTTTCAATCTTCTTTTATTATTACATTACACAACCAACATTTTAATTCATGGATTGTACCAAGCTATTAATAAACTCGGCACGATCGCCCTGTTCACCACCTTCAATAAAGTGGTTCAACTTGCGAGTACGCCAGCCGCCATTGGGGTTTGAAAGCTTGAAAGGCCACAAAAAGTTGTTGACTTGCTTGAAATGGGGACCCACAGTAACCAACTCGTGAATCAAATCCTCCACACACATGACATTGTATTTAGCAAGAGATTGCTCAATGACAGAGTTATCGTGGATAGGGATGCGTTGGTTGTTGATCTTGGCATAGCCACGCTTATACACGAGCTCACGCACAGTCTTCAAATTGGGAGTACCATAGGTGACATAAGGCTGAACAAGCTGAAGCATGGAAAGGGTAGCCTTGTTGGCCTTGACAAAGGTAGCCGAGTTGATTTGGAGCAAACGCAACAATTGAAGCACCTTGCGTGGCTTGGGAGGAATGTTGTTGATACCACGAATACGCACCACCAACAAAAGCTTGGGTTGAGCAGGCACATAAAAGTTGCCATTGGCCTTGGCTTGACGACGCAATGCAATCTCCTTACGCTCGGCAGAGATGTATTCAGCATGATAGCGACGAGCACGATTGAAAATTTCACGACGCTTGACGCGCTTTTCCTATTGTTCAAAACGATGGTTAGAATCATGACATGGGATAAATCATATATGCCTATCCACCCTCTTCGCTTTAAATGTGCATACATCAGACCCGAAAGATGGTTAACGTGTTAGGCATCATTGCTTCCAAGCTAGCCAACGGATGGGTTGCCCCAATTCATCATAAACAATACAACATTGCGAAAAAGAGATGGAATGGCAGGTAATAAAAAAAGAGATGATACTTGCCTTCTTGAGAGCCAATTGCTTTGCAGCAGCATTAGCAGTAGCCTGTGCATCGGCAGTCTGCTTTTTCACAAGCGTCTCGGGCACAAGGATATCAGTAGTAGTAGGTACAGTGCTAGAACGTGGTGAATCCCCAAATAAGTCTTCCAAAGCCAATCTTTTCCCCAATGGCATGCAAGGCAATAAATAACGCAATACAATCTAGATGATTCATCTTCCTTGTAAAAGGAAGAAGAGATCAACCAGGATTGCGTGCAAGGATAAAGCAGCTTCCTCGACAAGCTGGCAAGAACACGAGTACGCAAAAGCGTAACGTCAAATCCCAATAACCCAAGTTCCTCATTACCGACGCAAAAGCGTGAGGCAAAGCGAACAAGTGAAATGGATGATATGACTCACGTATTCCCAGCATGTAAGGTACTGAATGTATTTAAGGAGAACAACGTATGATAGCGCTATAGCTCCCATCTCCCCCATTTTCAGGCCTGATAGCAGACACTGGGGTTTTCGGTAGAGTGCAGCATACGCATACACAATACAAGCCTATGCAGGAACAACATTTCCAAAAGCAAATAGAACTTTCACTTACTAGGAAACCATGATAGAACGTATAGACAATAAAAAAAGATCAAGTATATACAAGAGAAGAAAGAAACGTGTTTGGGCTTGCCTCCCCTGACAAAAATTTTTGAAGCTTCTCATCGCGTGGCTGGTTTTAGTTTGAACACCAGCTCACTTTTCCTAGCCAGCGGATCGGGGTGCTCGCTTCGCTGGTGAAGGTTTGATCATGAACAATGCACCCTATTCATAGCTTACCAGCTAATAGCCTCCTCCTCCCATGTCCAATTCTTTCCCAATCCACCGCATGTGAACGACTCTTCTGTTGCAGCGCGTTATTGCCATCCTTCAAATGTCATGATCCAAGAGAATTTGGCTGAGTAACACTGGAACAGGGATCGTATCAATCAAATCATCATCTCCCCTACATTTGGCCGCTCCCATTCAAAATTTTCATAATGAAGTGTGAGGTCTTTGTTAGAACAAAGTTGATCAGCATGCCCGAGAGCACCTTGTGTAAGAGTTTCAAGTTCGAGATACGCAATCTCGCCGTGGCCCGTCCACCTCACTTGTGTTCCCATCCGTTCATCGTCTCTCCCCATTTTGGATCGCCCCGCATCCAAAGTCTTTGTAATGAAGTCTACACCTTTTAAATGAATGAAGTTGATCAGCAGGTCCCAGCGAACCTTCTGATAAAGTTTCAGGTTCGAAAAGGGGAATCCCAAGGTAATACATACTATTTCGATAAATCATGAATCGGCGCCGTCCTCCATTTCCCGATTTACATAGTAAACCCACATTGTATCCTCCCATTCCAAATTTTCAAATGAAACATGAGGTCTTTTTTAGATCAACGTGATCAGCATGACCAAGGGCACATTGTGTAAAAGTTTCAGGTTCGAGAGGGGCAATCTCAATATCAAAGTTTGATGTACAGTGTTCATGCATTTATACAAGAGGTGTCCAATCTATTAAATTTCCACTGCTTCCACTCCCACGACTTCTTGTCTCTTTCCTCCCTTTCCCAATTGTTGCCCCATTCAAGTATACAACTACCACCTGCGAACGATTTTCCTGCTTCAACCCATCATGTCCATCCTACGATTGCCTTGATCCGATTGCCGTTGACTGAATGGCAAATCCATGGCGTGTACACCCCACTACAGCACCCGCGTTTCTTGACACTTCACGTTCTCTTGTACACTCCTCTACCACGACCAATCGTAACAGCGTTCATTCCAGTAGTTGCTACTACCGAGGCTTTACTCCATCGTCTCAAGCAGCGTTCACGATGTTGTCACTCCACTACAACACCCACTTTTGTATACGCCTTTACACGACCAAACGCACCAAGCAGTTGCCTTTACCTCATCGCCTCACGTTACCTGCAGCAACATGCCTTACAGCCTTGTTGCATGGATCAGCAGATAGCCGATTGTATACAAGCAGCTTTATTTACGTGTAGCAACTTGCTTTGATGCATACGACTTCCAATGGATGATCCCATATCAGCTATCAAGTACCCTGCAATGCGAGCAATCTTCACCTGGTTGAGCTGCAATGAAAGTGACCAAGAAAGAGGTAGACAAAGATCCGGATGGGAAAGGAAGCATATCAGCAGCGATCACAGAGGCACTTTTCAACCAACATTGGATTTGCAATGGTTATCATGAATGGATGCAATCAAGTGCAGTGATGGGGAATCCTGGAATGTTGCTTTGGTTAATTGTCGCGTCGTCAGCAGGAAGGATGGGCCATGTTGCGTGAATACGGCTGAGGATGATGATGGATTGGATGGCATGGATAAGAGGGCTTGTATCTTTGAGGAAAGATGGGTTGCCGCCATGGATGGTATTGGAATATCGAAGTCAAGGCACGCACAGCAGCTAGTTTGCAATCATGGATGAAGGCGCTTACGACGGCAGCAACCAAGAATACAATGACACAACGATACCCGCTGTTTCTATGTGGTCCACTGGTTGGCTTTTGGAATGAAAGGCAGGATAGAAATTTGAAGGCTGGAAGGCGAGATTGGATTACCTACATGATTGTATCGAGACGCTTTTGTTCCTTTTGTCATATTCCATTCATTAAAGCTTCCTTATTCATATGCTGATAGACAATATACAGTGGCAATTCATAGCGGATAGTACAGGTTTAAATAGACGCCTGCATTTCAAGATAATAAATCCATAGTAATGGTACCCAATAATCGTGCTTGTTATGGAAGCTTGGTCCATCGTAAGCTTGAATCATTATGTCGAAGAAAGAGTGAGCTCTGGTACTGTACAATGTGGCACGAGTACATGCATATGCTTACCTATGAAAACTATCAGCATGCGCTATGTACCTTGTATGTATATCCTTATATGAGAACGAACCCTGGGGACAAACAATACCATTAACGCTCATAGCCTTGAATGCACTGATCACTTTGGCTTGTTATGCATACCATGGTTCATCCGAAAAAGTTCCCAAGAGGTCTACTATAGGCGGACCATACTATAGGGGAAAAATGTCAATCATGCACTCTCCACCAATAAGAATCCTTCAAGCCCTGCACCTCTCCTTTTTATTACACAAGCGAGTTTCTCTGCGTCTTTTGCTCTGACAGGGTCCAGCTACTTGACAATGAACAAAGACCACTCTTCATATAGCATCACATCTACAAACATAAAGGTGCCTGTATCTCCAAACTTTACAATGAAACGTGGGGTTTTGAATAGAGCAATGGGCTCGGCTTGGTCAACAGCACCTTGTGTGAAAGTTTCGCGTTCAATGTCGCAAACAGCCCAAAAAATATTTTTAAGTCGTCGAAAAATGTTTCAAGAGGTCGACCCCCGGATCCAGTTTGGCTGGTAGCGACATTGGGCAAATCTGGGAATGGCCACGATGAACTTCATATTTTGACACAAGATCGCTTTGACCCCGCCGAGCACGTTGATCTATTAAAGAGCCCACGTTTGATTGTAAAGTTCGCACCTTTATGTTTGTAAGCGTGATGCTATATGAGAAGTGGTCTTTGTTCATTGTCAAGTAGGTGGACCCTGACAGAGCAAAAGATGCAGAAGGACCTCTTTGTGTAACTCGGCTACTTTACATGACTGGAAGGATGGAAGGATGACACTGAATACTATTGACAATGGCCCATATCTTGCGAGCTATCAGCCCATTCCTCCCAATCATCTTTTTTTCCCAAACCAATGCATATAAACGATTGTCCTGCTCCAAGCCAGCATGCCCATCATTCAACTTTCTTGATCCGTGTTGATTTGACTGAACAAAGCTCACACACAAAACATCATCCAATTTCACAAAGATCATTTTGCAAAGTTATTTGTAACATGCCACTTGATAGCACATTCCTCCCATTCACCTTTTTTACCCAATCCATTGCATACGAACGATTCTCCTGCTCCAGCACATCACTTCCATCATTGAACTTTCTTGATCCGAGAGGATTTGATTGAACAACGCTTAAACAAGAAACATCATTGAACCTACTTAATTTCCACTCCTTCCACTCCCTGCTTCTTGCCTTTTCCTCCCATTCTCAACTGTTGGCCCATTCAAGTATACAACTACCACCTGCGAACGATTGTCCTGCTTCAACCCATCATGTCAATCCTACAGCTGCCTTGATCCGATTGTCTTTGACTGAATGGCAGCTTCATGGCGTGTACACAGCCGTCTTGTCATTCTTCTACAACACACGAGTCTCTTGATACAATGCAACGTCTTGGACGCTCCTTCACCACAATCAAACGTAACAGCATTCAATCCAGCAGTTGCCATTGTCTCAAGCAGCGTTCTTTACTTGCAGCAACCTGGGCTCACAGTCCTTTTCACGTGAACAGCATATAGCCAGCCATTGTATAGCAGCATCTTTATTTACGTGTAGCAACTTGTTTCAATACATATGACTTCTGATGGATAAGGATCTGAATACTGTTTTGATTCATGGGATGGAAGGAATTGGATGTATAAAACACGTGGAAAAAGGGTGTATCTATTGTCAACTTGACCTTGATGCTATCATGCTGAACGATTGGTACATTGAATTCTCGTTCTTTACAATGTCAAAACGATTGCTTGAAGAAGAGAATGGGCTGATCAAGGGGTGGGTGCTTTTCATGATGCAATCCAAAATGGATGGGTTTTTGCGTACATGGTCTCAGATGTAGTAAGTATATGCGTATGTCACAAGATTTGTATCGCATAGGATGGAAACATAGCAGGCAACACCTACAATCACCATGTCAGTTTCTTGTTTCTCGTCGTTCACTTCAGTGTGTGTTGTTGCACATCCATATCCATATCCATATCCATCGCCTTGTTGATAAACAAATCCATGTCGCTATGCCGTGTTCTGCATCTTGGCCGTACTTTGCGTGATGGCATTGCTCCTCTTTGTTGTTGTCGAAAGTAAAAGAGAATAAAGGATGTTCCCCAAACGCCTTGTGAATGACCCTGATGCATTTCAGGCTGTCCCTTTGTTCAGCTTGTTGCTTGATTCTCACCCCACTAGCCTTTACCCGATATGATGAATTGAATGAGAGCAAGGCAATGCTGGATGACTGATGATGCATTGCATCTCTTGGCAGCACCCACCATTGATGCATTGTCTTCATGTTCAATTTGATTTCTACCTATGCAAGAATGATTTTTGTCACGATATTAAAGAACAAGGTTGGGTGTATGCTGGCATGATATATGCAAAGTCAATATCGTGTCCCCCCGCCATATGACATTTTACTTGTCGTGTTGATAGTTTTCTGAAACAATGAAATCAATGGCTGCCACTACTGCTGCTGCTGCTGCTGTGCGACCAGGATCGGGTGGCGTTTGTAGACCAATCAAAAGTTTAAGCCTTGTCAAGTCATTCACGCCCATTGTAACGAAACAATTGAGGATAATTTACGCACGTAGATTGTATTATGGGGGGAGAGGAGAGGAAAGATGGGATCATCAGTCATCTCTCTCGTCGTTTATGAGAGAGCACAATATACATGCATGCATCTCTATGCATGATGGGGCGTTGCTTTCTATTTTTTTAGAACGATGGTTGTGGTAGTGGTCATGGTAGCAAAGGCACAGCAGAGCAAAACAGTCATGGGGAATGTGGTGCTGCAGTGCAACAAAAGAGCGAAACCATGATTTGAAACCAACAATGACACAAAGGGATAAAAAAAGGTGTTGGCGAAAAAGAATGCAAGTCGACATTTCGGGACCTGGCAACAACAAATACAACCGTCGGGTAGCACTCGGGTTTGTTCCGATCCATTGACCCCGAGATGATATGCATTAACATATGAAATATGAGATGGAAAGAAAGCTTTATTGGGAAAATGCTTATGCTTCTGGTGGCATGTGGTGTATATTATTATTCGGGGGAGGTAGACGAACAAAGAGATAAAATGGTTATTGTTATATTCTGCCCCCACATTAAGGCCGGCTTTTGGGGGGGGAGAAAGGAAGAGAAAAAGACTTGCTGTGGTGATCGCATATGACCATATACTATGTACACGGGATGTAGTTTGTTGTAGTGTGGGCTTGTCGTGGTATAATGGAAAGAGGTAGGTAGTTGAAATGTAAATGATGATGATGATGATGATGATGCTAATGCTGTAGATGGCTATTTTGTTTAAGGTATAGTTTGTGCCTTGAGTGTTTAGCACTTGTTGCGAACAAAGAGGCGTTTCCATGGAAGGCGGCTACGCTTTTCTTTTTGCATAGAAGAACAAGAGGATGATGCTGATGATGGTTTAACCAATGTCTTGATTTTATCGACGACACCTGACCACTTGGTGGATGTGCTGCTATAACTGCTGCTAGCTGCTGCTACGGTTGAAGCACTTGTGCTGTCGTCATTTTTGATGTCTTGTGGTTCATGGTGTTCATAGCAGTCGTCTTGAACATCCGAGAATAAAACCGATTCAGTTTCTTGACCATAGCCTGAGTCAAGATCAAAGTGGTCATCTTGCTCAATGGGTAATGTCCAATGATCGTACATGAGCTCGTCTTCCCATTTCCAACTTGAGATATCGTCATTCTTGAATGCATTGGTGTTGGATGTTTTGATGCATACACCTGCACCATGGTGGTTTCGTTCCATATCATTGGCGACAAGTTCAAGTGCACCACGCAACACGGCGCGTAAATGTTGTGCATCGTTATTGTTCATGCCTTGAGGGCTCTTGGTAGTGGTAGGTAAAGGCGATGATGGGTAAGCGGACACGTTGTGGGTATCCGTCAAAGAATGCATTGGGGTATACGATTTTTCAAGAGCAGTAGAATAGTAATCATGAAATGCCCAATCAACAGGATCCGGAAGCTTGGAAGCATGATTGACTGATAACTTGGGTTCGTTAGAATCGGAAGGGAAAACAATGTCGCTGGCAAGAAAATCTGCAGTAAGAGCCATGTTGATGATAATATGATGAAGATGAAAAAGAGAAAAAGAAGAAAGGCTACTTGAGCAATGCTTGAAGGGTGGGGATTGGGGGATAAGGGGGATTTATATTTTGATGGAAGCAAGGATGAAACAGGAAGTTGCATGAGCAAAGATGAGGATGGTCCAAATAAAGCCATAAAACGAGAATGTGGTTGCATGCTGATTTTTGTGTCCCCCACATTGCGCTCATAGGGTGCCACAAATCAATGGTTGGTCGGATGACACACACTCTCGGCAACGCTACCCCGAAGTGCTACGCTGCCATCCCATTGCGCATAAACAAACGAATAGCTTGTGTACGTCTTTTTGACCTCCCTAAAAGCATTTCAAATATAAAAAAAGAGGACCCTATGTTTGTGTTGTTGTGCACAGACGGCTGTTTTTGCATTGTTGTTGATTATGATGATGATTGACAGGAGCCTTTGAAATTGGTGCTAGTAGACATGACCAATTCGCGTTTCGGCATGAGGTGGCACTATTGTATTGCGATTTGAACCTTATATTGGTTGACCACGGGACTTTTAACTGTTCCATGTAGATAGTCAACATGCTGCCACCATGGCTTAAATGGGGCAAGGCCGGGCTGATGCGTTGGCGTGGGTAAAGCATATACACGCTCACACACACTTACACACTCACACAATACATACTCGCATCTTTTATGTATACTCACTTTTGGCTCAGTGCACTTTACAATAATGGGATCTTGTGGCAGCACACGCTATTGATCGACATGATTAAGCACATAATCAAAGCATGGATGTGTAACTAGGATCGACATCTTGCGCACCAGCATGGGTTGTATACACTTGGCTCTCATTTTTCACTCTCAGTCTTATTACCAAATGTATAATGCAATTCACATCATTCGATATTACAATTAGGATACACGATGCAAGGTACAGTACTTTTGCGTCAGAGCTTATGGATTTCATATGCTGCTGCATTGGCAAGTGTCATGTGCGCCACCCATGTTGCGGAGCATTTCTGTTGCAGCATCTTGGTTCCTTTCGTAAATTGAGTTGTGAGCCAACAGCATCATGGGATATTCACCATCATCACGGTCGACATACATGTGGGATAATAAAGCGTGTGACTACGAAGCATTTCGTCGTGCTTTGTTATTTTTGGTACATTGCAGTATCACTACCCACTAGCAATTTACCCCTGATTCTCCCTTGTACCATGCAACTCGCATCTTTTATTCGGGCTGTGCATCTCTCTTCCTATCTTTTTTTTCTTCTCTTACATGACGCGTCATTCAATAACCCAACCCGCAAGTGGAAGCCGTCTTTAGGTGATTCGCCATGTGGCAGCCATCCATGTCGGTTTCCAGAAAAGGTGCTAGATCGAGAGATATGTGTAACCTTCATACACCATACACCACTGGTTGCGGTAGATAAAAAAGACCTTTGTCAATAAGATCGCTATTGCTCTCGATACAACAGGCACATGTTATCGCCATGAAGGCCCCTTTTGTATCCCATGAGATGATGACAGACCATGGAATGACACGTGTGTATGTATCCATCTCAACATGTAGTAGGATGACTTGCAAAGACAAGATGATAAGGATAGATGATGAGAGCGTAAAAGGTCGTGTGAGCGGGAGTTGACAATAAGCATGTCCGTGCATTCCAGCAATTCGGGTGCTTTTTGTTGTGTACCAGAAAAGAAAAAGTATGACAGTCCTAGACAGCACTCATGGTTGTTGACGTTACATGCGTGCGGGGCGTGGAGTGAGAGTGGTCTTAATATATAGTGAGCGTGTTTTCCTTCTCTTTCCCGAAATCACTATTCTAGGAATAATCTTTTTCTCTTTTCATCATCCTTTTTCCTGCCCATATGCAACAAGGCAAAGCCTACATAGCCGAATGTGAATGTGGACGTCTCCTCAAACCCGGATGGCAATGTAATCAATGCCGAAAAAGCTGTCCTTATTGTCGTAGAGCATTGACTGTGGATCCCAACGACTATTGCGATCGCTGCTTTGCCAGATGCAACATCCATGGTATATTTCCAATCACCCAACAACAGCAACAACAGCAACATCATTTCCACTATTACTACTACAACAACAACAAATCCTCGTTTCCACCCACACCACCACTGGTACCACGCCGCATCATTCACCAATGTCCCTCATGTAAACATTCTTTGTAGACTGCCATTTCTTGTTTCATATACAACAACATGCCCATATTTATTAGAAGATTTGCTTGTCATATGCACTATGTATTGTACTTTATGTTCTTCTGGTCATCATTAAACACAACAGCTGCTGGTATTATACCCCCCTTTTTAACACCGCTCGACTGCTTTTTGTTTTGCGACATTGTTTGCTTGAACCACACCATCCATCCACCGCTTGAAGACACAATATCCACTTTTCGCACGAGGTAAGGGACAATCGCTTGGTACACAAAGGAGGGTGTTGACATGAGGTATAGCTTCTATCATGGCGTTCCGGCAATGTACAGCACGATCGTGGTGTCATGTACGATCCAACTTGTTACGATGGCAGCCTGTCACGACTCGACGACATTTACCTTTGCAAGCGATGCGAGCTCTGTCCACTGCCAATGAGATGGCAACAGCAGATATTTCCAACAAGAAACACGATCCAGCAGCAGCAGCAGCAGGAGCAACAACAACAACACCAACGACGTTGGCAACGGAACTTGACTTTTCAAAGCCGCTTGATGCAGTATGGGAGGACTATTGTTATCGAGTGGATCATCAAGAACATTTGACGTTTCATGATTTCAATATACTATGTGCACGTATCAAAAAAGAGACAGAGGAAGGACCTGATGATGCTATTCGACGACTACAATCAGTGATGCGAGAGATGCACCGAAGGAAGATGCCCAAAGAAGTATTCATCAGAGGCTGCAACATGCTGGTGCACTTGTTTATCCAAAAGAAGGATCTCAAATCGGCTCGACTTGTCGTGGATGGCATGATGCGGTCCAATTATCGCCCTGATGAGGTCACTGTCAAGACGTTATTTGGTGGTGTGATGGAAGTGGGTGGCAGCATATCGGATTTGCATGACATTTATGAGACGCTACAAGAACGACGCATGTTTCCAGAAGTATCGAGTGTATACCAAATGTTGATTTCCATGTTCGGTTCCCGTGGATTGATCGATAGCGCACGCACCTATTATGCAGCCTGCTTGAAGAAAAGGATCCCTCTTGAACCCGGTGTATTCAATCAGATGATGTTGGCTTATGGCACAGCTGAACTCCCTGAAGCAGCTTTGGGCGTATACCAGCAAATGGTCAAGCGTGGATGTCAACCAACAGGAGCCACTTATCATATCATCATCACCCTCTTGCAACAAGCTGGAATGAAGGAGGCTATGGACCACGTGTTTGACGACATGAAAGCTTCGGGGGTTGCCATGAATACAAGCCATTTCATCGCATGTGGATGGGATCCCAAGCAAGCTATTGAGGAATTGCATCGCCTTGACAATACACTCTCCACACGTGATTACAACACTTGTATTGCGCATTACATCAAACGCAATCAATTCCCTGAGGCACTCGAAGTCTTCCGTATGATGAATGAAAAAGGAGTTGATCCCGATGTATACAGCTTTTCAATCATTATGGATACCATTGCACGTGATCGTGAGCGACCTGTCGACCAAGTCTTTGCATTTCACGAAGAAATGAAATCACATGACATTCAACCCGATGTATCAGTATACACCACGCTTATGGCAGCATGCACACGTACCGATGGAGGTCTTGATAAGGCGATGGGATTATTAAGCGAGATGGAACAACACAATGTGATGCCAAACACATTCACCTTCAACGCCATCTTCAGTTTATTATCACAACAACCCAACGTGACACGAGCTGATTATGAGCGAGCAGAGCAATTGTGGAATAAGATGAATCAACTAGGCATCAAACCTGATACACGAAGCTACAATACACAACTCGCTATTCTTTCAAGATTGGTGAAGCCTGTGGATGATGAACAACATGCCGATCAGCTATGGAAAACAGATGGTCGCAATGCATTTGAAATGTCGGGAGCTGCCAAAGAGATGTTACAATTATACCGATCCATGAGGAAAAGATGCAAACGGGATTTCATCACGTATACAACGGTTATCAATACGCTGGTATCTGCAGGCCAGATTCGACAAGCTATGCAAGTTTATGATGATGCAAAGATTGCACGGATACGATTGCCCATCTCAGTGTACAATTCAACCATGAAGGCTCTCAAACAAGCCAATCAGATATCGCAAATCATGAACATTTGGCACGATATGAAGAGTATGCGTGTGCGTCCTGATAACAACACCTACACATACGCCCTGGATGCATGTCTCCAACTTGGTTTGCGTGAATCATTCTCCGCTATTCGAGCACAACGAAGGGATGATGCTGATAGGCTATTGGAATTGGAAAGGAAACGAGAAGAGCGCATGCAAAGTAAGAAGGAGGCAGCAGCGACAGTAGAGGAAGAAACAGCATTAGAGTAAAGCATCATTTGTACATTTGATATTAGATAAAAATCATCATGATAGCATGTAAAGGTCTTGGTTTTATGGGTCAATTGGGGTGGGGGGTAAGTCGTGATTGCATGACACTAAGTTACATCATCAAATCAAATGAATGGCCCGACAAGGCGATTTTGTGTGGGTGGTGCAATTGTTTCCGCTTTTTCCCAGCTCGTCGTCTTTCGTTTACACCATGCCAACTTACGCGTTTGCCAACACTGACGCCTTATCCAGTGCGTTGAATGAATTTGTCGCCAAGAAATCCAAGGAAGCTATTGCAGACCATGGTGCTTTCAGCGTTGCTGTATCAGGTGGTTCCCTTCCCAAGTTGCTTGCTGCCGATTTGAAGAACAACAAACAAGTCGATTTCACGAAATGGCACATTTTCTGGGCTGATGAACGATGCGTTCCATTGGACGATGCCGACTCCAACTACAACGAGTTGAAAAAGACTGGGTTGCTGGACCATGTGCCCGATAACAATGTCCATACAATCAATGCTTCTTTTGGTAAGGATGCTGAAAAGGCCGCGGTGGATTATCAAGCACAACTTCAAGAGTACTTTGGTCAATTACCATCCATCGACTTGATTCTCCTCGGTATGGGTCCTGATGGTCATTGCTGTTCATTGTTCCCTGGTCACCCCTTGTTGGATGAGGCCACGCGTTGGGTAGCACCTATTGTTGATTCTCCAAAGCCTCCACCAGAACGCATCACTCTCACTTTCCCGGTTGTCAATAATGCAAAGGCCGTTGCTTTCGTCACTGCAGGTGAAGGTAAACAAGACATGTTACAAAAGATCCTCGAGCAACCCGATCTTCAACTTCCTTGTCAACGTGTCAAGCCCCAAGGACCTGTTTATTGGTTTGTCGATCAAGCTGCTGCTGGCAAAGTACAAAAAGACCTCATCTCCGAATATTAAATGTGGTTTCCCAACACACCCCCCACCTTTATCTCATGTATCCATGACAACACACACAATTGTATAAAATGAAAAAAGATGTCTATTTTCTAAATCGCCAATCTGTTGGCTTATATTTACGCTCTTGTGAACATAACCTTTTGAGCTGTGCCAATGCTTCTTGATCTTCTAGCTGAATGCATTTGTTGTACATTGTTGTCAATTGTTTCAATGTCGGTCGATCCTCCTTTTGGAATTGTGTTTCAAGTAACAAAAGTGCATTCTTAAAGTCATTGCCCCTACATTCACTTTTATCAGCAAAAAGAACACCATACACATTATGAGAGACTTACCGAGCAAGCGTGTTAACCATCAATAAAGCCGATTGCTTTTGCTGATCAGGTGTCCATCCCTCCTTGTTTTGCTTGGATACAGTTTCTTGGGGTGGCAACGCTTGTCGTTGCTCCAAAAAGTCTTGGTAATCCTCCCATACTCGCCATGCCATGTCGGTATCACGTGTGTTGTAACAGAATTGTAACATCATTGAATACGTCAATGCCGTCCTTTCAACGCCGTACTTTTCAAAAGCATTGAGATAAATGTCAACCACCTCACGATGCTGCCTCTGCATGATATGTACGGACAAATACGAAGATAGCAATCCACTCGTCATCTCACAGCTCTTGTTTGTCGTAATGAAATCAAAGAGCTTCTTGGCTTCTTGCACCACATCCGATCTTCTCTCGGGAAGTGTGTTGGATATTAATGAATGCTCCACAAGCGCATCTTGTTGTTGTTGTTCAGGCTGCTGTTGTTTCTTTTTGGCTGGTAATGGATCATAGCTTGCATAACTCATAAAGAGATTGGTGAACGTGTGATGATCGGGTGTCAACATGGAATCAGGTCCTTGTTCCTTGGCGTCATACATCATGATTTGAAAAATGTCACGTGCTCTTTCAAGGTGTTTCTTTCTTGCACAAGCACTGAGGAGGGTATTGTAGGTGATGCGATCAGGCTGGAATCCATAAATGTTTTGCATTTGGTGCAAGAGATCGAAAGCAGTGTCGAAATAATCAGGTCGTTTGGCGCATGCATTGATAAGGACATTGAATGTGACATCCGTGGGATAAAGACTGCTTCCAACCATATCTTCAAAGACGTTAAGAGCACGCTCCACTTCGCCACGCTACATAACATAGCAACTTCATCAGACTTTTGATCTTGAGAACATATCCCATAGACTCATACCTTGGCACATGCATGCAACATCAGAGTAAATGTCACTTCATCCGGTTGGTGATATGATAAACGCATTGAATCAAAGACTTCCCAGGCCCTTTCGATTTGATTTGACTTGATGCATCCACTGATTAGATTGGAAAAAATAGGCTACGGATATAGGGTTGGCATGTGAGATCTTTGTACCACTGAGCTTTACGATAATCAAAAGATATTACCTGTGTTGGTATTAAACCTGCTTGCTTCAATTGGTCAAATATAATGAATGCGTCATTCAACTTGGCACCTTGGATATGTGCTTTGATGAGTGTCGAATAGGTGTAAATGTCGGGTGTCATGTCGTCAGCTTTGATCCGCTTGAACACGTCTATGGCGCCTTGTAGATCGCGTGTGTTGGCGTACGCATCCAATAAATGATTGTAGGCTTTCACCGTGAGGGGATGACCATTTTCCTAGTAATTACAAGAACGGTTAGTGATGTTGGCTATAATAGTAAAAGAGGATGTATACTTGCTTCCATCAGCTGTAGTGCTCTTTCAGCCTCCTTGGGTCGTTTTGCCAATGCCTACAAGATAATGAATATCCTGAAAATGATTCCATCCAAGGACTTACATTCACATAAACAAGTTGCTCATAATCCTGACCCGTTAACGATGTTGATGGTTGATCTTGGCTGACAAGGGCATCCTCTCGTTCCTGACTAGCTTCGCTTTGCAATGATTGTCGGGTATCCAAGAATTTGACACGCAACTTCTCGAGATAGTCCGGTTCCACCATTCTTCGCACGGGGGATGTGGGCTCAGCTGACAGTTGTGCGTATATTTCCTCTGCATCAGCAATAGCAGGAACGCTACCACCAGCGTGTTCAAGCTTGTCCAACAGTGCCATGGCTTCTTGCTAATAAACATCATCATCATCATGCAGCAGTAAAGGATCCATGAGTCTTTAGTTTTTCGGCAGCTTGAAGAAGAAGAAGAAGCCTTCTACTTACTCTTTTCTTTTGAGATTCCACCTTGTATTCAAGATTCTTGACTTCCTCAATAAGCTTTCTTGTACGATCGTCCAGCGATCTTGTTCCGGATCTATTGTTTGTGTAATAGAACAGCAATCAGAAGACGATCAACGCATCGCCATGGATCCACAAGCTCACCGTGACGCAAAGTGACGACGATACACAAGCAACCGAGTACGGCAGTGTAAATGGCATGCCCTTCGAAACATGAGTTATCGAGTGCTGATCGGGGGTGGGGGGTGAATAAAGAGGTGAAAGTTGTCAACAAATGCTTAAGGCGGAGGTGCACTTCCTGCTGAGAAACAAATTGGATATGCAACGCACACACACACACACGCACACACCCAGGACACCTCACCCACACCCACACATTGCATGTTTTGGTAATGCGAATTGTTGGGCACCCGTGACCGAAAAGAATGGGAACTTCAGCCACGTAAGAATCATAAGAAAGTTTGTTGTTGTTTAAGGAAGAGCATTTGGTATCCCGGAGATACGGTATCAACGTATAACAAGGCTTAGTCTTTTGGATGATAGAGTATGTGGAAATGTCTTTTGATAGCTGGCATAACGATATGTATCCTTGTTATTAAGCTTTTCAGTGGTTGTTCTTTGTTCTTGAAATTGGGTTGCCATAGAAAAGGTGAGGGAAATGGCGTGAGAATGGAAACCGCCAACTCGGATTAGACGATCGACAAGTCGTCAGCCACCTTTCTCATGGAACATTGGGGGTCAAGAGTCTATAAATCAGAATAGGCGGGAGGAAACCTGTAGTAGTAGGGTATCACATGTTCCAACTTTATGCTGTCACATCCCTTTCGGTCACGCATGGGCGTAAACGCCATATAAGGGAATAGGGGGTGCATTGTCCGTTTCTTATATTAACTCACTCCACAGAATATTCCTGCTCTCTTTCTTTCTCTCTCTTCTTCATTTTTTGTGACTCTTATGTGGGCAGCTATTGCTTCTATGCTTTTCCCCTCGTTGACATCTAAAGAGCAACTCCCTTGTATCCTCGATAAAAGTTGCCACCGTGACCATCTCGACATGGCTCGTGCGTTTATTCACACTAATCCCCATATGCCCGATGGGTACCTTCTTTTGGCTCGTCACTACCGTCAACAAGATCAATTGAACAATGCATTGGAGATTTATCAACAAGCGCTTGCCAAAGTACCACATGACAACGTATACTATCGCCTTCTTCGATCCGGATATCAAGCAACCACACGTTTACAGCTGAGATCATCATCCAACAGCAACAATGGTAGCCATGGCAACAACAACAATGAACGTATCCCATACGACATCACCATGATGATTTTCGAGTACCTTGATTTACGTGATCTCTTTACGTGCATGGGAGTTTGTCGTCAATGGTGTTACAACATTCTAGACTGGCCCGTTATGTGGGAGACATTTGCAACTCGCTATCCCGAAACATACATACCACGAGTGTACGATGCATCAACCGATACGCATTTCAACGAGCTCAGGCTTAATGTTTCATCGGTGGATATTTGCACCGACATGGATACTTGGATTAATCTCCTTTACTACATGAAAAGCTCAGCTGTCCAATCCTTATGTAGGTTATCATTAAGCAATTAGGTGTGGAGATACAAAAAAGGAGTAACTCATCTTTTACATAGATTTGGATTTTAAAGATCAGTCCTTTCTCGATGACGCTCAACTAGAAACGCTTTTATTATCGCTAGCAGGTGCAATCCAATGCATTAGCCCACATCTCAAACGCATCACTATATATGATCCACCGGCATCCAAGAGTGATCTGCTGACGACTGTGCTTGAAAGTTGTATCGATCTTGAACATGTGGCTATACAAGTGAACCCTGCATGGAGAGGCCGCACTACACGCCGTGCTCCCACGCCCAACAACACGTGTAGCTATTCAAGAAGACCCCTTCAATTAGCTCTTCCTTTTTCCTTGACTCGATTGGAGTTGTCGATGGATTATCCTTGGAGAAACAAGCAAGATCACCATCTCTTAATGGATATCATTCGACGATGCCCGCAATTGAATCATCTCACACTTGATGCAGATGACTATATCAATCATGGTGCTATTATACGGCAAGCAACGGTATCATGCCCTATGCTCAAGACGTGTATTGTGAAGCACAATGACGCTCGTTCTCCTCGACGTTTCCATCAACAACATAGTCATTCCGCATCCAAAGATCATCATGGCCTAGAAACACTTGTCGTGACTGGATGGCATGTACAAGGCAATCCAGATGATTTATACAGCCTCTTTTCCAAGCATCACAAAACAATCAAGCATTTGCGTCTGGATTGCGATACTCGTCTTGTGAATGCAAAATTCTTGGCTCAAGTGGGTGCACTTGGTTTACCAAACCTTGAAGAATTACATTTGGCCACTGCTGGAGAAACCGAACAGGCATCGATGACCGTAAAGGATAGCATCGAGGCCTTGTTATCATCCTGCCCCCAATTAGCAACACTCGAAGTCAATGGACCCATCGATGAACAAGATACCCAACATCGTCAACAACATACCACCACTGCTATTAGCAAGCATCCATACCCTGCAATGCATCATCTCATACTCAGGACACCCTTGATTCAATCATTTCTTTTGCAATCCAACTGCGCATCGGTAAGAATCCCAGCGTTTGAACGACTTGAATTAGTTGGCATAGACATAACTGATAATGTCATGTCCATCGTCAAAGATATGGTTTCGCTCAAATACGCTCAACTAATGGGTTGCAAGGTGAACGCAAAAACGGAATCCGATAACGAGAAAGCCTCCTTGGCATCATCACACAATGAAGACAAGCAACACCACCATCACATCAAGAATTGATCGTGTACAACCTTGCTCATCATCACCCATCCCCGCGTTGTGTGCCCTTCATTTGTAAATAAGCTTGCATCACATCATCGCCCGTAAATTGATTAAGAGTCACCGGCCCCCACTTTTAGACTTGTTTGCATGATTAAAAACCTATCATCATTATGACACTTTTATTATGACATGGGGCACTTGATGTTATGATCCTCTCTCGATCCCACCCCTTAGCTATTACGAGATCTATGATCTTCTTCTTATCAACCCATTTTTTCAATGAGGCCCCGATCACCAAGTTCTACATCAAGTATGACGGACACGCGCCACCAACCTTTCTATATACAAGTTCGCTTTTCCCAGATCCATTTGTGACAGGATGTACTATATCCATAAACACCTCTCACTGGTTAAAACCAAACTTTTGGTACTACATTCAAAAATCGAGTAAATTAATTTCCTTACCACGCGCACTACATGCGAACAACATGCAACGCAAGAGTCTGTGTACAATGATAACCAACCACAGCTCTTCCATTGCGATCGGATTGACTTGATTTAGGCTGTTGCCGCTCCCTCACCTCACTTGGTGTGACGGAAAAGTCATGCACCTTGTACAACTCCCGTCAACGACGACGAGACAACAATCAACCCTTAGTGACCCATATCATTGGGTCTATGTTCAGTGGTCTGATAAGGTTATTATGCGTGGCGATCATGGGCCATGTATCACACACACGCATACACAAACCAGCTATATTGTTCGCTATGCTACTGACACACTACTCCCCCATGATTTTACAATACCATGTTGCATAAAACAACACGACCTTTTTTTATAATACAATGCGTATACGATATATGGATCGCATGATTTGGGAGGTACATCACCGAGGCCGCGGGATTCCTTGGTTGTTGTTAGTGCATCCTTATTGTAATAAGGTGCTCAATATTGGCACACCACCCATTTTCCCATTTCATTAAGCAAACCCACCACCATGCTCTAGAATACGAGTATACGAATGCTTTTACGCAATTTGTTGATCTTCTTGTATAAGCATTACATACGCTCTACTACGCAGCATAAAATGATCAAGTAGTAGTAGTTGTATTATCTCTGATCACAGCACCACGTGTTGTTGCCGAGGCGCCAAAAAGAGTAAAGTGCTTGACGCATATACTGTAATACGTCCGATTCTACAGCACTATCAATGAGATATGGCACGTTTGCACATGTCTTTGCATGACAACATACTCCAGATCGTACAACCCCAACAACAAAGGAGCGATGCCATGTCACACAAAACGGGAAGATGGTCAAGTACCATATACTGCAATTCATGCGGTACCAAATGTGTGTGGCTCAGCGAATACGTCGTACACTTTTTTTGCTGTCTCGAATGTCTGGATCACAAAGGCCATTATCCCCATTACTGGCCTTTGAGGAGCTTGGTAGTATACAAGACCCCTGGTTGGAATGTTCCCTGTGTAACAGCTAGCTCATCAGAGCCAACTAATATGCTTCTTCTTGATCATCGTACCATTATTAAACTTTTTCCATTCATGATGCTTGTCTTTTGAAATTGCTATTAGAGTTATTAACATGTGGCAACGTTGAAGCCTACTATAGCACGCTACATTGAACAAGAGATCTTGTGCTATTAACATCATCTTCAAGGATGTTAGCAGCCATGGCTGTGCGTGGTGGTGGAAGTACTAAACTACATGGCACACTCTATGAACGTGATGAGGATGATCCAGTATCCCAAGCGGGGGACTACGATGCATTCATTGTCTATAATCAACTCCATAGCTACGTCGCTGAATGCATAAAGGGAGAAGCCAACAACATCGCCCGTGTGGTGTCATTGTTCAAATAGCATTTGAAGTCATTGTTTTCATGATGAGATCCTGAGGAATGTTGTCATCTTCCCTAATTTGGCCATGTCAATGACCGCATGAGCATCATCACATTTTATTAGCTCTTTGATAAGGTACCAAATTTAATCCTGGTGTGGTCATCACCTCACCATTGGACTCTTGTAACGAGGTAAAACCAAATGCTCGGTAAAAGTGTGATATTTACCACCTACAAAAGCTTCCTTTTTATGCGATGGGTGGATTTATCTAGGACCGACATACTTATGTCACCTACAAAAGTTCACCCTTCAAGTGGCAGGTAGATTTATCAGCTGTGATTTTCCATCACTTCGACTCATTACTCGAAGATGCTTGACCACTTTATCAGTTTGATCCATCATGACAACAATTCCCATACCCAACCATATATAAACAAGGCTGCTGTCACCAACACCGTCATACACTCGTTCTTTCTACTTGTATTCATATCTCCATCAATGGCCTTTGATAAGTCTCAAGGATGTCCTTTATTATGTGATTCCCAAACATGATGCATTGTAGCTCACTTCATTGCTCTACCACTTCTTGAGGTGCTCATTATTGGTGCCTAATGGCATTCGGCTGTGTTTTTGAAGCCCTCTGGGGTAGGTATAACTATCATTCATATATCAAAAGGATGCCTAGGCTGATAGAAATTTGGGACTCCTTTGTAGGCGACAAAAGTGCATGCAACAGCTCACATGGGGAATTGGGCGATTTCCTTCCTATATCACCTGATTCTTTATGTCCAAGCAATTGAGCTCAACTTTATTCAACCTTTGTAACAAGCAAGTGCGGTATCATCGTGAACATGATGGAACATTATCAACAGCATGTGCATGTCTGAAAGTGTGGAAAAATGCGAGGATACGGGGGAGGGGGTTGACTTAATTTGTGGTGGCGGCGGTGGTGGTATCTGCATGCATCTTGTGCTTTCTCCTCTTCCACCTATGCAACAATGACATTCCCCAACATCAAGTACAAAGAAGGTGAGTGCCATTCTATTCCAACATTGCTTGCGTTTCAATGTCACCAACACTATCAAGTGATCAGCTCGACGCTTTTGAATGCGCGCGATTCAGGACAAACGAGTGTTTCACTGAGCTGGTACCTGAAGGAAGAGGCCGACTATATTGCATCGACCTATGAACCCCATATCGACTTTGGTGACTTTAAGAGTCAATGGACACGTCGTATCATCGAGATGGCAAGAGCTTTGGATATCCCCATGGTAGGTTTTTTCATTTGATCAGGTCATGTGTGGATGGATCAAGACTGAATGAAGGTTGTTGCAGGAGAATGATTCACCATCGTGGAATGTGGTGTTGGCCGCTATCCTACGACGCAGTGATGACAACAAAAATCAACAAACGAGTGCAACACCATTATCCAATTATACCACTAGCAGCGTGACAGATGAAACTACCACAACTACAACCTTTCATACGACTACTACCGCCAGCAGCAGTGAAGCCGCTCGCAAATTATCCAAAGCTGATATCGACAAGGTCCAACAAATGTACGATGATTTGCAGCCTGACAAGATGTGGATTCTAAGCACTGGCAAAACTGTGGAAAAGGAAATGCAAAAATTTGCCCAAGAATGCGAATATGAACAGTACGTTGCTGCTTTAATGACGAGAGTTGATCAAAAGATGCTAAGCTGTGTTTATTATAGCCCTGTCCACTCATTGATCTTGGACCCTACTGATCCATGTTGGAAGGTTTACTTTACACCGCAAGAGCTACGTCAAATTCAATCCTATCAATCTGTTTCCATACCCAGCTTTCCCGATCATCTCAAGACTTACCTTGGCACATTTTCAAAGATGGTAGGTTGATCGTATCACCATTCCTTATGAATGACAAGACTTATATATGTGTTCAATATAGCGCACCGTCCAAGAGATTGATGACCAACTACGTGCTAGCCCAATATTCAGTTTGGAGAACGCTGATCTAAGATGGATACAAAAGACGATCATGGACGTTGTGAACATGTATGCATATGGCTTTTTCCCCACGACTCGAGAAAGTGAGACCGACTACGTATACCATGTTTGGGGGATGATACGATCATGTTTGTCACCAGCTAGGATCAAGATCTTCAGGTAGGATATCAAAGAACATGTGTAAAAGTGGATACGGATGCTGATAGATTCTTCACGACAGCGGGATTGACAGCAAGGCATCGATTGAAAGGAGGAACAGTGATCGGCAAGCTGCTGGTATTACAAGTATACGGAGGCGACGACGAGGAAAGAAGCCGGACATGATCTTCGCATATGACACATTGGAACTTGGATGCACGGAGGCAGGATTAAGTGATGATGGGCCAACTGGGACCAAGGAAATCAAGGAAGGTGTGCTCAAGATACCCAAGGAATTGAAGAACATGCTTTTACGACTCGTAGCTGTGGCACCGCAAAATCGATATGATATCAGCACCGTTGGATTTGTTATTTCAGGTTTGTCCCTATTTCCACCATCCAATGGCTCTTCGTCTTAATGACATCTTTTTTCTTTAGGCTTACAGATATCAATGCTGGTCATGGATATACCCTGTGGCTATGTATGCCGTCTCTCAAGGACTGATCGTTACGCGTTCCCTATCTCACCTGATTTTATGTCCAAGCAATTGACGCCTATCCTACAATTGATTTATTCAGCCAAAGAATTGATGTTGAACACCATCGACAAACTTCGAGCGAGCAATACTGTCCCCGTCAGTTTTATATCCGGAGTCGATGATACGCCCATTCCACCTGCTTTTGTTTCCCCATCCTCATCCACAACCACGTCTTCTACTTCATCCAGAACGAGGAAACGTAAATCACCCAATGCCAAATAAAAACACTTTTCACTATGTGTATACCGTAAAACGCTATCATAATTGGAACACTATCCAAGGCAATGTATTCGTGATAAACAATGAACAACTTTATATATTTGGCTCATTAAGAAAGATGGTATTATTGGGTTGAATGATTCAATTGGGGAGTGATGTTGGTACAAAGATAACTCGTTGGCGGGGAAAAGCAACAAAGAGAAGACATCAACTTCCTCTGGATCACGCCCATGTTACCAAAGGAGGGGGCAGTCGTTACGTCTCAACAAAGAAAGGTAAGCGGTCGCCATCACCCCTAAGGTTGAGAGGATCCAAGAAGAATTGAAAGACTTGGCTAGTATGCAATCAGACTTTGTGGTTTCATCATTAGACATAAGACCGTATCACGGTGATGGATAAACGATGCTCACCTCTTGAAGTATAACAGTATAAGGTAGATCACGCCCATGTTGCCAAAGGAGGGAGCGGTCATTACGTCTCAATAAAGAAAGGTAAACGGTCGCCATCACCCCAAAGGCTGAGAGGATTCAAAAAGTATCGATAAAAGTTGAGCTGAAGAGGTGATAATGGATTAGAGATACACGTACAGCAATGAAATACAAGAGCTGATTGCGTACATACTCGTTGCGAAAAAAGATGTAATATGTATTGCTTTTTTGGTTTTCGTTGATACATTCGATCGTACAATATACAAATAGAAAAAGGTCTACAGTGCATCAAAAGCTATCTTCATTGTTTCATACTTACATCACCTTGTATATCCAGTCCATGTTCTTGCTCTCATCAGGCCATCAAAGAGTGCCATCACGCCCCTTTCCACCATGCTACACCAGACGGCAAGCAAAGAGTGAAAATTGGAGAGGATGAGCAACGCCTCAATGGAACAAGATGGGTATAGCAACGCCGTCGCCAAGTTACCGAAAACACCTTTAGAACTTGCATTAGCGATAGATTCATAGTTGAAAGAATAAAAGAGCTTACCATTGTATGTGTGTACGCAGCTGGTGGTTCAAAAGGAAAAATAACAAGCGGGGAGGGAGGGAGGTCTTGGTGGTGGTGGGGATGGTTGCTATGGAAAGCAACTCAGCCAATCAGAATTCCGGGTCAACCGCGTTCCCGCAATATGCGAACCCGCACTCTTTGTTTGGAGAAAGAACTAGGAGAAACATCTACAAATGGTATTTTGATCCCAATCATGTGATGTTGGACAACATGGAATCGATTCCTTTGGGCCCATCATCATCATCCAAACATGCACATTGATTATACTACACCCTATCCTGTCACTTTCATGCAAGTGACGGCATGACCATGTGGTCTTTCTTACATACATACACCTCCCATGTTACTCCACTACTACTTCTACTACGGGTGATTTGATGTGATGCGTCGTCACCTTTACAAAGAGGAGTCATCATCATTGATAAACAAGTGAATACAAAACAAAAACAGCAAAGCATATTGATTCGGTTGTTGTTCGTAAGAACGAATCACATCATAATGATGACGGGTCCTTTGTTATCCATGTTTTCTTTATTCTGATGGATGATGCTAATTTTATCACGCGAATGCAATGCATGTCAACAGACAATGGACCGCATTTACTACCCCGATACATGTGCAACATAATGATGAAAAGGAAAAACCTTGTCTACGCGTGAGTGTTGTTATGCCAAGATCTGATTTGACCATCCGCTTTACACGCAAAACATAATCAGTGATTCTACCGGGTCACGGAACGTCATCGAAAAAGGGCAATTGGGAACATTATATAAAGAGGCACCTCACGCTCACCATTATCATTATCATTTTCATTCTCTTTTGGCATCTTTCATCATCCATGAAGTTCTCTCTTACTACTACTACTACGCTTTGCGTTGCTCTTTTCATTGCAATTGCTCAAGCCGCTTGCGATTGTGCACCCTCCAACACCACCTGCTTGGCTGATTGTGGTATGTACATTTATTGATATCATTATCGTCATCCATGTAAAAGACTGACAAAAGGAAAACCATAGTGACCTCGGCTAATGATTGTATCCAAAATTGTCGCGACAATTCTGAATGCTACACCAATTGTATCGATACCCATTGGCCTACAAGCGCACCTTCTTCTGCTCTACCCACAACTGCTTCCTCCTCAGCAGTACCCTCCGCTTCTTCAATGGCATCTTTGTCGGCTTCCAGTGCTTCTTCCTCTGAATCGGCTACTGCTACACCTACTCCAAACTCAGCATCTTCCAGTGTCTCGCGTTCAATGATTCCCCTTTTCATTGTCTTTTTGATTCTTCCTTTGTTGTAATACATTTAATCACATTCTAATTTCCAATAATACAATTGACAGGAAAACTCAAGTATAAAATATGAACAGCATGTATTTTGTTGATGTTGATGGTGATGATGGTGGGGAATGTGCATAAAACATGGAAGCAATGGATTGTTGTTGTTGTTGTTGTGTGGATGTGTGCGTGTGTGGTTGCACGTGTGTGCGAATAAGTGTGTGTACATGTGTATAAGTTATATATGGATAATGTTTTGTCTAGACGTCTTCTGCCATGGGTTCATCATCATCGTCGTCGCCATCATCATCATTGCCGCCATCGTCGGTTCGTTTCCTCTTGAGACCCTTCATCTTTCTTGTTTGCAATTTGTTGAAGTCTTGCTTGCCAAGATGGACACGACCATATTGATCACCCAAGTCATCACGTTCCTTATTCTTCTCCTTCTTTTGCTATAAAAAGTATTAGTAAATCTTAACCTATCCATTGCCACACCATATACACAACATACCTTGAGTTCTTTGGGAACACGAATAGCCTTCTTCCATAGATCAGATTTGGGAGCTTCAGTGCGTCGAATCACAAAAGTCATGTTGGGACCCATTTCTTCAAGCTCAACACGAGGTGTCTTTGTACCACTCTTTTTCATTTGAATGAGGTATGTGCGCAACAGGATACGATCATCAGGTGTAGCAGTCCAGCTCATGACATATTCAAGACCTCCCAAATTGACCGAGTCCACCACCTCGCCATTGAAAAAGTCGACCATATAGTTCTTGATATTCTTGCATGTCTCATCATTGTCGAATCGCTCGCCGTTGAACACCATCAATGGCTTGATACCCAACGAACATTTGGGACCCTTGATCTCGCTTAAAAATGTCGAATCTTGAACACCCAACTCGTACATGTCGAGGATTTGATAGTCGAACATGCGCACAAAGGTCAAATTGTGTGGTCGTTTCTTGGAGTGGCTGCCAATCACCATGAAAGCGGCATCATTCTTGCGTGAAAGAAACTCAAGCTTGGTCTCATCCTCAAATGGCTTGATCTCGTTCTTTTTGCCAAAGTAGACGCTGTTTGCACGCTTCAACGAGTACTATCATCATTCAAACAATTAGCTATATCATTCCAAACATACAATGTATCGAGATCTTACAAGATCCTTGAGCGCATCGGTCACCACTTGACTGGTGGTTGATCCTCTTACAAACAGGGCTGTCTTGGGATTCTCCGTGACCTTGGCTTCGCGATTCTTGAGGAAACGCTTGGAACGTGCGTTTTTGGGTTTACTGTATTGAGAGTGTTGTTAATGGACCGTTGGCAAGGACGCATGCGTAGAATCGCTTACACTGTGCGAAGCATAACTGTTGCTGTTGAAAGAGAAACTAAAGGAAAGAGAAAAATCCAACTGCTTTAACTCAGTCCAATTCCCCCTCCTCCCACAAGCCACTGGGTTGTCCAATCATGCAACGTGCCTTGGAATCATGTTCATGCATAATCCATAGCACGCTCTCCCTCAATACACCTTTCATTACTATCGCAGTTTCACTCAAATGATATTGATAAGAATGTTGCTATCGGCAACAATCATTGTGAAAGCCATCACATAAGAAGATGATGTTGTAGCGATAATTGAACTTGCATCTTTCATGTCTCTTATGCTGTACCAAATGTAGTATTGAACATACCAATGGGAGGATGAATGATTCCTCGTACATTGGGGAGTGCCATCTTACACCGGACAAATGTCGTTTAAACGTCGCATGATATGCTTTGTTATGCAAATGAGAAAGCTGTATACTATAACCACCATGAACAACAGCCGGTTGATAGTCATGGCAAGGCCTATTATTATAGGTTGTGTCGTGTTTCAATCAGTGGTAGCAGCATGTACTACGTCCATTCTCTCGTTGCCAAATGGGTTCAAAACCAGCTTTACTTTCTAAATCCCAACAATGCACCTATGGGAATAACACTGTTACAGCATTCTATAATAAACGTTGATGGCTATTGTACTTCCATGTATCACTCACACATTGAATGCTCCTATGGCAACCCCATTTCAACTACTTTACATTCCTTGAAAGAAAGTGGTAGATGTATCAGGCAATGCGATCCATGAAAAGCTACACCACAAGCAACCATTACATTCATAGTGATATGTCCCATTTATTCTTGAAGCGGATAGATAGATTGGGAGGGGGATGGAGGCCTTTGGGTGGACTCACATGACATCCAGCTTGGTCTTCGTTTTTGCTCCGCCAAGTCTGGCTGTGGCAGTGAGTGCTCTCTCTCTTTTTCTCCACTCTCCACCTTCTTTATTCATACTCATGGTACGATTCACTTGAGCCCCCACCATCTCTGCATTCCTTTTCTGAACTTTGCATGTCCATAGACAACGCACACGATTCTTCTGATTCAACCCGATCAGCAACCGCGGTACGATCCGTTGTCGCTTTTGGTTTCCCCAACGCGTCGTCTAAATGCACCTCCTCCTTGATTTTGTTTTGTAGATCACGCACATACTAGTAAGTGCAGTATGGCCACTGGTAGTATCAGGCAGGTATGGCTGACACTTTGGATATCATCAGCGACTTTGAGACAGTGGCTGCTGCGATGGATGGTAAGTGCCATTATTGACGAGGGCGATATGATAAGAAATAACATATGCATGTATGGATGGATATAGCTATCGCTGGAATGTACGAGCAAGAACTTCAACAACAAAACCCAAGGCTCGGTCAAATCCAATACAGGTGAGTGGGGGGTGTGGAAAGACGGGTATCCATGGCAAGCAAATGCATCGATTTACTCATGGAGGCTGCTTGTGTTATAGAGCAGAGGATCTTTTCCAATTCATTGATGCCCACAAGGAATTCGTTGCATTGGTGTTTGAGCCATCCCAAAGAGTAAGGATCTTCAAAGGAACATGTGCATTCTGCTCCTCTCTCTTTATTGACATGATGATATCATTAGAGCTATAGTCCACGAAACACAGAATGGATCAAGGAACGTTTGATTGCTCATTTTAGCCGACAACCTAGCGTGCAGCAGCAACAGCGAGGTGGCGGTGGTAATGCACCAAGAGGACAAGGCAATAGACGACCAGGCGGTGGCGGCCCAAAATATGGCAATAGACGATGGTAGAAATTGATGGATCTTTATGGATAAAGGAAACATGGAGAATGATACAATGCGGCTGACACGATTTACAATGATGCAATGCATGTACAAAAGGAAGGCTTTACCATACAAGAGAGAATACCTACATCATTACCTTCAATGTTGTCCTTTTTTACTTCCTATATAAACATTAAGCTTCCTGTTAGCTACCATCTAGAATGAAGAATCATCTTTACGCTTTCTGTTTCTATCAATCATTCCACTTGCTGGTGATAATGGGAAATACAAACATGGGGTTACGTATGATGATGATGGAAATAAAGGAATTGATGAGGTTGTCATTGTGTATTACTTCTCGTGAAACTTCAACTTTATACGCTGCAATGCCTACCTTGCAGTAAACCCATACCCATGACATCTACAAAGGGGTATCTGTCTGACCTTGAATGCTGAACCTCAAGTATACAAAATCAACTTCAATGCCAAATTACTAACTCCACACCTTCCCAAACACCTTCTTTTTTTCACCAGGGCTTCCAGCACTGCATTCTCTATCAAACGATACTAAACAATGTCACTTTTCTTCTTTTGGAAATTTTGTGGTCTATCATGTACATTCAAAATCAAAAAATAAGTCGAGGGGCTATGGCCAAATGGATAAGGCGCCTGACTACGAATCAGGAGATTCCAGGTTCGACCCCTGGTAGCCTCGATTGGAAGTTGATAGCTTGTAACGAGCTGTTTGTTCCTTTTTCTTGTTTTCTGTTTTGGGTCACGTGACTTTTAGGAGCATTCCTTTTGACATTGGGAATGGTTGGAATTGTGTTTATGCTTTGTAGGTATCAAGTTTTAGGGTGGATACTACGACACTGTATACTAATATATATGCTCCATGGTGTTAAAGCAACGAAACGAGGATGTATTGTGGCGCTCACGATGTCTTTTATAGTACGTGTAGACTATAAGGCAGCTGTGGAATGTTATATAAGGGAATGGGTGATACCTTGTACGTGTGTTCATTTTAAGCAAGGACTCGAAGGTATGGTAGCACGTTTTCCTTATTTTAGCTTACACGCGCTTAGATAGACATGGGCCCAACCATCAGAAAAATCATTTTGATTAATTACTCGTAAACTGCCACTTGATAGCCCATTCCTCCCATTCACCTTTGTTGCCCAATCCAATGCATACGAACGATTGTCCTGCTCCAGCCCAGCATGCCCATCATTTAACTTTCTTGATTCGAGGTGTTTTGACTGAAAAACGCTCAAACACAGAAGTATCATCCAAAATCAGAAAAATTTATCTGGTTAGTTATACGAAGACTGCCACTTGATAGTCCATTCCTCCCAATCATCTTTGTTTCCCAATCCAATGCATGTGAACAATCCCGCTGCTCCAGCCCATCATCTCCATCCTTCAACTTTCTTGATCCGAGAGGATTTGGTTGAGTCAAACACAAAACATCATCCAATTTCACAAAAATCATTTTGCAAAGCTATTTGTAAACTGCCAGCCATTAATCCATTCCTCCCATTCACCTTTGTTGCCCAGTACAATGCATACGAACAATTGTCCTGCTCCAGCTCATCATTCCCATCATTGAACTTTCTTGATTCGAGGTGACATGGTAGTATGGCAACAATGGGTGTTGTTGGATCATCATTATCATGTAAAGTGTAAAATGACACACACCCTTTTGCTATACGTGAGGATCATTTATTTTATTTACGTGTACCTATTGTCTATCGTGAGGGTGCTGATGATGATGGGTGAGTTGTGTGTTTGGGTGGATGGTGTGTATAGGGTAATTGAGTGGCCTCAGTGTAATAGCAGTAGGGGATTTAAACTTGGGGACGGTAGCTCCACGACTTGAGACAACGCTACTCTTCTCTTTCTCCCTCCTCTGCTTTTTCGCTTTCACCGACATTCCAATCAAGGTAGGTAATGTGTTATCAAAAAGTGCTCTTGTTGACTGTGAGGTGTTATTGTAGTTCTGAACATGCATCGTCAAGGAGTGAGAGTGTGTCCAAGTGCCGAGGAATGAGCGTGGTGGGTGGGTTGGCTATTGCCATGGCGATACGGTTGCTTCCTCTTGGTCGTTGCTATTCCCGCCTTACGCTTGGTGTCAACAGGTACATTCAGAGTCCAATGTTGCAGCCGACCTGGGTCCATTGACGTGTTAGCTTGTATAGAGGGCAAGTTTGGTTTCAAGACGTTGGCTGGTTTGGCGTTTTGTTTCGCTCAACTACACTACTACACCATGGTTTTCGGTTTCCAGTAACCAACAACAAAGAGTCTTTGTGTATACGGAAAAGGCAAGTACAATGAAACAAACAATGAAAAAGGTGTTCATTGTACGTGTGTGCTAATAATGAGTTGAATAGGTTTCTTTGGTCAGACAATGCAACTTGGGGCATCATCATCATCTCTTTGGGTTCAAGTCCCAGCCTGTATCAAGTGGCCGCTGCGTCGCTCTTCACTAGTCAAGTGTGCTGGAAAAGCTTCTTGTAACGCGTCCAGGGCTCTATAGGCCTGCGTTGACTTGAGGATGGGTCGATGACGATGGGTTGTTGGAAGAGCATGGTCACCGTGTTGAGGTAAAAGGGGATTTGCAAGGGCTTGTGAATGTGTTGACATCATTGTGAACCAACACGCTCTTCTCGTGATAGGCTCGTTCTTTCCCTTGAGGATTTCTTTTCATGAGGTGGGAAATGATTGGAAGGATTTGGGGATCATTCTTTCTTTGGAGAGGATGAATGAGAACAACTATGAGCCTGGACTCTACGTAAGTGATGTCCTTCCTTGCCATGGATCGAACTGGCCTTGCGTGATTCGTGCAGTGCTTTCTCAAGAACAAGGTATCGCCCGACGTTGCTCGTATGGTGGTGATTTGGTTTGTGAATTCCTTCTGATTTGCTTTCTTCTTTAGAGAGGATCGCCTAACGGTACGACAAATCGTCATCATTCCCGGTATCAGATGGTCTAACTTGGCTGCTTTTTACTTATAGAGACGACCGTTACGATGATTACGACATTCGCAACAATAACGATTACGACGATCACCACATTCACAACAATGACAATGATAACGACAACGAGATTCAAAAGGAAGCCTGCAAGATCTCATTCTTTTCAACTTGTGTGTTTTTGATATTGGGTGACGGATGAGATTGACGGCCGGTGACGAGTACGGATGATGACGGACGACGACTACGAGGACGGTGGTAGCGATGTAGCAAGATAGCTAGATGAAATAAAACATTGTTTATTACACGCTTGGACTTTGCTAGCTTGTGGATTACATACTATTGGTTCGAAGATGGCATAATAAAGGTGGTTTGGTTATCGGTCATGCAAGAAGTATATAGGTTTTGTGATACAATAAAGAGGAGTGGGGAGTGGGAAGACCTTGAGAAGAGAAAAAGTGTAGTAATCCCTGCATTGAGTTTCAGGATGAGTGACCGATCAATATGTATATGCAATTATCTATGTAGCTTATTCCTTTCTTATTGCTGCTTGTGGATTATAGCTTAGATGATGGGATGATAAAAGTGGCTCTGTGATCGGTCTTGTAATAAGGATAAGCACTCTATTTTTTCATGTGGATCAAGCGCAATGATGATGCATCTCGCAAAGGCTACTACTACAGTAATTTAATGATTGAGGTGGGCAGCTGTTCCACTTGGATGATTTCAACAGCATTGTATCTTAGTTGCAGGATAAAAGTAGAGACTTGGTTACATATAAAACAATGCATGGAATGAAACTTGGTAATGATGGCATCGATACCACGACAACATGGATAGATAAGATGAGCACACCATAACAACATCACTAGGATCGTGAGTTTTCATTTTCAATTTACGTACTTGATAGTGCGTTACAGTATCAGACATGCAAAGACAAGAATGTATGTTAATCAAAGAACATGGTTTAATGATTACGATATGTACTAGAATAAACAAGTAGCTGTTGGTTTCCTAAAGCCAAGACTTCAGTACTCACAGGGATGACCAACGAGAAGGTCGCTACTCAACCATCCCCAACCTCTACCTGTAGGCACCAATTCCAGGTCGACGAGGCGCTTGTAAATGCCACTTTAAGGTGCCGGGACTTGACGCGCCAAAACCTCGTTTGGAAGAAACCATGCTTGTGTCTTTGAGATAGAAAAGTGTAGCATGTTTCTTGTGAGCGAGAGCAAATAGGTGAAAGAATACTTATCTTCCCTCCTAGTTTCCTTCCAATGAATCCTTTGGCATTACCCAAACAAGAGCCACTTGCTGGTATCTTTGGATAGCGGTCTTTTATTAGTGCACCCTGGACACTGCTACCGGTCTGCGTTTCGTCCTCGGCCAAACGCCCATACAACACGCCGACACGTGGTGGGCAGCCAGTTTACGAGGAATGGCCAACATCCTCGCTACCTCCGTATCAAGATCTGCTGGGATTCATGGAAGCCTTGTGTGGAAACCGGGCTGGTGAGGGGGCAAAGAGTTTCCAATGCACACCATTAGGTCCCCCAAGGCGCTGCAAACAAGGCATGGTGGGTATTATAAGCAACACAACGAAAAGATAGAAACAACTTACTTTGGCCAAAACATCGTGATAGTAGGAAAAGCACGCACGCCATGCGAGTCGATCGATTGAGTTGAGACCAAAAAGGTGGAGGTTGCCAGAGTGATTCGCAGTAATTTGTTTCTGGACGCGACGCAGCTGAACTTAAAATTGAGCGGAGTCTCCATGGACCCCACACCTCATAATGGCTAAGGCGCCACACTTTGATTTTCGCGGCTTGAGTCGAGAGCTTCCACACAACACCACTTGCCCCAAAGTCATAACGTGTTGCTCTTGTATGGCTATGACGAATATGGTTGCAGTAAAAGTATAGGGTATTCAGGAATAAAAGCATCGTTAATATACATCATCATCGTGTACTGCTGCTGGTATTGTTGTTGATCCAGCATTATGTATGTGGCTCTCAAATAGTAATGCCCATCCAACGAATGCATCATGAATAAAGAATGGTTTGATCTCTGCTTAAAGCAACGTGAATTCTACATTACCAATCAAACACATACCCATACACTATAATGTTTTATTTCATTATGCATGCCCTCGTAACTTTCTAACCCGGCTGTGAAGGCATTAAGCATGGTCCGTGCGCGTCACTTTTTATGCAACTCGACACTCCCGCAGAATCCAAATGCGATATGGGGCCATTATTGCCATACACAAACATCGACACACCTTCACTATTGGATGTTGTATTCTTACTTACCTTCCTCAAGGCAATCATGATCATGATCCATGTGTGCAATAACCTGTCAAGGACGTTCGTGTGTAACTACCACGTGCCATTTACACTCAGCAGCTCTTCATCTTTCTGTTCATGCAGCCGACACCATCCATTAGGAAAAAGCAACTCCATCACGCTTACAGCATAGGTAAAACATAAAGGTGTCTGTATCTCTAAACTATACAATCAAACGTGAGGTCTTTGATATGTTAGTGATGCTCATGAATGCGTAATAAATATATAAATGATAAGGTGGCAAATTAGCTTCCATGGAAACCCATGTACTGACAAGGATGGCCACGCGAAGGCTTTGCCGTCACCCTCTCCCCTACGGTGCACCAAGCCGGATAACGGGGGCTGCCATTGTAAACAACAGCATCTTCTATAGGTGCTGCTCGAGCCAACATGTTCGGTCTGATAAAAGGATAGCATCCCACGCCCACAGAGGCCGACCCATAAGAGCGAAAAGCAATACATGATCCCATATCTACCACAAAGCCACTGAGTAACAGTCTAACTTCCAACGGCTAAGGCAGTAATCCTCAAATGCAATTGATAGGGCCATGATAGGGCTGACCACACTGTCGCAAATGAATCATAGCTGCCAACGATGCTTTACACAAAAGAGTAAGGCACCATCCCGTTCTACCCATAGCAAATAAACATCCGCCATATGAGTAGTAGCTGCCATCAAGCGACCTTCTTGAGTAGGCGTCATGAGAGACACATCATGCACCGCAACAAATAAATCCGGTCTTGATGAAATAGCACACATGAGAATGTTCACTTTTAAGAGAACGTCCAAGGTATCCATACAAGTACTTGAGGAATGAGATCCGCCATGGCACCGATAAAAACATTGCTCTGAAGATCCACCGATAAAGAGACGACTTGCAGGTAGCTGATTTCCAAAACCATGGAAACGGTATCCTTGACAACCCCAACTATAAGATAGAGATCGCTTGCTTGCTTCTGAGACACCCACCCAAATTCAAATGTTGATCTTCGTCTTCCAATTCAATAGGATTCGCCATTAACAGCTGTAAGGAGAGACTTTGATAGCACCAAAGAGCATGCGAAATTATAGCTTGATGGAATGATGGCCCTATAAAACTGCATATCACTAATTTATCTTTGAGGTAATGGTAACAATACTTAGCCAGTGTCATATGAGAATCCACGATGTTTGATGCCACCCAGTAATGAGAACACATTTCCTTGCTGTGGAGATGCCGACACAGTGACCAATCCTGATAGCCGTTTCTCCAAGCGATACTTGATGATGAATGCCATGAGAGATGGATACACCTTGACAGCACCAAAAGGACACGTAACATTGTTGTTTGTTGCTGATGTGATACATCCATAAGATACGTGCGGTGAAGAGGGCTCTTGAAATCAATTGGCCAATAACGAGAACACCAGAGGATCATTTAAATGTTGTTGACACTAAAGATGTGGGCTCTGTGGCTCATTGCTGCTTCTTGCTTGTGGCTGATATGATCCACCGATAACAGGCATGCGTAGCAGGATATCCATTGAAAGAGTTGTCAACAACTAGGACCACAATAAGACGAGATAAAACTTGGCGACACCAAAAGGTATAGAACTTGTTGCCTTGCCGCTGCAGATGCAAATAAAAGGAAGTGTCCAATAGGTGGTACAGTAACGAAAACCATCGAACGATGTAATAAGGCAAGCTGACACTGAAGGATGCTATAGACGTTGCTCTTTGACCCTGGCATGATTCGCCTATAAACGATGCACGGTAAACACTTTCCCGAACACATAGAACGATACTTAGCAATGATACCTGCATCGATGAATATTCCAAAGGACCAAAATACAAGTAGCTTGCTGAATAGCCCGCATGCTATAATAAAAGAGGGGGTTGGTTGGGATTGGAGCCAAAAAACGGATCATCCACTATTTACCAATGAAGCCAAATGAATAAAACCTTGTCGACATCCAATGATAGCTGCATCCATCAAGAATCCAAAGGGAACAAGACAAGTAGCTCGCTGAATAACCCACATGAAAGAGGGTGTTAGTAGGCATTGAAAGAAAGAATGAATCATTATTTACCAATGCCAGCTTCATGTATGAAAATCCCAAAGGACCAAACGACAAGTAGCTTGATGAATAGCCCACATGCTAAGCTAAAAGCGGAGGTTGGCAGACGTTGTAGAACGAATGAATCAGCAATTACCAATGAAAGCCATACGCACGAACACGTCGACATCCAATGACAGCTGCATCCATGATAACCCAAAGAACCAGAATACAAGTAGCTTGTCGAATAGCCCGCATACTATAATAAAAAAGGGGGTTGGTTGGGATTGGAGCCAAAAAACGGATCATCCACTATTTACCAATGATATCCATATGCACGAAAAGATGTTGACATCCAATGACAGCTGCATCCATGAAAACCCCAAATGACCACGAGACAAGTAGCTTGCTGAATAGTCCGCACACTATAGTAAAAGAGGATGTTGGTAGGCATTGTAGAAAAGAACGGATCATCAGTTACCAATGATAGTCATATGCACGCAATCCTGATGATATCCAAATCCAGCCGGTTCTTTGCAATCGTCCGCTTGTTGATAAGGCCCGCTACGGTGGTACTCGGCTTGAAAGCGATGGAACGATACTTTATGGGCATATGCAGTGAGAAGGTTGAGTAATATTGATACAACCAAAGATAGCATACTTACATGATGCCGAAGAGCCCTTACAAAGAGAGACAACGAGACAATCCTTGCTGCCCAAGACCACATGCAAATCGAGAAAGCATTGTGCATCGAAAAGCCCAAACCAGATCCTAGCTGCGGAGTGACGTACATATGGCTAAAGAGCGATGTGAATGGCAATCGTTTTTCATTGGAAATCGAATGCAGCTTGACGATGAATGCCTTGAGGAGATGCATAAATGACCTTGGTAACACCAAAGATGTCAACGTGGACTCTCATCGCTTGTTGATGACATGATCCATCCATAAGACACGTATAGTTGTAGAGATCCATCAAAGGAACCGCCAATAACCAGAACCACCAAGAGATAGAAAGCTTGCTGATATCAAAGATACACAAGTTGTTCCTTGTTGCTGATGTGATCAATCGATAAGAGACCTTCATTTCAGGATGCCCACCGAATTGCCGATAACGAGAAGAACCAGATGATGGGATAAAGCTTGATATGGAACCAACGATATGGATGCTGTTGTTTGTTGCTGATACAATCCACTCATAAAAGACTTGGCTGACATTCTCCAGAGAAATCGCCCATTGTTTGGTAACCAACCACCCGAGACGCAATAAAGGTTGACACCACCAAAGACATAAACATTTCCCCATGGCTGACATGATTCACCTATAAAAGATGCACCATAAACAATTGTCCAAACTCATCCAACAATACTTAGCAATCATAGCTGTGATCTTGTAAACTCCAAAGCACCAAAAGACAAGTAGCTCTCTGCAATGGTCCCTCTAAATAATAATGGTAGGCGTTTCAGCAAAGGTCCCCCAAAAGCATGAGAGTCATACATACCTGAGCCATGGTGATCACAAGGTATTGCAACCAAATACACCATCCGAAGGCAATATAATAATCAGCCTGCAGCGCCAAGGTATGCCACCATATGTACTATACTCTCATTGGATCCTGAAATTGGCATCATAAGAGATATCCACCTTCTCTCTGTAGGCAAGGAAATCAATAGCCGTACTTGGATGGAGGCCGTGTGCACAGCGGATGCCTTTTCAAATTGGCCTTGCCATCGCATCTTGAGTCACACTGTTTCCGGGCCAAAATTCCCCAGGAGAGCACAGTACTATACAATGACATCCTTGACGTGCAGCCGTGATAATAATAGTATTGCCGAAAGAGGCTCTGCCACTGTATGGCGCTTGGTAAGTCCACTTGAATCCAACCAATCCCATCATAATGAACGCTCTTACCTTGTGGTATTTCTCAATAGCATCTTTGCCTCAAATAGAAACCGTATATCCATGCCATCCAGTAGGTGCTGCTGCTGTTTCATTGCAAGGCTCGTTAATTAACAGGCTTTGCTCTGTAGATCCAATACCACGCATACCATTGAGCCAACCATACAGCATTCTTGCTTTGAGATCCGTAACTTGTTGCTGCCACAGGTAACATCATCCAACGTGCCCAAGCTACAGTAAATGAAGTATAAGGTAACAATAGCATTCGCTTTTCATGTCGACATACCCATAGTAACACTTTGTTGGGACCTCTCCTTGATGGCAACCATGAAAAGTACACACACGACACACGACGCCCCCTTTGGAACTTGTATAAGGAGAGAACAGCAAACTACACGTGAACTTTAGTACCTCAATGTCCAACTTGAATAATAAAGTAATGCAGCCATGGAACGTACATGTTGTATTGCAATGGAAGCTTGAGTCATGGGCAGATCGCGCGCGTGGTTGTTGTTGAATGTCTGCAACTGGAAAGTGTCGCCATTGACCACATGTTCACCCCAATGAACGCTGTACATTGTAAGGAATGCCAGCAATTAACGCGTTGTAGTTTGTAAATGGAGACAAGCTTACCTTTTTTTGTGAAGTGGAAGTGAAGAAGAGTGGTCTCTTTGTTCCTCCTGTTCGCTCCAATTCGTGCACTCCATGCCACCCCGCTTGCTACAGCTATTACTGTTTATACGTACCCTCAACGATATTCTATACTCTTAGCTCAATAAGAAAGATCACTGCTTAAGACTTCAATTGAGAACAGCCCTCGTAATTAAGCTATTAGGTCTGTGCGCATCACATCGATCGATTAGTTATGCATCTCCACTCCTGAACCAACTTGTGTAACCTACTGTGCAACCCCCCTACCAAATATATGATATCTCGCTTTCCACCTTTCACGTTTGCAGTTCCCCTTTCAATGCAGAAAACAACCAAGTGATCCGCCCCTTGCACATCTAAGCTGATAGTACGATACCCAAAGTATTACGTTGAATCTAATTTTCATTCAATAAAAAGTCGAAGAACACGTAGACACGGCATTGTGGACGATGTACGTACATGATACATAAGGGAACAATATAGCCAAATTGAATAGGGTACATATGGGCGAAACATATAGAGTCATTAGGGATAATTGTGTCATCCTATACTTGATTGCTGTCGTCATGATCACCCTTCATCCATGATTGCAAAATAGGTGTTGTATGCTTTGGCTCGAGTATTATTCCAGTATCATAAAGGTACGCAACGCTCACTTTATGTCATACATTGGCAGCTAAGAGCCACTTTTGTGCATTCCCAACTTTTGTGCATTCTATTGTAGGTGGACGATGCTCCTGCTCTAGACATTCGTTTCCATGATTAAAGTAGGTTGATCCGATCTGATTTGGTTGAGTTACGCTCACACAAGATTACATCGGTTGAGCTACATCGAGCGTGCTTTATGTCCAGAGTGATGTAATCTCTCTTTGACCGCAGCTCAGTCAAATCAGCTCGGATCAACCTACTTTAATCATGGAAATGAATGTCTAGAGCAGGGGCATCGTTCCCATGCAGTGGATCTCGCAACAATGATGATTGGATAAAAGTGGCCGTTAGCTAGCAATACATGCCTGTTCCTAGATGATCCATAAAGTAATTATACATTGACCCTTTCATTCATGCAAACGTAGCTGAGTTACACAACACGACCCTCTGCATCTTTTGCTCTATCAAGGTCTAGCCACTTCACAATGAACAAAGACCACTCTTCATATAGCATCACGCTTACAAACATAAAGGTGCCTGTATCTCCAAACTTTACAATGAAACGTGGGGTTTTTATTAGAGCAATGGGCTCGGCTTGGCCAACAGCACCTTGTGTGAAAGTTTCACGTTCAATGTCGCAAACAGCCCAAAAAATATTTTTCTGGTCGTCGTCGAAAGAGGTTGAGCCCCGGATCCAGTTTGGCTGGTAGCGACATTGCGAAATCTGGGATTAGCCACGATGAACTTCATACTTTGACACAAGATTCCTTTGACCCCGACAAGCACGTTGATCTATTAAAGAGCCCACGTTTGATTGTAAAGTTTGGAGATACAGGCACCTTTATGTTTGTAAGCGTGATGCTATATGAGAAGTGGTCTTTGTTTAATGTAAAGTAGTATGACTATAATAGAGCAAAAGATGCAGAGGGCGTGTTTGTGTAACTTGAGTCATTCAGCACAGGCGATGCATGATACTTGTACACTATTTAGGAGTAGTTCCTAAAATGCCAGCTAATAACCCAGTCCTTCCAATCATCTTTGTTGCCCAATCCAATGCATACGAACGATTGTCCTGCTCCAGCCCAGCATGCCCATCATTCAACTTTCTTGATCCGATGAGATTTGACTGAAAAACGCTCAAACACAGAAACATCATCCTACTTGATCACAACAAGGAACAGGATCAAATTATCCTTTGCTGGGGCATCGTTTTAAACTAGTTAACGACTGTTCTAGAAATCATAACCTGCGTAGAGCTGACCACTTTATTATTGAATGTCATAAGCTGATTCCATGGCAACCAACGAACGTGCATGGCTGTCGAGAACATCAAGCATAGTTGCGATGGATCAAGACTGCTATAGAACCATACAGACAAAATGATATTATAGAGATGAGGGTAGCATGTTTATACGTGTTTATGACTTCAAATGAAACTCGCTGGTGCATCAAGAGTGGTTTATGGGTGGCGTCGGCATGGAAACCAGACGCAATTTCAGGGACCAAGAAGCTCTCTCTACTCCTCTACTCCTGCTCTTCTCAAAGGTAAGGTAAGACCACCTCCTCCATTCACACACTATCAAATACCAACTGCTGCCACTCATTAGCTCATGGTCTCAATGCGTCAGCATGTCACTCGATTGGCGGGTCAATGGCGAATCAAGATTCATAGCCATGCTTCCAGTTACAAGTACCAATAGCTGTTCCCCCACCTGATGACTCAAAGCATCATTCCATGTTCGGCATTGTACTTGTTTTATTATTCAAGGCACAATCTAATAGGTTCGTGTGAAGGTTGCTGTTATTTAAGGTGTGGTCGTCATCCACAAGGCAGTTTGGCAACAAGACATTGATCATGGTCTCCAAGCAACAAGGAAGCTGTAAGCATAACATAATGAATATGGGGTTGTTCCATTCATTATGACGTTGGCGATACAAGCATGGTCCGTGTCCTGGATGATCATCGAGATGTAAGTATCACTCCTATTGCCTTTGCCACATTTCTGTTGACATGCATGATTTTTAAGTTGAATAGCTGCAAGTAGCTTGTGCCTGATGTCAAGGATTATCCCATCACTTTGCTGCTGTCATTGTTAAGTATCGGTCAATTCCTTTGGGGATCATCTGCCAGCACGTGCCTATCGTCGGTGGGTCATACCAACAAGCAATCACGGGTTTGGTTAGATGGATCTTTGAATGAGACTAGCCGAGGACACACCTATGTACTTGCATAATGCAAACCACCATGTATACATCCCTTCTCCTGATATAAAAGTTCAAAACATGATTTGGATATGGCTTGACTAAGATAGTGATGATTGATGTCACGGCGGAAAGGCTTTAATAATACAATTCAACGAAATCGTAGGGCCATTGATCTTTAACGAAGAATACGTGGATAACGTTATCATGGCCCAAGAATGTGGTAGAATGGCTATTTTAGGTAGGCAGGTGATCGTTTCAACATCCATCACGAAAGCATTTGGATTTCCCACTCGAATTGGTTGCGATTGGGCAATGATCAACAGGACCTTTACTTCCTCGTGTCCCTGAATGGGTGATGTGATCGTTCAATGTATTAGGTTTCAGTGAGGGTTCATAAGACGCCTACATCCTTTATATCAATATCTAATAAAATATACAGAAGTTGAAGCATCTTTACAATCGATTCGCGTTTGGCTAGGTTGACTCTTTGGGTTGGAAACATGCTTTTAACAACTACTAGATCTAGTAGATCCCAAAAATAGGCAATTACCCGGTTACCAATAACGGCTTTTATACAGTATCCACACATGATACAATAACAAGTCTCTCAAGATAGCAAAAGCTCACAAGCAAGAGTACTTTATATTAAGACCTCAGTTTCCAAACATCACTTGTCGTCTCCCAAAAATAATGCGAGGTTACTACTAGATCTAGTCGCGGGACTTGAAAGATTACCCTAATAAAGTAGGATTCAGTCTCTGGACAGTCATTGTCAAGTTATTCTCCCATTGAACAGCTACCAAGCTCCATATTCAATAAGCGGATCATTGTTGCAAACATAGTGTCTTTTGTGTTATGCTAAGCATGGATGTCGTGATTTCTTCCAGAAGCACATGCTCTTGGGGTTGTAGTAATGCCAAAAACTCGATTGCTTTTGGTGCCATCAAGCTGTATTCGTTCTCTCTATTATGACTCTCATAAAGCAATTTGGACGAGAATGTATTTCAGCAGGTGTGTTGTCCATTGTTACCATAGCAACTTCTTTCTCGTAAACGTCATTTTTCAAACAACTTACGGCACGACGAGCCAATACCTCCATAAGTGATGGGATCGAATGTTTATTTTGAGGTGATTTAAATGGATCGACATTGTGGGAGTTTTGAATGTCATACGCGCAACAAGGGATGTGTGTACTACTGTGGCTAGTGAAAGCTATTACCGCCATTGGTCCGAGATTTGTGATATGATACGTGCTCGATAAGCAAAGCGTGTATTACCGTTACAGTTACACAGTGCACGGTGTGGGCCGGATGACACTCTGTTTGAGACAACAATGACCACCTGACCATGAAGGAATAATGTTGTTACTTATATGCAGCACACTTGTGATTAATAATCCAAAACATGTTGTGTATTGACGAGATCGATAACAAAAAGGGTTCAAAAGTAGTAGTAATAAAGATCAATGATCTACCATGTATTCAATGGGTGGCTACTGTTTCTTGTTGTTTCTTGTTGCCGCTACCTCCAAATCGAAACATTTTTCCAAGAGAGAACTTGAGCGATGATGTACCCGCGGTGGCCTTTGGTTTCAATGATCGTTTGTATGTATCCTAATCAAGACATGTATATGTAAGGACGAGGATGATAGATATGTATTTTGGATGCAAGGACGTACCAAGTAGGAGATTTGTGGTTTGTTGAATGCTCCTCTACGCTTTCTTCTCACGTATTCAACAGCGTCCAATGGCTCCATACCGAATTCAATGAGAGCAATAGCTACTAAGACAGGGGCTCTATATACGTAGTGATGAGTAAGTAAGTATACATGATCCCCTTGTATGTATGATATCACATTACCTTCCTAAACCAGCTACACAATGGACAGCCACGGTGGGAGGTGTATCTTCAGGATGACTTGTTGCTCTTGCGGATTCACGATCGATAAGGGCCAACCAATCTCGCACCACAGTCGGAGGTGGCTAAACTCGTGCAAAGTATATCAGTAACTGCCGGAAAAGGGAATCCCATTGCAAAAAATAACTTACTGCCCCGCCATCTTTGAATGGCATATCGAGTACTTGGATACCTTGATCATTCAGTCGATTGGCATTATACGTTTGCTGACAGCATCGTACGACAGTGGTGACATTGTATCGCTTAAACTCGTCGAGGTAATATGGCAATGTTGATTCGGTGGGACAATCAAGAATAAGGAAACGAAGGGGTGAGCCAGGGGTCTCGATCAAAGAAATCATGCGTCCCAGGGGGGAATCAGAGCGATGATAGGGGCTGACCATGATGGTTGTTGGTATTCAAAAAAAAGAAGAGAACAAGAGAGAGTGCGTGAGTGTTTGCGTGTGTATGAGAGTAGGAGAGAAAGATAATAAAAAGTGTCCGTTGTGTAAATGAGATGTGGAAACGAGGAACGTTTGGTGTGTGTGTATGTTGAAATTAGCCTCCTTCTGATGTATCGGATGGGTATTGAGCGACGCAGAAAGCAATGGCAAACGACACTCTGCCGCCGTTAGGTACTACTTTGGTGAACAAGTTGGAGAGAGCCAGGGAATCAAAGAATTGCATAAGTTGGCAATTGAGTCGAGATCAAGTGCTTCCAGACGGAAGTGTGGAAGAAAAGAGGCAACGAAAAAACATTTCTTGCACAGTGCATTTCAATTCTCTTTTTGGATGTCCCTCTCGCTACCATCTCTCTCTTCCCCCCCCCCACCCACCCACCTCCCC